CTCGCTGGCGGCAGTGGCGGTGGCGGCGGCGGGGTCGGCGGGCGTGGCCAGCGGGTCTTGTGGCGGCTCTTGTGGCGGCTCTTGCGGCGGCTCTGGCGGCGGCGGCAGGCGCGCGGAGGCGGCGCCGTTCGGCAGCACGGGCGCCGGCGGCAGGGGCACGGGGCAGTCTGCGGGCGCCAGCGCCGTGTGCACCAAGTGGGACGCGTTTTGTGTGACTTTGCGGAGGGTCTTGGAGATGATAGTGGAGAGCGAGCGCGAGGCCTCGGTCTCGGGGTCCGGGAGCGTCGGAAACGACACGAAATCGGCGGCGGCGGGCGCGGCAGGGGGGGCCGGCGGCGCGTAGCTGGCGCTGGACACGTTCCTGGCGGGCTGCGGCGGCGATTGCATGGGCGTCTAGGGGGGCTGGCCCGGCGCGTACGTGGTGGTGTGACGTGTTTGTGTTTTGGCTGTGGCGGGGGTGCAAGCGCGTCGGGATTGGCCGTGTTTGTGTGTGCTTGTGTTTGTGCTTGTGCTTTGCGTGTTTGTGGTTGTGTTTGTGTGTGTTTGTGTGTGTTTGTGTGTGTTTGTGGGCAGCCTTCCTGGCAAGGCAAAGAAGAACGAAAGGGAAGGAAGAGTGGATTGACGCGCGGAGGTGTTTCCAGAACGTGGGGCGCGGGCCGGCGTGGGCCTGGCGCCTGGGGCCCGCTGGGTGCGAAACGCGGGGCCGGGCCTGGGCCAGGGAGCGAGGGCCCGTTTTAGGGGGCATGGTTTTTGGGGGCGGGAGGATTATTTTGTCTCTTTTTTTTAGGGGCATCTTTTGCGTGTGTATGGCTGCTGATTTCTGGGGTGGCTGCTGATTGCTGGGGTGGCTGTTGGTTGCTGGGCTGCAAAAAGAAAAGCAGGTGTTGGGGGAGGGTTTTGGTGGCCCGTCGCCTGGGGCCCTGGAGCCAGGTGCGGTCTGATCTGGGGGGGCTGGGCAGGCGGTGCGCCAACTTGGAGAAAGTGGAGCGGGGCCAGAAGGGCGGCAGAAATGTGGTCTTTTTTGTGATCTCTCCCTTTATGTTTCAGTTCGTTTTGTTTTTTCTCCCTGGCTTGGCCGGTTTCCCGAAGTATTGTGAAACATGACGGCGGTCACCTTTGTGCTTGCTTCTGGAGGGGAAGAAAGTGGAGTAAATACACGCTGAGGCGCCGCTCGACAGTTCGATCGCACGGCGGGGGTCTCCAATGCTGACAACAGGAGTGGATCAAAAATATTTCAGAATAAGAAAACGCCAGAAGACAGTATTTTTCTTTTAGCTTCTGCTCTTTTGTCTTTTGCTGTATAAAAGGGGTAGCCCTGAACATGCGTGGCGAGGCCAATGTTTGAATTGGCTGTCCATAGAACCAGCCGGCGGCTTCTTTCGCGGGCCGCGTCCTGTATTTGTTTTCGTCTACATTCGATCACCATTCGTTACATTATTCTTATTAGCACCAGTGTTAATTCGCTCAAAGCATTGGTATTGACACTCGTATCAGCAGCAGCATCTATATTTGCACCGGTATCAGAATCTATATTCGCAACAGTATCATATCCATATTGGCACCAATGGCTGTGTTGTTAGATTCATTCTTCTTGTCCGGGCCTGGGGTTGGCAGGCCGAGCCGGCGCGCCCTACTGGATATGTAATAAACGTGCTAATAAACGCAAAGGTTCTGAGCACGTCGAGGCATTTTTGTGATTTGTTTCAGAATAAGGCTCCCTTTGTATTTTGCTTTTCTACCGGCACCCACGCACAACAGAACAGCCATTGCGGAAATTGACATTGAATCTGAATGTGCATTCTTGACTTCTCCTCCAACCAACACCCACCATAGTGAGGCCGGGTGGTGTAAGAGTCTTCAATGGTCGATATACTCAGTTGCTACACATCTGCTGATGCACACTGCTAATCTGTAGAGTCTAAATGAGCAGTTGTAGACATGTCTAGATTTTTTTGATTTCATCTTTCGATTGAAGCCCTTTGTAATAAACAGGCATCTGTTCTAGACCGCTAATGGGGCTCATTTTACAACATGACGGTCATTCATAACGTAGATCATAGCTAGATAATTTATTTATCCGCATAGAAAGATATTCTTCCTAATAAATTTCCTAATGATGACCACAACCTCCGGACCCATACTTTGCACCAGAGCCGCCACAGCATAGCGCTCTTTTGTCAGACGGCCTGCCAATCTGAGGATCTGCCCCGTCAGCTCAATATAGAGATTTTGAGTCTGTAGTGGCTCTTCTTTTTATCCGTCCTCTAGGATCCAGAAATGTGAGGCTGCGTGGCCATGCATCTGTCCTATTGCGGAAGCGTGGCCATGTACTTATCTTCACGCTCAAAGTCAGGTCTGGAAGTATAAGACAGACAGTTCTCTGACTGTCCGTTCTGTGGTTTTTTTACCGATATGTACACGACAGGCTCATTTCTGTATGAAGTAGATGTACACCAATCTCAGGCACCCGGCTAATTCACGGGCTGATAATCCAAGAACCATAGCTTGGAAATCTATCCAGAAAGAGCAGAAGCCACTACTCTTTCTCTGTACTTTCCGAATGCTGCGACCCCTGGCCAACTTTTTTGGTCACCTTATGTTGACTTGTCTGACGTTCGTGAGTTTTGGGAGTGCTGGGTCCGGTGTTCCGCGAACAGTACGAAGAAACGGAGAAACATCCAAGGCCTCCCAGTATTTCTTCCGGGAGATCAATAAGGGTTCTATTAATCTAGTCGATCCGTGTGTTGTAATTTCCAGATTTGTGCTGAGACTGTTCCCAACAGTGCAGTGTACAACAACGGTCCATATTTCATACCGCCACTAATACTGCCAGTTGCCCTTTGTGTGTATAATTTGATTTCAAAACAGCTTATGAAGTAGCTGGTGACTCTGGGAAGTTCACCCAAAACATGCACTGTCAGAAAATTTGGTTAACCTCCTACATTTGGTTGAAGCGTAATTTCTCGTTCCTTCCGATTTCTCAGAAAACTGCGAATTGCGTATCCATTCTACAAATGCAAAGCAAATATCACGACTCTGAAAAATGGAGAAAATGGGACATGAATTTCCGACAACGAGCCTCGCTAGTCAACGTAAAAAATTATTTGAAGAAAATTTTATGTGGTGCTGAAGAAGCAGGCCCGTCTTGATTCTTGGAACGCAGTATGCATGGCTGTGGGGCGCAGATATACTGAACAGCCCGTCCGAAATACGCATGGAAAGACACCGTTCCACATGGCTGGATGAACGCATTGTGCAGGCTCCACTACTCATGCTGTGCTTCCAAATGATGCTTTTGGATGCCCTGGTGTGATTTCTCTGACTGTTTCTGCGGTCCGCAGGGCCACGGGTTCCAGACCTGCAGACACGCTCCACGAAGGAACACGCCAAAGACGACAGCTAGGGCGCCACAAACCGAGGCAAGAAGCGGCGGGAAAAAATAAAAATTGCAGATTCAGAGAGGGCCCAGCGCCCAGTCCCAGCTGCCGTCGGCTAAGCAGACCCGTGCCCGGCTGCAGGGCCAAACCGAGGCCACTTAATCCCGGTCACGTGACCCGGCCTGGGTCCCGCCGCACGGCAAACCTGCCCCAAGAGCGAACAAGTACTCAGTAGACGGCCGCGAAAAAACCTGCCCCACTGCCACCGAGTGAAGCCCGTGGCAAAGACAATATTCGAAAGCCTATGTACAAAAAACCATGTGCAAACAAAATATATATAAAAGAACTATATGAGAAGAGTTATCTATGAAAAAAACTTCCATAAAAGAACTATATACAAAAAACTGTGTAAAAATCTTGTAAAAAGATACATAAACAAATATATAAACAAATATATAAAAAATTACATACAAAAATACATAAAAAAATACATACAAAAATACATACAAAAATACATAAAAAATCACATACAAAAATACATACAAAAATACATAAAATATTACATAAAATAATACATACAAAAATACATACAAAAATACATAAAATATTACATAAAATAATACATACAAAAATACATAAAAAAATATAAAAATACATATAAAAAAAACCATATAGAAACCATAAAAAACCCCCCATCAAAAAAATTGCCCCGGCGTCCAACACCCCAGGAATCCCCGAGCCAGGCCCGCCGCCCGCGCCCGGAGCCTGCCCCAGATCTTGGCCCAGTTGCGCGCCAGAAAACCCGCACATGTGGCGCCAGGCCCCAGCCAAGCTCCGCACCCGCGCCCACCACGAGCACCTCAAACCACCCATTCTACAAGCCCGGTGCGCGCCTTCAACCCCATTCACCCGCCCATTTGCCCGTCCAGCCACACGTGCCAAAACTCCCATTCCCGCTGCCCATGTCGCTGTCGGTGTTGCAAAAAAGAAGGGGCGGCAAGCCCGCACAGGCGGCCAGCGCCGCGTCCCGCAGCCTGTTTGACGAGGACGACTTTGCCAGCGACGGCCACAAGATCGGCATCGACGCCCGCGACATCGCGCAGGACCACACGGTCAAAATCCCGTTCTTGACCTTGATGGAGGAGGTCTTGCTCATGGGACTCAAGGACAAGGAAGGCTACTTGTCGTTCTGGAACGACAACATCTCGTACGCGCTCCGCGGGTGCATCTTGTTGGAGTTGGCGTTCCGGGGCAAGATCACTTTGGTCAACGACCCGGCGCGGCGGCGCTTCGACTTGTGCGACCGCTTGGTGGAGGTGGTCAACACCGAGCTCACGGGCGAGGTGTTGCTCGACGAGGCGTTGAAAATCATGAAGAACGACGAGGGCCACTTGTCCGTGTCCAACTGGATCGACTTGCTCTCGGGCGAGACCTGGAACTTGATGAAAATCAACTACCAGTTGAAGCAGGTGCGCGAGCGCTTGGCCAAGGGCTTGGTGGACAAGGGCATTTTGCGCACGGAGCGCAAGAACTTCTTCTTGTTCGACATGGCCACGCATCCCGTTGCCGACAAGATGTCGAAGGAGAACATCCGCAACCGAGTGTTGAGCTTCTTGACGCTGCGCACCATCGACTTGGACGCCTTGAGCAACGACCAGTTTGCGGCCGATACCTCGTACAGACACCTCCGGACCGTGGCCTTGGTCTGCGGCGCGTACGCCGCCAACGTGTTGGAAAACGTGTTGCTAGCGCTCAACTACGACGCGCGCGACCAGGCGTTTGCCCGGGCCGACGAGTTGTTGAATGAGTACAGCGAGTTCCCGTTCTGCGCCAAGGGCCCGCTGAGCCCATTGGGGTTGGGCCTCAACTTGGCCGAGGAGGTAGGCAAGGAGACCGAGCAGACCAGCGAGTTGACGCTAGAATTGATTGCCGCGGTGGTCAGCGTGTTTGCCAGAATGGACTCTATATTGTAATCGACGTCATAGACCCTCTAATTCCAGGCCGCAGACTCTATCCGCGGGCATCGACGGCGGCTTGCTGGGGCCATGGTCTTTATGCTGAGCCAGTAGATTTGCGCCTCTGCTTAGAAGATATACTTTCAATAGAGCCGAAGCCATAGGCCGATGTCTCTCGAAGCCTCGGTTTATTTCTGCTTGAAGCATAGTCTTTTGTTTGAATTAGTATAGTGCTTCATTGCCCGCAGTCCCCTAGTCCTTCGAATCCCCCAAGACCATAGCCTTGGTCTAGCCCTTTAGTTCTGCTTAGAGCAAAGTCTTTTGAATCAGCATAGCCCTTCATTTCCCGCAGTCACCTAGTCCTTTGATTCTCTCAACACCATAGCCTTGGTCTTTATCAGAGCCATGGACTTTCATTCATTTCTAGAGGATAGAGCTGGATTTCTGTCTAGACCACAAGCCATTTTTTCAAGGCCATCTCCTTCAAGCAAAGCCATCTCCTTCAAGCAAAGCCATCTCCTTCAAGCAAAGCCATCTCCTTCAAGCAAAGCCGTCTCCTTCAAGCAAAGCTATTTCCTCCCCTGCAAAAGAAGCCATCTCCTTCCGTCCCCTCAAGACATGCCCGTCCTTTTGATCCACGCCACGACGAGTCCCAGGCCCGGGATAGCCCCACGCCAAGTCCCACAGCCATGCTGGCAGCAACCCCCTGGCCCGGCCTAGATCCGGTTGGGCTGCACGTCGATCTGCCCGCCAATGCCACTCGTGAACGCGTTGAGCAACTCGTGGCTGCTGGTGTCGCCCTTGGAGTCCCAGAAGAAGCCACCGCCAAGGCCTCGCCGCACCACGAACTGTGCCTTCTGCGCAACGCTCTGCGGGTTTTCGTACGAGATCCACAGCCGCTCGCGGCGGCTGAACAGCGACGCAGCCACCCTGCGCTCATCGTAGGTCTCGTTGGCGCGGTCGATGGCATGGTACTCGACAATGTCGTCCGTGCTGGCGGCCCTCTTGCTGAACCTGGCCCCCGGCTCCGCCGCCGCCGGCCGCCTGAAGCTGCGCCCGTACATGGGCATTCCGAGCACCAACTTGCGGGGCGGCACGCCCATGCGGATGTACTGCTCGATGACCAGCTCGGCGCTGAGAAGGTTGTCGCCGTTGAAGCCGTACAAGTTGGAGTGGTGGCCCGTGCGCGAGGACCAGGCCGCGCCGCAGAAGTCGTAGCACATGACGTTCCAGAACGTCAAGTGGCGGTCCATCTCGCCCACGAGCAAGACGGAGATGTTGTCGATCGCGGCCGGCGCCGCCACGCTGAGCGTGAGGCTGTGGTCGATCTGGTCCAAGCTGTGCCGGAGCATGCCAAGCACGTGCACCAACTGCGACGCCTGCGCCGTGTTTTCGGGGTACTCCCAGTCGACGTCGATGCCGTCGAAACTGTAGCGCGTGACCAAATCCACCGCCGTACGCACAAACGTGTGCATGCGCTTCGGGTCCTTCATGACGTGGGAGAAGGCGTCGTGCGTGCCCCAGCCGCCGATGGACATGATCACCTTCAACGAGCGGTCCTGGAGCTTGAGAGCGTGCAAGACCGAGAGCGAGCCTTTGAGCCCGGCCACCATGGGCATTTCTGTATCCGCCCAGGGGTCCGAAAGCACGACGGCGCCGGAATCCCGGTCGACCTTGAGAAACGCGTAGAACACGTGGCTCAACATGCCCGTGGGCAAGTCCAGCGCAAAGTGCTTGGACTCGTATACTGACCAGTTGGAGAAGTAGACGGCGCAGATGAAGCCCATTTTGGTAAGATTTATCAGCGAGAGTGCCAGATTGGTAGTTAAGCTAGAGCGCCAGATTGGTACTTCAGTTAAAGCGCCAGATTGGTAGTTCAGTTAGAGCGCCAAGTTGAGAGTTTAGTTAGAGCCACCCAATTGGTAGTTCAGGTGATGCGCCAGATTGGTAGTTCAGGTGATACGTCAAGTTGGTAGTTCAGGTGATGCGTCAAGTTGATAGCTCAGGTGACGCGTCAAGTTGATGATTTAGTAAGGGCACCAGAGGGGCAGTTCAATTAGAGGGCCAAATTGATAGTTCAGCTAGGGCGCCAAATTGACAGAGCAGCGCCAAATCAGATATTTTACCTTAGCGAGAGTGTCCTGACGCCGAAGTACTGGGCCACAAGTCCGGCCAAAAAAGTGCGTTACCTGAAAGTCACGTGTGCCCGGCTTCGGAGGTATGGAAGCGAGGTTTTAGAGCAAAGTGGAAAAGAACCAGTAGTAGTGGCGAGCTTGGGCCGGGTGCAAATGTCGTGGGTGCGAAAACAGGCCCGCGCGCAGGCCGGCCTGTATTTATTATATTAGCTGTCACGTGTGGTGGGTGGCTCCGTACAATTGGTGGGAGAATTGGTGGGTGTGTTCTTGGTTGCTAGGGATAAACTCAGAAATGGCTGCTGTTGTAAATGTACCCGAGCTTTAGACGAAAGCTTCAAAAAAAAACCGCTTTCACAGGCTATAGGCTGGGGACCGTAGATGGTCTTTCAGACCCACAGCTCTGCGCGCTAGGCCCCCAATATAGGGCCATGGTATGTCAGGGATCAACGATGTAATGGAAAAGGGGTGGTTTGTCCCGATAAATGTCCTCTGTGGGCCCAGCAAAAGTAAGGGATGTATGGGTACTTAATAATCGGGAATAATGTCTCAAGAATACGGCCTTTCAGGGTATGACGGGGTACGACGGACTGTCTAATCCATAGACCCAAAGTCCGAGAACCATGCCGCACGCTGGGCCAGAGCACCAATACAGCACCATAAATATGGACGGAAAAAGCGAATTCCATTGCCCGACTCGTGCCTCAGGATATAATGAACCCACAGTTTCTCAGCCGTGTTTACCAATATTCCGCCACATGCACACAAAGATCATCGTAAACTGGACACTACAGATGGCTTGAGCGGGATGATCAGGCCACACACAGGAGAGATAAATGGAAAAGAAAGGTGACGCATTTCATGGTAAAATTCCGTTCTAATTCTGTTTTGTGGCTGAGAGCCGTCTGCTCCAGCACTATGCTCAATCGCAAATATATGACTATCTTGACCTGGGATCCCCCAGGGCGTAGTATTTCTCATGTTCGGCAGAAGAAGGCGATTTCCAAGCACATACATACTCTTTGATAAGAGCAGCCTCTTTCTACTCCATTGAGTAGAGAACGGGGCAAAGTAAAAGACGGTCGTGGTGTCCTGCTCCAGTGGCCGAAGCGCAGCGCGAATGCATCAGGTGTTATACAAGACGATGGTGAAACCTTGTTCAGTCCGTGTAGAAGAAGCCGTGCATATGGCTTTGAATGAATTTCAATTTTTCAGGAGAATTAGGAGCGCCGGCAGTATGGCGGCGGATACTGTAGCTGTTTTCAATCAGCAGAGGGCCCGTGGCTGCGCACCAGCTTAGAGCTCCATTACGATATATTATGCCAAAAATATACGGAGAGTATATGGTTTCAGTTACTGACTAGCTGCCGTGCTATATACAAGTACAAGTGCTTAGGATTTGCTCTGAGATGCTTTAACAGGATTTTGTGCCGATTCCGGATCATGTAGGGTGTGGACGGTGGAGGCTATAGCTGGTCTTTCCGACCCATGCTGGTGCGCACCCATAAGACCACCCAACAAGAGCAGGCAAATTCCATGACCAGAGCTCCTTTTTATAAAAAAAAAAGCATGTTTCAATGCTTTGAGCACTTGTAGAAAACACGCCTTCCTTTCAACAAGATTGCATGGATGGGCGGTCATAGAGGCTGGCCACGTTCAAGTGGCCTGGGTATGTAGTAGATGGGAGGGGGCAAGACCAGATTTCTCTACGTGCTACACCAGGCGAGTGTGCCCTTTATGGCGAGGTAAAAACGCCGGTGCTTCTCAAAAGACAGACTCGCCCAGGGCATGAGTTGGGCCATTGCTAGTATTTGGTGTTGGCCCAAGTATTGCACCGTGCCGGTGCGCACCGGGCCAGAGCCGGTACATCAATAAACTACAGAGGAGTGATTTTAGAACCATGGATCTGGAAAAGATCACTGCTTATGAATGCAAGATATTAAATGGCAATGCCACTGCGGCATGGAGGGCGGGGATTTCAGCTGGCCTCTGACCGGATAGTGTGGTTCCTGGCTGAGCGCAGGGCCAGCGCCCCGGGACATCAATCACATCGCAAGGTCGGACAGCTGCGTGGCCGAGTTTCGTACTCGTCGGCTGTGAAAGCTGCTTTGGATTCAAGTCATCCAATTGCAAAAAGAAAAAGGAATAAGAATATTATTTATTCCTATATGCATACATATGCTACTGTCAGACGACATTCAACATGTCATTTGGTGTGTTTCTTAGTGTATGGTGTTGCATCAAGAGTTGCCGTGTTGAAGTTCCGCTAGACATGGACATTGTCCCAGAACCAGATGAAACTCAGAGCGAGCCAATTCTTGAGGAGTTCAAACTGGGCGAATTGCAAAAGTACACTTATATGTACTTCAAACATTATATTACATTTAGACATATTTGTCCCCAAATGAAAGAATATTCTATGAGTTGTCTAGAATGATATCTGACGGAACTCACAGTAATGGAAGTGCATATAGTCATATATGCGCTTACAAGGACCATCAGTGTCAAGCTGATACCAGGGACCTTACACCAAAGACTATTTTTTATATAACTCGTTTTTCAAATACAAGATGGGATTCGACGATTTGAACTTTTTAAAGCTTGGATCTCTGCGGCTCAAGATCCAGGGACTCAAAACGGAAAGGCCCCTATATTTAAGAGCACGAGCCGAGATCGTAATACTCACCGGTCACTGGTGCGAGACGATTCGCAGCGAGGTTGGGATTAGGACATTGATGAAGGCTAACAAGAGACCTTGCAGCCATTCAATCGACCTTTCAAACACGCACCCAGAATCATCCATGCTCACCTCTCCAAACCAATTCACTTCTACAGAACATCCATCGTTTTCCACCCTTCCCAGGAACTTTTCTGTTCGGGATGCTATATTCTCAAGACGAGTGACGCGACATCTTCTTATCTGCAGCGCAATAACTAGGCTCCCCACGAACTGTTCTAATGTATATTCGACAGTTGCGGGTATCCAACCCCGTGTCAGCTGGGCAGATATATAATAGTAAGGCCCTTGCCCAAAAGAAAGAAGAAATAAAAATATCACTCACCTCCGTTCTCTATGCATGCTTTTGTCAATGGTGCGAGATGATGAGGTTGGGATTAGGACATTGATGAAGGCTAACAAGAGACCTTGCAGCCATTCAATCGACCTTTCAAACACGCACCCAGAATCATCCATGCTCACCTCTCCAAACCAATTCACTTCTACAGATACATCCATCATTTTCCAGCCTTTCAAAAGGAGAAAACCGGACATCTGCGATCCAAGGCCCTCGCCCTGAGACCCGGGCGTCGCGCGGTGGCCCGCAGTTCAGGGCCACGCCCGCGCGCCCCGCCCAGAGCCCTCATCCATACCGAGCGGGCCCAATATCGTCCCACAGCACCAGGGTCGTTTGCGCCACGGGCCGGCCCGCGCCGAGCGGGAAAGCACAGGTGTTTCCGGGGCCCACCGAAAACAAACCCGGCCTGCCAAACCCGAAATTCCCGCCAATGGCGTGTGTGCAGCAGGGGGCGGGCCGCACCAGGCCTCCAGGTCTCCAGGGCCAGGGCCGCACCAGGTCTCCAGGCCCCAGGGCCGCACCAGGTCTCCAGGCCCCAGGGCCGCCCTCAGCAGGCGCGCCCGGTTTCCTCGTCTCTGCAAACCACACTGCTCCTCAATCAACTCCCCTCTACCGCCGCCTGGCCCAACGCCGTGCCCTCCACCAGAAGCCCCGCCCACCCCAAAAGCCAGGCTCGCCCCCCCAAAGCCAGTTTTGCCCACACACGCCGCCCCAGCCGCCGCCCCGCCCTTCCAGCCGCCACCACCAAACATGGCCGCGTTGGACTACATCCAGCAGGCCAGCTCAGGCCTCCCCGCCGCCGTGTCCGCCGCCGACAAGGTGTACAAAGACGACTGCATGTACTCGTTCGACGACGCCGAGAACAACGCCCGCGGCTTGGACGTGTGCATGTCGTGTTTCCAGGCGTTTGCCCGCGCCGGCCACAAAGACTACACGGCCGAGCACTACGAGCGCAAGCGGCACGCGCTTTTCGTCAACATCACGCGGCTGCGCAAGCCGCCCCGTGCCGCCGGCCCCGCCGCAGAGGCCGGTGCCGCCGCCGAAACCGCCGCCCGCCACAAGGCGCCGCGGCTCGAGATCGTCGAGCACAACGAGCGCGACCTCTACGACGAGACGTCCAGCGTGTACGTGGCGCCGCTCGATGTGTCCGTGGCCACGTCCGCATGCCCGGCGGGCGTGGCCGCGTTGGCGCGCGACATTCTTGCCGCCGACGCCGCCAGTGTCGCGGCCGACATCCAGGCCTGGCAGCTGCAGGTGTTCCCGTGCCAGCACTCCTTGGCCACCACGCCCGCCTCGGGGCCCGCCTCGCCGGGCTCGCTCGCGCACTGCGCACGGTGCCCGCTCCGCGAAAACCTCTGGGTCTGCTTGGATTGCGGCGCCGTGGGCTGCGGCCGCGAGCAGTTTGGCTCCGCGCTCAAAGGCAACTCGCACGCGCTCAGCCACTACGAGCTGACGGGGCACGCGGTGGCGGTCAAGTTGGGCTCGCTCTCGGCCGACGACGAGGACAGCTGCGACTGCTACTGCTACCTGTGCAACGACGAGGTCAAGGTGCCGCAGTTGGCGAGCAAGTTGCGGCCCTTCGGCGTGGACTTGTCCAGCGCCGTCAAGTCCGAGAAGAGCTTGGTGGAGTTGAACGTGCACACCAACCAGTCGTGGCAGTTCAGCGTGGACGGCGCGGCGGGCGCCGCCATGGCCCCGGTGTTTGGCCCGGGGCGCACGGGGCTCCGCAACTTGGGCAACTCGTGCTACTTGAACTCCGTGCTCCAGGCCTTGTTCTGCTTGCCGTCGTACCGCGCGTTCTTCGCGCCCATGCGCTTCGACCCCGCCGTCCCAAACGCGGCCTTGCACTTGCCGTCGCAGATGCTCAAGATGTATGACGGCTTGGTGTCCGGCCGCTACTCCAAGCCCAGCGCCGCGGCCGACGACATGTACCAGGCGGGCATCCGGCCCTCGGCCTTCAAGGCGCTCATTGGCGCGGACCACCCCGAGTTCCAGACCAACAAGCAGCAGGACGCCAACGAGTTCTTGCTCTACTTGTTTGACAGGCTCGACAGGCACTTTGGCCTTTCCTTGAACAGGGACTTCAAGTTCCTCGCGGGCTCCAAGGTCGTGTGCTCCGCCTGCCGCACGGGCTCCAGATCGAGCAACCTCGTCGACAACATCTCCGTCCCAATCCCATGCAAGGTGCTGGGGTCTGATGCCCACGGCAAGCACATCTACGAAGAGGTCTCCCTCGCCGACTCCTTCCGCGCGTACGCTGCCCAGGAGCACGTCGAGAACTACACGTGTGAGAACTGCGGCGCCACGGATCTGACCACCAAGCAAGAGGGCTTCGTCTCTTTTCCAAAGAACTTGGTGGTGTCCGTGCAAAGAATCACGCTCGTCAACTGGGTGCCTGTCAAGCAGGAAATCCCCATCTCCGTCCCGGACCAAATCGACGTCACGGAACACAAGACGCCCGGCTTCGTCGAGGGGGAGACTGAGAGTCAGCCGAAGGCACAGAGCCCGGCCGCAAACGATTTCTCCCCGAACCAAGAGGTGCTCACCACTCTTCTCTGCATGGGGTTCAGTGAACCCAGGTGCTTGAGGGCGCTCTACAATACCAGCAATAACGACGCCGAGGAGGCCATGAACTGGGTGTTTGCCCACATGGACGACCCTGACATCGACGATCCGTTTGACCCGGATTTTCCCCCGCCGACCAATCGCGCCGTCGATGAAGCCGCGCCCGAAGCCATTGACAACTTGGTGTCCATGGGGTTTGGTGCTCTTCTCGCGAAGAAGGCGCTCGTTTTGAACCAGAACAACGTCAACGCGTCCATCGAGTGGCTATTCAACAACCCGGACGACGACGGCGTCATCGAGGACGATGCCAAGCCCGTCATCAACTTGCAGGACGAAGTTGACAAATTGACGTCCGAGTTGGAGAAAGAACCTAGCACGGACAAACAGGGGAAATACAACCTCAAGGCCGTCATCTGCCACAAAGGCACGTCTCCCCACACTGGCCACTACGTTGCCTTCATCAAGCAGGACGGGGACTGGATTCTCTACAATGACGAAAAAGTCGTGCGGTGCGGCGAAAACATCGACGAGATCAAGAAGAATGCCTACATATACTTCTTTGAACGGCAATGATAATTCCGTTGAGGTTTCGGCGCGCCCTGTGAAGAGGCGAGTTTGTCATGTATGCATGAAAATTCTACACGACCGATCCGCGGATTTCCCGCGATTCTTGTCTTTGTTTAGCTCTTGCAGGGGGTGTTTTCTGATTTGCGCTAACGACAAGAACAGAACCGCTCACTATGATTATCGGTGTTATTTTCAAAGTTAGCCTGATATGCTTATTAATGTAGCTGCGCGCACTGGACATACGTTCTGGACTGCCGGAAGATTTCTCATGCGCAACTACTTTTTATTACGGTGATCCGTCATATAACCAAAACGCAATGAGTCAATCAATGAAACCGTGGCTCTAGTGCGGTATTAAAAACTTCAGCAAAGCCGCTGCATCAATAACAAGTTTTCTTTAGAGCATTTGACTCACATTTCACGATTAGTTTCTGGTTAAACAAGAGAAAAATGTTTGTTTCCAACGAGAACGTCGGCGACAGAACCCGCTTAGAAGACTGGAGAAGTATGTTCAATAATTCAAGTGATTTTTGCAAAAAATTTTTTTTACTGGCACCCGCCTTATTAGCTTTCTTCAGTGACCAATTTGACTAACACCATTAGTTCGTGGCTACGATCCCTTGTCTCCCCCAGACTTGTTGCAACACGAGTTGCCAGTCACAGAAAAAAGCAAAGCCTCTATTTTGAAAGGCAGAGATGACGCTGTCCAAATCCTTAATGGTGATGACGACAGGCTTATAGTGGTCATCGGGCCATGTTCCATCCACGACCCCAGGGCTGCCCTTGACTACGCACACAGATTGAAGAAAGAGGCCGAGAAACATGCTGGCGAACTCCATATCGTCATGAGAGCATACCTTGAAAAACCAAGAACCACCGTTGGCTGGAAAGGCTTGATCAACGACCCTGAAATCGACGGTTCTTTCCAGATCAACAAGGGTCTCAGAATCGCGCGCAAGTTGTTCGTTGAGCTCACGGAAATCTTGCCTATTGCCGGCGAGATGTTGGACACGATCTCCCCCCAATTCCTCTCCGACTTGGTCAGCGTGGGTGCCATTGGCGCCAGAACCACGGAGTCTCAGTTGCACAGAGAATTGTCTTCCGGGCTCTCTTTCCCCGTGGGTTTCAAGAACGGTACCGACGGCACGCTAGGTGTTGCCATCGATGCGTTGAGAGCTGCCTCCCACCCACACCACTTTTTGTCTGTCACGAAACCCGGCATTGTTGCCATTGTGGGAACCGACGGAAACCAGGACTGCTTTGTCATTTTGCGTGGAGGCAAGCAAGGCACGAACTACGACGAGAAGTCCGTCAAGGACACGAAAGAGGCGTTGAAGAAAGCCAACGTGATCAGCGACGACAAGATCACGCGCAGAATCATGGTGGACTGCTCGCACGGCAACTCCAACAAAAACCACAGGAACCAGCCCCTTGTGGCCGCTGAGATCGCCAGACAGGTCAGCCAAGGCGAGGAGGGTATCTGTGGCTTGATGATCGAGTCCAACATCGAGGAGGGCAGACAAGATGTGCCTGCGCCCGAGCAAGGAGGCAAGGACGCCTTGAAGTACGGGTGCTCCATTACGGATGCTTGTATTGGCTTTGAGGACACCATTCCCGTGTTGCAGACTTTGGCCGACGCCGTGAAGGCCAGAAGAGCTGCTAGAAAGTAAGTGTATATAAGCAGTATAAGGACAAGTGATTGGGCACGAGTGGCGGGTGCGTCAACACACCACCCACAGGTCTGTAGTTATAAATATGCGGGAGCCGAAAGGCCCGTCCCCAGTGCCCGGGCGGCCCAGGCGTCGTCCGAGGGGGGATTCATGCGACCGGCCTAGTCGTCGTCGTCCGAGGCCGCGAGTTCGTTCATGAGGCCGGCCTTGTGGAGCACGGCGTCCCAGTCGCACGTGAGGATGACCCACGTCTCAATGACGCCGATGATGAACATGCCACTCCCAATGCCTATCCACAAGCCCTCCAAGCGGAGGTCCGTGGCTTTCGTGAGCACGAACGCGAGCGGCATGGCAAACGCGTAGTACGCAACGAAGTTGATGACGCCGCCAATCTTCTGCAAGCCCTGGGCGCGGAGGATGCCGCTGGCCACCGAGGCCACGCCGTCGCAGATCTGCAAGAGCGGCACCAACGGCGAAAAGAGCGACACGATGAGCTCGGTGACGGCGGCGTCGTCCGTGAACAAGCCGGCAATGCTGCGGCGGAACGTGTACAACACCACGCAGTTGAGCACGGCCGCCGCGAGCCCGGCGAGCAAGCCCGTCTTGGTGGCCACCTGGCACGAGTAGAGGTTCTGCGCGCCGACAAAGTGCGCTATCCGCGTCAGCGCCGCTATGCTGACGGCAAAGGGCACCATGTACGTGAGCGAGGCGACGGAGGCCACGGCGCTCTGCGCCGCGAGCTCGGCGGTGCCGAAGTACAGCGCGAGGAGCGTCATGATCTCGTAGGCCACGTACTCGGACTCGAGCATGACCACGCCCGGCACGGCCAAGCGGGCCACCTGGCCCCAGTTCAGGAAGAGGCGGCGCGGCGCGCAGAGCCCGAACCAGCAGCGCGAGCCGTCGACGAACGCCACGTACAACACGAGCAAGAGCGCCATGAGCCAGAAGTTGAGCACCGTGGCCACGGGCGCGCCCGCGAAGCCCATGCCGTGGCGGCCGTTCCACACGAGGTACCACGACAGGAAGACGTGGATGGGCGCGCACACGAAGAGCACGCCCGTGCCCGCCTCGAAGATGCCCTGCGCCTGCAAGAAGCGCTTGGCGTTCTCGAAGAAGATGTACGGCGGCCCGCCCGCCACGAGGATGCGCAAGAACTGCGTGGTGAGCCGCAACACCTCGTCGTTGGCAATGACGTGCTGGAGGAGCGCGTCGCTGTGCCACCAGAGCGCCGCGCAGGGCACGTACGCCACGAGCGAGAGCGCCACGCACCGCTGCACGTGCACGGACACGAGCTCATGGTTGCCGGCGCCGTACGCGTGCGGGCACAAGGTGTCGAGCGCCGTGGCGATGCCCTCGAACACCGCGAGCGAGATGGTCAGCGTCATCAGCGCCAACGACACCGCGGCGAGCTCGTCCGTGCCCAAGTGGCCCACCACGAGCAACGACACGATCGAGAACAAGTGCTCGAGCACGAACGTCACGATGAGCGGGGCCGCGTACCGCGCGATCGTGCGGCCTTCGACGGCAAACGTGGTCCGCACACGGGCAACGTCGCCGCGGGGCCCGCGCCGCGCCCCGGGCTTGCCGCCCGCCGCAGCCGGGCCGCCCGAGCCGCCCGAGCAGACCGAGCTGGAGCCGCCCGTGTCGCTGTTGTCGCCGCCGCTGTCCACGCCGCTGTACCGGCGCAGATGCTCCTGGAGAAGCCAGCTGTGGAACAGCGCGTGGTCCTCCGAGGGGTGCGCCGAGCTGAGGGTCGACGGGAGCGAGCGGGCGGACGACACGCTGGCGCCGTCGCTGTCGTCGGCGGGGCTGGTGACGACCAGGCCGGACTCGTCGAGCGAGAGAAACGAGCGCTGGTCGTCCGCGCCGCCATAGCTGAAGAGCGGGTAGTTGGTGGACGGCGGGATGTAGAGCCGGCGCCGGCGGCTGCTGGCCGTGTTGGGGTTGGCGAGCTGGTTGATCACCTGCGAGAGCACCATGGTGCTTGTGCGGGGAGAGGGTGCGAGAACGAGGGTGCGACAACGAGGGTGCGAGGAAACAGTGAGAGAGCAGTGCGGGAGGGAAAGGGTGCGAGAGAGTGCGAGAGAGTGCGAGAGAGTGCGAGAAACAGGGCGGGAAACTGTGCGGGAGAGTGCGAGAAACAGGGCGAGAAACTGCGAGCCAGAGCAGTGCGATAGATTGGGACAGGGCGACGGCGGAGACGGGCGGCCAGAACGAACAGGCTCCGGGAAATCGGGCGAGGCAAGCCCGGGCCGGGCCTGGCGTCGCTGGCATCCTTTCTGCTCGTTTCAGGCGGGAGTCAGCGTGGTTCGCTTGCCATCAAAAGTGCAGTGGAAACGAAACGAAGCCCGCCTGGCGCGAAGGTGCTCGGGCGGGGCCTGTCGACTGGGCCCGCGCGGCGCGGCGTGCCAGAACGGGGCCAGGCAGCCGCTGTGGCCTGGAGCCATCGCTCCGCGCCTGGGTGCGTGCGCCCCGCGAGCCGCGCCGCCAGGGCCGGAGCGGCCCAACAATGCCTACGGCTCGCAGCCTTGGGGCCAGCCTGGGACACAGATTTTAGGAGCTTCTGCTTTCTTGTTCCGTCTTGTCTTTTTTTTTTTTTCCCTAGCTTTCTTCCTCTCGTCTTTTTCCTTTCTTCTTCTTCTCGTCTTTTTTCTCTTTTCTTCCTCTCGTCTTTTTTCTTTCTTCTGCCTCTCGTCTTTTTTCTCACTTCTTCTTCTCGTCTTCTTCTCGTCTTTTTTCTCACTTCTTCTTCTCGTCTTCTTCTTGTCTTCTTCTCGTCTTTCTTCTATCTTCTTCTCGTCTTCTCGTCTTCTTCTCGTCTGTTTGTAGAGACCGCCAGGCAGCGGCCACTGCACCGCAATGTCCCGGCCGGCCGAGCTCGTCGCCCTAGCTCAGCCATAATCAGTCGTCCTAGCTCAGCCATGACCAGCCGTCGTGGCTCATCATATCCCGTGCTCAGTCATGATCAGTCTCCTCACCGGTCCTGGCGCACTCCTCCTTTGGCAAACTCATCCTGTCACATCCGGCCCTGGTCACCCATGTCTTTCTCAATGTAGCTCCCTTTTGTTCAACTCGTCACCCAACACCCTCGATCATCTCGCCAATACCCTCCGCAACATCCACATACAGAATTAAAGAAACATCCACAAAGAAACATCCATAAATAAACTCCTCTCGTCTAAACAGCCTTCTAGAGCAACATCCACACCAGACCACCCAAAAAGCTGCCCAACACAACCACCGTGAGGATCGCGGCCCCGGCCTTGTCGCCCGAGCTGATACTGATCAAGTTCGTGTTGTACAGCGACAGAGACAGCGTGTCGTTTCCCGCAGAAACATCACTGTCTTCCGAGCTGCCGCCCGTCAGCAGCGTCAACGGGTCGTGGTCCACAGTGATCATCGACATCACACAGTCCAACGCAGACATCTGCTCGCCGAGCCCGTACTTGCCGTCCCAGCCCCCGTACGCCCAGTTCATGCCGCACGTGATGCCGTCCGTACCACCCGAACACGACTCGGCCGCACCCTGCGCACTTGGCACCAACCAGCCCGTGAAGATCGTGTCGTAAGTATCTGGAATCAAAGTGGCCGTCAATCCGAGGCACCGCGAAAACAACGACCGGAACGACCGCTGGTCGGTATTACACACGTCCGAGTACGCGCACGTGGTTTCGGTCATGATTGAGCCGTTGAAGAAGTAGCTCGAGGCATCAATCACATCCTGAGCAGCCGTCTTCCATTTTGTTTCTCCAGTGGCATTGTACAAATACGCATACCCAGACATGAAGATTCCATACGTGTACGACCATTCGTACATGGTCAAGTCTGTGCAGTTCTCGGTGGTCTCGGCACCGTCGTAAATGATAAGCTCGCCATCCTCTTCGACAAAGTACCCCACATCCCACATCCAGTCGTATACCTTTTCAGCTACCTCCAAGTACAAATCTTCGCCGGTGTAGCGGTAGAGCCGCGCGGCAATATGGAAGAGACACCCGTTGGCAATCGAGTTCTTATACGTGTATCCGTTGTTCCAGGTGAAGATCTGCCACCGGAGCCCTCCGTTGCATGAGGTCGTGTCCCACCGGTTGTTCATCGAGTTGAAGATGGCCTGGATCATGTAGAGCCAGCTGTGGTCCGTCGGATTGGTGAAGTTGCGCTCCACGGCTTGCATGATGGCCATGCCCCACACACCCTGGTCATCGTTACCCTCGGTCAAACTCTGGTTCAGCGGCATGTAGTTGTAGTCATCTCCTTTTTGCGCGTACATCGCGTCGTAGAGGATTTCGGTGAATGTGTCGTTGTCGCTGGCACAGTAGGCCCAGTAGTCCACCCAGCCACCGAAAACCTCGCCGGCGTGCCACCAATAGTAAGGCGCACTGAACATTCCGACAGTACCACCGTACGTGATTCCTTCGTAATAGTTCATCTCTCCCTGGACAATTTCCTTGGCTGCAGCACACACGGATTCGTCCGAGTTCACGTCAAGTGACAACGCGAGCACGCTTGAAAGCCAGAGGAAAGATGCAGGGACCATTTTCAACAGACCGAGCATCATTTTCGGCGTGGTTCCTATCGTTTTCGGTGTTTGCTTGTTTTGTTGTGTCAAGCCGCGTTAGTATGCCTAGGAGACAGATTAGAGTATCGAGGCGTCCAGCAGATTGAGCGATAGAGTAACTGCACTCAGATGTTCAATTCCAATGCAAGTCAGATGATTCAAAAAGGTTCGAGCAGAACGGGAATGATGAATCTGGGGAAAGAAAAGTGAGCCCAACGAGCGCCCTCATTTCCGCACGCCGCAGATCAGGCAGTGCGGGCCCGTGTGCAGGTCGAGATACGCCTTGGCATCTGTTTCTGGGCGTGGCGCGGGGCTGTGAGCAATGACGTGGTTCGGGATGGCGGTGCCATGGCGCGTCACGTGACCGCCGGCGTTCCGGGGCCGGGTGTGAAAGTCTGCCCGAAGGCCCGACAACGAGCCGTCACAGTCCTCCTCGAGCCAACGGTAATGCTTTTTTTCTTTTTCTTTTTTTTTTTGAGCAGCTGAATGGCGCAACTGGGGCGGCAAGTGCCCGGGCCAATTCTATAATTAGCCGCGGCCCACGCATTCGATGCATAACATACCGTTGGCTTGAAATTCCAGCACTTCCTTTCAGCCAGCAGAGTGAGGAAGTGAAGAAGTTCTTCTTTTCTGATTCGACTATCCAAAACGGGGCACAGCGCTGGCAGCAGATCAGCCGCCAAACAATAAGAGTGCACTTGTTCCCTTGCCTAATACATGCCGTGGAGTCGCGAGTGTCACGTGATCTATATTGGGCCAGGCTGGCGAGGTCCTTCTTACCTTCAAAGGCACCCGGTTGTCCGTCGAGCTGACAGAGATTCTGGTTTGAGGGGAGCTCAGAAAGCATTTCTAGAATTCTATATGGGGTTTGTAAGTGCAGCTTCATACTGGTCGATGATACCTTGATCAAGTGCGGAACAGATGTAGCAATTCGTGTTGTGCAGCATTCTAAAGTGCACCCAAGGCTTCATTCCGCGATTATTATTCTTCCCCAATTTAGTGCAATCCAGTGCCTGTTAAAAATCGGGACCTAAGAACAACCCGTTCGCTTGATACAATTGTTTTTCCATATACGCAATCTTCAACTTAAGCAACAGATGAGAATGGGCACTTTTAAAAAAAATCTCAAACATGTAAAAAAAACTTCTCACTTAACCTTTGTTTTCTTGACCTGGAATTTAAGTTTAGCCCCTTCAAGAAACGCCGATCCTACATGACCAGTCCAAAACACATCCCATTGATATCTAATTCTCAGCAATGGTTCTTTTTCTTTTTCTCAAAAAGGTCGTGCTTTGTGGCTGTTTGATGTCGGTCCTTCGACTTTCAAATCACATAATACGGCTCCTTATCAAAGCCTTAGACTGGGTACTGGATACTGCAATTAGTACGTGTCTACCTTGAACATTGTATACACCACCCAGTTTGTGGATTGTAGTCAGGTTCTCTGTTGTGGCTCAATGCAATTCTACTTCTCTTCTTCGCCATTTTGTGTTCAAGAATGTCGAAAATGTTTTCTAATAATTTTAGTATTTCAGAATTTGTCTGCAACGTGGAATTGGAATTACGCGGGCACTTTTACAACGATCAAGTACGGCCATCTTTGCAGGGCGGAGTATTGATTGTATTCGTTGGTGATAAAAAACAATAGCCTGTTTCAACAAAACGGCTGTACTAATTAATCTGAGGCAATCGCTAAGATTCGGGAATGCATCGTTAATACTGCGTCACGACGCGTGGAAGCTTGTGCGAGCAAATGCGAGCAGGCGACATTTGAAGATTCTACGTCATGCCCCATGGATTCAGCAATTTATCTCTCGAAAGTAAGAGAAAAGGAATATGACTTCTTCTTCAATACTCTTCAAGGGTCATTTTTTGACTACATTTGAGCTTGTTAATAAGCGGACGACACAAAGGAAGTCAGCGACAGGAAAGCTTTGAAACTTCCAGTTTTCAAAATCGTTTCATACCACACGCATGGTCAAAATTTGCAGCCTGTCTAAACCGCATCGTCTGATCGCAGACATCCGAGCACTAGATTTGAAGGAGAAATATAATTCAACGCGTCCCGGGAAATGTCGAGACCGCCCGGTGAGCTTATGGCATCAGAATTGTGTTCGGGATGCCGAATGCGGAAGCGCGGTGCGCAGATTCCGGCCCTACGTTCAAGAAATTCCGGCCGGTTCGGGGCCAATCAGACCCTACTGATTTATAAGTGCTCGATGTATTGACTATTCAATTAGACGCATACATTCGAACAAACACGGCTATGTATGGGCGTCGACGAAAGACCCAGACAACCGAAAGATCCTGGGGAACGAGGTCCTAGCTGCTGTATTGCTCCGGATTATCCGAGTCAAGTCACAAGGCTCCCAACCACGTGGACGAGAATCAGTAGAACACTTTTGTGGTTAATGGTTTTTCGTATAACAGTAGCTTTGTCTTGAATTCTTTTCGAAGATGATCTCACGCATTAGTCGCCAGTCGTTTGCTCGGCGAACATTTCGAACTAGCCCTGTCAGATCAACTCCCCTAAGACACGTCTCGACCCGTGTCTCATCCCAATACTCCCTTCTCAAAAGAGCGGTATATATATCTGTCGGTCTTGCTTCGGGGAGCTTGTTGTACGTGGCAACCTCAGGAGACAACATCGAGTTGGAGAGCCCGGGGAATGGGGTGACGGTGGAAGAATTGAAGAAACACACCAACTCCGAGGTCGGCGTCTGGGTCGCCCTTAACGGGAAGGTGTATGATTTGACGGGTTTCATGGCCGTCCACCCGGGAGGAAAAAAAATCATAGAGAAGTACGCGGGCAAAAACGCATCCTCAATCTTCAACAAGTTCCATGGGCCGGACTTCATCGCCAAGTACCTCTCAGCGGAAGAATGCTTGGGTCCGCTCATTGGACACCTCGAGGAAGCAGATGATGTCACCGAAACCGGCGACGACCACCAGAGACAGATGTATAAAGAAAACCTCCCGCCACTCAGCGAGATCTTCACGTTGACAGATTTCGAGTACATAGCGAAGAAAGTCTGCTCGCCGTCGGCGTGGTACTACTATTCCCTGGGGGCCCAGGACGAGATCACTTTGAGAGAAAACCACAACGCGTTTTCCCGTATTTTCTTCAGGCCCCGTGTGCTCATAGACGTGCCTCTGGTGGACTTGTCTACGACCATGTTGGGCACACCCACCGGCGTGCCTTTCTATGTCTCCGCAGCGGCACAGGCCAAACTAGGCCATCCAGATGGCGAGCTTTCCATTGCGCGTGGATGTGCAAGTGCTAACGTGATCCAGATGATCTCCCATTACTCTTCGTATTCTGCCGAGAACATCGTGAAGGAGGCCACGCAGGGCCAAAGCCACTGGTACCAGCTATATGTGACTGGCAAAGACGCGGCCAGACATACCATTGAGCAGGTGCAGAACTTGGGTGTGAAGGCGCTATTTGTCACGGTCGACACGCCAGAGCTTGGCCGCAGGGAAAAGGACATGAAGCTCCGTGCTCGTTTGGAGAGAAGAATCAGCGCCGGTCTGTCGACGGACGAAAAACGTACCGCTGCAGGCTCCAGTTCTGGAAACATTGACGAAAACCACACGGCAAAAAATAGTGGGGACAGCGCCGGAAACGGGCACGAGGACTTGAAGTCCAGTGTTGTCTATGGCCGAGACTTGCTGGTCACGTGGAAGGACATCAAGGAGTTCCAGCAGTGGTCAGATCTTCCCCTTGCAGTAAAGGGTGTCCAGTGCGTGGAGGACATAGTGCTAGCTGCCGAAAACGGTGTTGATGCGGTGGTGCTCTCCAACCACGGCGGCCGCCAGTTGGACTACTCCAGGGCACCTGTAGAGGTGTTGGCCGATGTCATGCCTGTTCTTCGCCAGAAAGGCTTGCAAGACAAAATCGAGATATACGTCGATGGCGGTGTGCGCCGGGGAGGCGATGTGATTAAGTGCTTGGCGCTCGGCGCCAAAGGCGTGGGCTTGGGCCGCGTGTTCTTGTATGCCAATGCTTGCTACGGCGAGGCCGGAGTCCACAAAGCCATCGAGCTTTTGAAAGAAGAAATGCGCATTGACATGAGGCTACTAGGTGTGTCCAGCGTGCGGGAGTTGGGCCCCCAGCACTTGGACTTGAGAAACTTGCATGCTCGTCTGGCGCCTTGTGATCATTTGTATTACGGCAACTATGAGCCGTTGTCTCCGCCGCAGTTTACTCATGAGGAGTGAAGCAGAGATTTGCTAGAGATTCCAAAAAGGATCGAAGACCTCGAAGTTGTTTTGAAAGAAGGCCGGGATTTCGAGTAAAGAGAGCATTGGTTTCGAGTTGCTCGGAAAGGGCCCGTAAATAGGCGCTGCAACACCGGCCTGTAGCAGACTCAATAGAAACATATTGGTATCGGTGCCATTGACAGGCCGAGCATGCAGAATGATGGATGTTATTCCAAGCCTGGTATTCCTGACACGTACAAGCATCTTCAACGGGGCATCTATGATACTCACTGTGTTCGAGTAACGAGGTCGTTTGGGCCAACCAAATAAGGCAATATCATAGCTTACATACTCTCAAAATCCACCTGATACATTTCTTTATCACGTACGCTGATAAATAATTTTTCCGGTTACAAGTCTCCCGACCAACAGTTTTCGGTGAAACAAGCAAAAAAACCTGCTCATTCTCTCCGCTGCGTGAATATGAACATCAACGTCTTGTATACCCTGAGCTGGCATGATACAAAAGCGGCATTAGTATTCCATGTCAGCATATGCCGCCGTAGTATCCATGGTTCCTTTATGCTGACGAAAGCATTATACAAGGGCGTCAGGTTATGAGCGACGGGTGAAAAACTCACACCTTTGGTATTTGCTTGTACTGATATAAAGAGGTGCAGTGACGGAGCTGAATATGTTGTTTGTTCAGAAGCTGCATCTGGGTGCACTCAATATCCCAGCCATCATAAAGCGTTTGCCCATGCGTCCCCATCTCCAACAAAGTATTTTGTTCGGGGTCATTATAATATACACAGTCATGTCCGGTATTCACACTGTTGGAGCTTAAATCGGGGATGAGCATGGCTTAGCAAACTCCGACAGCGTTTTGCATAACCAACATGCGCAATCGCTTCTCCTTGTCCCAAAATTAAAAACGTGGGCCAAACAGCCTTTCAATTATTGTTCGTCATACCCAAAAAGCCTCAAAAGCTCGCCGAGGCCACTAACACACACCCGATTATCGGAAATCATCACCAAGTCTTCTCCATCTAATGAATCCACAGCTTGGCCCTCAAAACAGTCGTTTGAAATGACCTTCGTTTGTGGCTTATGGCTCAAAAACACTGATTTCTTGCTGCGGTCAAGGAGTACGCCATTCCATCCGGACTTGACGGCACCTACAAAATCTTTTTCATAATGGTCGCCCACGTGCCATGCGTTTTCCAAGAAATCATTGAGGTTTTTACACTTGCCCTCTTTTAAATCTTCGAGATAGTATGGTTTGGAGACCTTCTGAAAGAACTGCCTGCTGGGTTTGGTCACGCCCAAATCGTAGGACAAAAACACACGGTTTTTTGGGAAGTACGCCGAGATCCCAAGACTTTCCATCACAGAAAACACGCGGTAGTCTGAGTTGGACGCACCCACAACCCTGACTCCATTTTCCTGAAGATTCTGCAAGACGGGAATGACGTCATCAAAAAGAACATAGGCTTCACTGCCTGAAAAATGCTCGATTAAGCGAGTGCATAAGGCGCTAGTAGTCTTGTCGCCTTTTGGCATTGCGTAGAGCCGCGTGATGAGTTCACGCCACCAGTCATTGCTGGATCCAAATCCTGGCATGCCCTTCCCGTAATTTGGGAACTCCAGTTCCATGCGCTTGAACACGGCAGGAAACTCTGTTTCTATGCTGCATAACAGCTTATCTATACCGAACTCTCCGTGGGAGATTTCATAGTACTGCTGTGCAATAGGTGCCCGAGGAGTGAATAATGTATTCCAGATGTCAAAAGACATAATCCTGGGGAACGGAAATCGAGACTTTGCTTGTGACTTACTAATGCGTCCTGGCTGGAGCGGATCAACAATTAGCGAATAGTTTCTGGCAGCAATTTTCAGCGATATCCAGCAATTGCGAAACATTAGATAAGGATGAAGAGCTGGTGTCGATAAGCACAAACCTGCTAGAAATTAGCCATGCTGGATGCGATTGCTAGAGCTATTGTACAGGCATAAATCGATGTCTTTCTTGATGACGCGAATCTGCCTCTGGTTTGCAGAAATACGAGACCGGATTTTTTCGCGATATTTATTCCCTTCCTAGCCTTCCAATAGTACAGTTATAGAAAGAGCTGGAGATATGGTCTGTGTTCGGTCTGTTTGACAAGTCTAAGAATGCTAAAACTCTGTTTTCACTTTGTTTGAGCGCAACAATGAAGTTCTGGAAAGGCCTCGATCTTTATCTCTATTTATCAAAAGTTGCAAAAAAGACTAGATTTCGAATATATGATAGAGTCTAAACCCAGCAAATAATTATGTTTAGGGTAGTATATGAAGACCACAGCAAAGTTTCAAAATTTGGAAGCACGGTAATCTTCAGCTACCTTTGTTAGAAGAAACTCCTTAAGCTGTGTTTTGCGCCACTGTAATCCCGAAGTTTTGAAACTCTCAAAACTTGGTTCAGTTTTCAAGTACGTGCTCACCAGCTTGATCGAAAAGTTGATGAGGTAAAACAAGTTTTTGTTTATTTTCTCAAACTTCATAGATTCTATATTTTGGAAGCTTTTAATTAATTACGCAAGAAGTACCTCCCATCCCCACTCCCTCATGACAGAGCTCCAGTGAAGCTTACTTGTGATGCCTCTCTCATCGCTTGAAGGTTTGCGCCGCATGGATTCTACGACTTCTTGTAAATGCGCCGAAATGTTTTGTGGATCGTCAAAATCAAGAGTTTCGTCATTTTTCTTGTCAGGTCCATCCCTCTTTAGGTTTCGGTCGTAATCGTCTTTTCTTCTCCAAACTTCCTTCACCACTTCAAACGCCCGATCGATATTTCCGATCCAGATTCGCTCCACAAGCAAGGCCCATCTTTCTTCGCACCACTCGCGTTCTTCGCCGGGCCGTGCTTCACACGAACTGACCAAGAGCGGGAATATGTGCACAGTATACAAGTTCGATGTACTGGGAATGGACGCCAACAACACAAACACTTTTTCAGCCAATTGGTGTGACGAAATCAGGGGGACTTCAGGCACCGCTTCGTGCAAATAAAGAAGCGTAGCGTACCTGTAAGCCTCCGCAGTGGAAACACACGAGTAAAGATCCCACGTGGAATCTTTTGTATCATCATTCAACATGTCTGCCAAGTTTGTTGATATATTCGGTTTCCAATTAGTGAGATGCCGCTTGAGTTCTGAAGCAATCGTGATGTTGCTCAAACTATTGCGCGACGACTTCTTGTCTCCATCTTGAGACTTTCGTACCTTAGAAATTAAGTTCGCCACTTTGCCCATAATCAGGAAAAGAGATTGCGCACATCCTAGAAGTGGGTCAACAAACTCGTTGTTCTGCAACATTGTGTCCAAATTTTCGAAAAACGCAAAACTTTGTTTGAACTGATCACTGTAACCCAGCCTGAAGGATTCTGCGGGGGAGGTTTCCAGCTCTTGAGCCTTCAACTCGCTTATATCGACAGACCTCTTCTTTTGGTTGGTTTGGATAGCTTTAGTGATGGTTGCCACAAGGTCAATTCCTTTATCGTCGTGCCCGCTATAACTGGTCATTTGAGAGAGCACCTCGAAATAAATCCACTGATTAAAAAGAAGTTGTATGTTTTTAGGTATGAAGAGCCCACTGAGTGGCCCCAGTGAAGCTTCGCAGTTATCGGCCCCATCTTCAAACTCAGTCATCTTTTGCCACTCATCATCAGTCACAAGCACTAGTTTCTTTTTGAAAATTTGCTCACGTGAAAAATCTCTATTCTTTTTGCGAGTGTTCAATGAAAACTGCGTGATGATACTGAGTACTTTTTGAATCATACTTCTTGCTCCTTTTAAATGGGCAATTCCACTCGATGTATGGGTGTCCCAGGATTCACTTACCGCTAGGTTAAGACAAGTAGCTAAAGCCACATCAGCAGGAAGATGAGCATCGGAAACATCTCCATTCTCGAGCCTGGAGAGACCGGTCGCCAACTCAAGAATGCACTTTTTCATGTAAAAGCATCCCTTTGACCTCAAAGATTCACTTTTTTCACGCAATTTGGCATTGCTTGCAAGGTGAAAAAGAGTCATGGATGCTATTGAGTTGAACAAGTAGGAGTATTCGACAGCAAGAGGGAGATAGATATTGCGCCAGGGATTCTCATACGCGCCCGACTGAATAGACATGATCCCACATGTGTAAGTTGAATAAAGGTATAAGATCTGCTGCCGCTCAGATGCTCTTAGTAAGTTTGCATCGTAGCTTGTCGAGTTGATAGACGGAAGTGAATACCTGTGATTGATAAGTTGTTTCCCCACATCACTCAATAAGGAGCTCGGTTTTTTATCTTGTAATTGAAGAGCCAATCCGTTTCTATCCTCCGTCAGTCTGTCAGGAGATGCATCGGGACTTTGCAGACCAATATGGGAAATGGGTCCTGTCGCAAGATCCAAGGGGCTGAGCGCAGACTCTGGTATGTTATGTCCCATGCTTCCCACGTGCATCGAGTCCTTCACGTGATCCGGATTCGTGAAAACAAAGTTGAAAAGCGCGGATAATGAAGGTGTTAAGTTGAGATCAGAAATAGCGTCTCTGAAGACCGGGGTACCCGTGGTTCCAGGCAGTTGATTGGCGTGTTGTACCTGCCATTCGCTTGGAGATTGCGGGGTATTTGTGAACCTCGGGGCTTCAATATCCTCTGCTTTGGTCATTATTTGCGTATTTGGCAATCCAGGAGACTGTTGATCCCCGTTTGCAAATATTTGAGGAGGCGCTAGTGAGTTTCCAGCGCTAGTGTACATTGGCGATGATTCGGAGGATATCGTACGAATCTTGTCCACAGCAGCTTCTGCGAGGGACTGGAGCCCTGTCATAGATCGGAACTCGTTGCGAAAGTTCGTCACCTCAGACGCTGCTTGCAGGCCCGACGCAGAGTATGATCTCTGGAGCGAATGTGATGAATGCCGGGTGTTTGCTTCATTGGAGCTGTAGCTGCGGCGCATTTTCTTGGAAGTTCTAGCGACGGTTCCATCATCGAAGTACGTGGCTGGATTGATACCTTTCGCCAAGAGATCGTTCTCTAGCTTGATCTCCTTGGTAGATTTCCCTAAGACAGATAGCGATGTAAGCTCCAAGTGCTCCTTGAGCAGAAGCTGCTCGAGGGGTGTGTCCACCAATTCTAAAGGTGTGTTGCTACTGACCGAATGACCCCGCGAGCGGCTCATATCCAGCCATGGAGATAAGTCTGAGTGCAAGCTTGAGGAGGTGCTCATCGCTGTGGGCTTTGTAGATGCAGACAGAACGGAGGAACGAGACCGTTTGTTGGGACTGGCACTTTTGATATCAGGTTCAGTTTCCTTCCCCTCATTGAAAGATCTCCATTTGAAGCGCGTGGCATATCCGCCGCACTTGATCTTCTTCTTGAGGCAGTTGAGGCAGAACGGCTTCATTTCGTCGCATTTCAATCTGCGGTTCTTGCAAGTCAAGCACCCGCTACGAGACTTCGATTTTATCTTCGCATTTTGGACGGGAGCGTTTTTCGGTGGATCCGCCGAGCCCAGGTTCATGAGTGAGGTTGCCTCGTTGGTCGTGAGCATGAAATGCACAGAGTGAATGGCGCCTCGAATACTCGTGGGCGTGAAGTCAGGTGTCCGAACAGTCACTCGCGAGTGTTTTTCGGGTGTGACGAGTAGGTTCGTGGAGACTTATTTCTTGCAATAAGTCTTGAACGGGAATTTCCAAGCGCAGGATCTGTAGCGGTTGTGAAGAGTTCCAACTGAGGCAGTCAATAGTGGATTATTGATCCAACAGCGGGGTCTCACCTACACTTCTAGGCCTGTATCGCTATCGCTTCGCGTTCCCAGACCCACTCGAGATAAGAGACCAGAGAGCGTCCGTTTTAGGCAGTAAAGTCCCCCGCACTGCACACGGCCGCGCAGTCCTGTGCACAGGGCCCGCCAGCCCGCAGAATCAGGCGCACGCTAGCAATCAGGCGCATTATCAGAAGATGGATCTCATGCGCCTGGCAGCTGGCGCCGGATATGGCCCGGATCAATGGAAGCGCCCTTTCACAAGCAGACTGTGGCCTTTGCTCACAGGATTATGAAGTTGGACGGCCCCATCCGATAACGGAACTTGGCGCCCGCTCCGGAATCGGCGCTGGCCCGGGTAGCATACCGCACCCAGGGAAAGCACGTGTATTTCATTGTGTCCTCGTCCACCCGTAGATAGGTCACTTTGAGCCCCGAGTAGGTGAACATGGGCATTTCGAACGAGACCGAGATCTCGTGCGCCGCGTCCTCGGCGGTCGCTCGTAGCTGGGTAAACACCGAGGAAGACGCGTGGCCCACGCCGTAGTACTTATCCAAGTCCGACATGGGCGATGGTTCGTCGTCCGATGCGGAGTCGTGCTCGGCGGGGGAGCCGCCCTGGTTTCTGTTCTGGTGGCGGGCGTGCCGGTGGAATTCCGCGGCAACGGCCCTTTCGGAAAGATGGTCGCAGCTGGAGAGCGAAAGCTCGGCCATCAAGCGCACGGCCTTCTTGGACCCCGGCAAGTCGCCGATGGCCCAGAAGACCAGCAGGGAGTCTACGCTGAAGCGCGCCTCGCCCGACTCGCACTTGAACCTGAAGTTGTCGGCACTGGAGTTGTTCAAGGGGAAGAGCGCGGTGCTCACCGGGATCTTCACCACGACGTTGTTGCAGTGGAGCCGCTTGCGGAAACTGGTGTGGAGCGTGCACATGATCTGGAGCTTTTTCTCCAGCAGCACCACGCGGAACACGGGCAGCACCATGAGCAAGGGCTCGGCCCGCTTGCGCCGCTGCTGCTCCACGCTGTAGGAGAACAAGCGGAACTCGTCGTCTGGCGGCGTGAAGAAAACGAGGTTTTCCTCGTACACTTTGGAGAGCTGCACGCACAGGTGGAACTGGACGTTGGTGATGGGCACGCGCATGAGCCTGGGGGCGGGCACCGGGCCCTGGAGCGGCTGCAACACGTCGGAGTCGAGGGGCTTGTCTGCGGCCTGCTCGGCGTTTCCGGTGGCCACGCTGATTGGGGCGGTCGTTGGAAGGACACCTGCACTTGGAGTGGCGCCGGAGTCTATGGGATTCTCGTCTGCTGTGGGCGCCTGGCCACTTGGCGATATGCGTCTGGGCCCGGGGCCAGGGACCGGCGAGTCCCCGGGACCTTTTCCTTGCGAGCCCGAATGCTCTTCATTTCCGCATCCCAATTCTTCTCCTTCCAAGCCTCCCAAATCCTCTTCCCTTCCGCCTCCCGAATCCTCGGAATCGTCCCCGTCACTAGCCGAATCCGCGTCGCTGCCAGACCCCATGCCGGCGCCCCGGATCTGGTTGCCCTCGCGCCGCCCGTGCGAGAGCGGATTCCCCGATACAAGAGCCCCGTCGTGCTCGACCTGCGAAATGTACCTCTCGTTGAGCCCCAACTTGCACACCGGCATGCCCGAGAGGTACGAGCGCACCATGCACACGCCCGAGATCTCGTTGGTGCGCACCGCGCGGGCCTCGAGGTCGTAGAGAAAGTCACACTGCTCCACCACGTCGATGTAGATCTCGTTCTTCGGGTAGAAGATGCCCTTGGGCCGCCAGCTGATGGCAGAAACCTGCGTGCGCACAATGGAACTGTTGACGTAGCGGGCCGCGGCGTCGTTGACCACGTCCGTGCGGTCGGCCCGGTTGTGTGTGGACTTGACGGGGGTGTTCTGGCGTTGTTTGCGGCCGTGTTTCAGGGCCTGGGACCGGGCCGCCGGAACGCCCGACGGCAGGTCCGAGTCCAGCGCCGAATCGCCCAGGGCGCCGCCATCCAGCCCGGCGCCGTGGCCCCGGTGGACGTCCATCTTGATGTACTCCTTGAGGATGTTGTAGTCCGTGACCTGCGCGAGGCCGAAGTCCACGCACTCGTCCAAGAGCTCGTATACTAGGGCGTAGTTATCCACCACGGCGTCGCGGGAAAACGGCAAGACGCCCGGCTCGGACGGATGGGGCGGCCCGGCGGCCGGGCCGTGCGCGCCGGCCCGGTGGAAGTAGTGGCACACGAGCGAGTGGAGCTGGCCTAGAAGCGCCATCACCAGCATGGCGTCCACGTTCCGGCGGGCCACCGCGAGAAGGAGCATGTCGTTTTCGGCCCAGAGAGAAATGTACGACGTGCCCCGGTGGCACGTGAACGGCGTGCGCTGCCACGGCGGCTGCGCCTGGTACATGGCGGCAAACGCAGCCACCACCAAATCCGCAGAGGGCACGTCGTTATGGTAGCTGCGATGTAGGAGCACCTCGCACCGCAGGTACTGGCCACTGCGGGCGGGCCAGTGGCAGAAGTAGATGCCGGAGACCATGGCTGTGTGCTGGGGGTCTCGAGGAGGAGGGCGGTGTTTTTTTGGGGGGAAACGGCCGTGGGGCGGTGTTTTGGGGTGGGTGCTGTGTCTTGGCTGGTTCTCGCATGTCGGGCCGAAAGCGCCAGGGCCAGGGCCGCGAAAGACCAGGGCCAGGGCCGCGAAAGAACCAGGGCCAGGGCCGCGTTCTGGGGCCGCGAATGGCGGGCCGGGGCGCCCGCCTCGATAGGTCCTCATAGATGGATACATTGGAGTTAGGTACATTGTAGATAGATATACTATTGATAGATATAGATAGATCAATGAAGTATAGATGGAACGTTGTAGATGGATACATTGTGGTTGGGTACATTTTAGAGAGATACACTATTGATAGATACATTGTAGATGGATACATTGTGGTTGGGTACATTTTAGAGAGATACACTATTGATAGATACATTGTAGATGGATACATTGTGGTTGGGTACATTTTAGAGAGATATAATATTGATAGATATAGATAGATTAATGAAGTATAGATGGAACATTATAGATGGAACATTATAGATGAATGTTTCATAGATAAATACACCATAGTCAGGTACACTTTCGATAGACACGTTATAGATCGAGACAATCTAGATCGGTTTATTATGGATAGATACTTTATAAATGGTTACACTATAGATAGGCACATTATAGATCGGTGCAACATAGATATATACGTCATAGTTAGGTATGCTATCAATAGGAACACTATAGATAGGCACTTTTAGATGGCTTTACTATAGATGAATACAGATAGATCAATAAATTTTAGATAACTACATTGTAGATGGATACATTGTAGCTAGGTACATTGTAGCTAGGTACATTGTAGATAGATACACTATTGATAGGTACATTGTAGATGTATATACTATTGATAGATACATCGTTGATGGAGCCGTTATAGACAGATGCAATGTATACAGCTGCACTTTAGATAGATATAGATAGATAAAAAGTTATAGATGAAACATTGTAGATGGATACATTGTCATTGGGTACATTGTCATTGGGTACATTGTAGATAGATACACTATTGATAGACACATTGTACATGGACACAATTTAGATAGATTTACTGTGGATAGACACTTTATAGATGGATACATTATAGATGGAGACGTCATAGGTAGATACATTGTAGCTTTCGAAGTTAGTCGCATTGTAGATAGATAAACTATTGATAGATACATTGTCGATGGAGACGTTATACATGTTACATTGTAGACACATGCTCTATAGTTGGATACAGATACAGAAATAAATTATATATGGATCTATTATAGAAAAATACACTATATATGAATTATTATAGAAAAATTCACGATAGTTATGTGCACTGTCGAGAGGCACATTATAGAGAGAGACGCTGTAGATAGCTTTATTATGGATAGATACATTATAGATAGATAAATTATAGATGGAGACGTTATAGATGGTCACACTACATATAGGCAAGTAGATCGGTACAATATTGATATATACATCCTAGATATATACATCATAGTTAGGTAAGTCATTGATCGGTACACTATAGATAGGCACTTTTAAGATGGATTCATTATAGATGGACACTTTAGAGATATATACATTGTAGCTAGGCCCATTGTAGATAGATACACTATTGATCGATATAGTATAGATCGGTACATCATAGATCGGTACATCATAGAGTTATACATCCTAGATATATAAATTATAGTTAGGTATACTATCCATAGGTACATTTTAGATATAGACGCTATAGATACAGTCATTAGAGTTAGGCACTTTATAGATGGACACACTATAGATAGATTTATTATAGATAGACACCTTATAGATGGATACACTATATCTGAATACATTATAGATATATAAATTATGGATAAATACAGTTTAGAAAAAAAATAGGTACATCATAGATGGAGACGGTATCTACAGATACACCATAGATAGATTTATTATATTTTGACATTTTGTAGATGGATACACAATAGATGAATACAACATAAATTAATGCAGTATAAATAGATGCATCATAGATTAATAAATTATGGATAGTTACATCATAGATACTATCAATATAGTTAAGTACACCATAAATGTATATAATATAGATAGAAATGTTATACATAGACACTTTTTAGATTTATGTTTTAATTTATACACTATAGATAGGTACATCATAGATATATTCACTCCAGATGGATACACTAGAAAGATACACTATTGAGAAATACATCATAGAACAGTCATACCGGCAGATACTATATATATGTATTTGTTGGGGGAGACGTCTCCAAGGCCTACAGGTGAATGCTCTTTTAATGGTCCTACAGACATGCAGCCCGGCTGGCCAAACCGTTCTGCTTGTGGTCATGCTTGACCCGCGACGGAACATGCCCAAGTAAATGGACAAGCCGCTATTCAGTCCGGCAAAATCTTTTCAAGCTCCCTCGAACATCTTGATATAGCGGCGCTTCGTTGCGTTTGTTATGGGTACAAAGGAACACGGGAAAGACTATTTTGCACCCAAATCCTGGAAGCTCCAAAGGACACACGCCATGCTGATGGTGACAGTGACTTCTTTTGAATTGGTTGCAGGTTTTGCGGTTGTGCTCAGCATGGCTTCGAGTCCCGTCTCTTTTGGGAAATTGAGCAAAACATTCAGCACTTGCGTGGGGACCGACAATTTCTGGACCATCACTTTTGAGTTAGGTACACTTCTACATTCTGTCCAGACTTTAGCGAGATATTTGCGCCTTATTTCAGCAAAGAGTTTGTTTAGATGTGAGTAAGTCACTGACCTTCGAGTTCGCTGTATCGTTTTTCTAGATTTTCAAATGCTTTATTGCGTTGTTAAAACGTTAATTGTTCAGTTCAAGGGTCTAATAAAATAATTTCACGAAATTTTGAGCCCTCTATTCCCTGAGATGGGGGATTTTATTCCAATACGTTGATTTTTGACTCACGATATCGCGCTATGAAAGTATGAGACCATACCTATAAATCGGGAACATGTCGAGTCGCATACCGATATAAAGAACGCATAAGCATTGCTGAGCTCGATTCAATTATTTGTTTTTTTAATGATTCGCCAAGCTCACCAAGAATGGCATTCATCATTCATCAAGCATCGGCTGAAGTGTCCCCTTAGGGCTCTAACTTGTGGAACAAAACGCTCATCTGGTCTCTGCTGGTCTCATTTTCTATTGTTTCTGTTGGGCTTACTTTATACGCACTAGGCATTTCATTCTTAGGCACGTCAAACTTTTTTTCCGTCTGACTTCGAGTCAAAAAATACTAGTGGATAAGGATGGCTAGTGTAATACGCAGTGGTATTCTATGTACTTTTCGATCTCCGCTATACATAATAGAATTAGAACAAAGGGATAAACTCAGGGACTAGATTGCAAATGCGGAGTGAGATGCGAAAGAAGTCGCTTAAACTGGCTCTTTAGAAAAAATTGGTTCACACGAGCATACAGCTGGGGGGCTGTTTGGATCGGCGAGCCCGTAGACTATTCTAGTGCCCGATGAGCTGCCCACCAATTTCAAATACCTCGCGTTGTAGCTTGGCCCGATCTCAATTTGAGCTATCAGCCTGTTGAAGTGGGTGACTGCCAAAACACCCTCATCTGCGGAATATGTGAATTTCGTTTCCTCCATATTATAATCAACATCAAGAAATAGCGTATTGTTCATCCCGAGACCGGCAACGCGGATGAGAGGAACACTAGACAAATCTTTCAACCCCCAAACTCTAAATTCAGAGTCTGCAGACTCTAAATATACAGTCTGAGTTTTTTCAATAGCTTTCCTATCTCCCGTATAGGAAACTTCTAGCCTCGATCCAGAGCCCACTGTGACACATCCATCCCCTTTGATCTTCGTGTGCGCAATCCAGTGAGTGTTGTACAAACAAATTGATCCATGGTTAGACACAGCCACAGAGCCGTCTTCTATAGATGTCCCACCCACAAATAACCAAGCCTTAGATCCAGAACATTTTTGGAAAATCATTCTGCCTTTATTGTACCATAGCTTGTGAGAAGTGACAATAAACAGCATCCTCCTGAATTGAGATTCACACAAGCCAAAAAACATATCACCGGTATTCCAAAAGAGATTTCGAGCCATAATAGCATACATGGACTCACGTTTTAGGGAAGAAGATGTAAAGGAGCTTATTCCATAATTTCGGAACTCGGGACCTCTAATTTGTAATTTGAGTGGCCGATCATTGTTTGTGACAGAGAAACTGCCATTATTCCAAAAGTCACCCAGGATAAGCACACGAGAGTTGTTGAAGATAGTGTGGTTTACCCCTGATACAACAGTCAAACCGGTGAAATTCCTTTCACCACCTGAGATCTCCACAGAAGCATTCAATCCTTCTGCAAACACAACAATGAATGAAACCGACCAGGCCACGGCAGCCGCAAAAAAACTGGATTTCATAATACGAGCAGCCCGGAGCTGATCTGCAAGTTCAGAAGTATTTCTCTTCGCCAGCAGTGATTTCAAGCGAAAGACCGTTTGGATTTGTTCTCTAATTACAAAAAAAAAACCGCTGCATATTACAGCCTTTTATATTTTCTCTGCAATGTAAGATTTTTTGCTTGTTTAAGTAAAATTTTAGTCTCGAGTATACTGCTTTCTCTTCTATTATTCTTGCAACAATAGACAGTGCCAATTATCAACAACAATAGAAGCTTATTATATTCCTTGAGTTGGCACTCAAGTTATTTTTAAGAGATGTTCTAAATTTGGTCAAGTACATACCTAAGCTCTCCGGAATTCAGTTTTAACCTTTGGTTTTTGTCTTTGTTTCTGTTCTTGCTTCTGTTCAATTTTTTTATTAGACCGGTCTCCAGTGCATATAGCTATACGATTCGAAACAGCTGTATATCAGCTCCTCTGTCTTCATTAAAATGAAAGCCAGACATAGAAGACTGATGGAATCACAACTTCTTCGCCTTAAGAATAAAAACAATATTAGAACTTCACACTCAGTGGATTGACCATTCTTGCCCACACGTTTTACACTTGGCCAAGGAAATGTTTTGGCTTCGCACAATAGCTACTTTCGACAGGAATGAGATCGTTCCTTATTCCAAGTACCTCCAAAACATCTGTTTCATCTGTGAGCGAAAAAGTACATCTCTTATTCTCTGTTGATTCATTGAAATACTTCATGAAAGAATATTTTATATAATTTCAAACTCCCAAAGGAAAGTAGTTTTTTTAGAGAAAATTGTGCAACCAAATTTATTAAGAGTTTGCCAAGAAGAAGCTGTTGCAACAGGTAATTCAATATTCGCAAATGGAAGCAAGTCCATAAATTATACAAGATCTTCTTCCTTTTTGCTTCTTTCCGCATTCATTTTTGCATTTTTTGGTAGACTTATCTCATAAAAGGGACTAAACTCTGCAACAATATATAAAATCTTTGAAAAGCCCCCACCTTGTATGATCTTTTTCTGAGCCTCCCCTTATTGTAGCTAGGGCCAGCCCAGATCTGCATGTGGAGCACCAAGCCCAGAATAATCAACACCATATTATAGGGTGTCACTGGAGGGATGTAAAGCCCCACCACTAACGAGAAAGTATGAAGAAAAAACCTATAGTACATCGCAATAATGACTCAGGTGAGAAGGCGCGAGCGCCAGCTCACAAAATCTCCCAAAGAAGAGGTGACTTGACTCAAAAAGACCTCTGCCCATAGGATCTATTTTCCTAAGGGCCCGTGGCCATAGCTCATTCAACAAAGCCGCAAGACGTACGCTTGTCTTTGCCTGCTAGTCCCTAAGCAATTTAACCCTACGAACGACTTTCACAAACCAATTAAGGTTTCTTAAATTGCCAAAAGAAGTATTAAAAAGATCTAGTATCTCCCTTAAGTGCATTGGAGCTTGAATGCCGATCTTTTGCCACCAAAAAAGCCCAGTCTCACAATCATTGAAGAGGTGAGTTAAGTTCTGATCGCTATAACAGCTTTTCAAACACAACCTGCATTCGAATCTTGATTCCCCCACTTCGTTATCATGAAAGAGCATATAGGAGGCGTGTTTGAATACATGAATGGCTGTGAGATCTTTTTGCACCAACCATTCTTGGTTGTATAATTCTTTCCAAATTTTTTTTTTTTGGTAGATTCATCTGATTAAAGGGGCAAAACTATATAACGAATATATTTAAAAAACCTGTAAACAGCTCCCAGCTACGTACCAAGTGTCTTAGCTCGGCCCGTCCCCTTTCATTAGTCACGACCTGGACAGTCCTCATGGCACGTATCTGTTTACGTATTGGATTCCAAATTTTTCGCCAGCGTTTCGGGGCAGATCACAAACATAAAGCCTTGAGGCCAACAAATGATATCGAATATGATATTATACAGTTTTACTAGATTTGAGAAATTGACAGTAACAAAATATTGTGACTTCCATTCCATATATATGAACTTCGAGGTTAAATTTCGGTTGCGGCCATACCATGCAGGAAGCACTGTTTCCCGTCCGATCAACGTTAGTTAAGCTGCATAGGGCCACACTGAGTAGTGTAGTGGGAGACCATATGCGAAATTGTGGTGCTGCAATCTTCTTCGTGTTTTTTTAGCTCCTCATTTTTGTGAATACCCGCAGAAATTTGTTTTAGAATTGCCTATAGCCCTATAGTAGAAAATGATAAAAAAAAACCTGTGCTTCAACACTAAGTACGTATTTGTTTGAAGGAATATGTATATTGTTGTTTAATTTTGTTCCTTTACACAGATGGAGTTACCAGAAACAAAAACTTAGAAAATATAGCAGTCGTGTTAGCTTACCCCCATGAGCTGGGCATCTGAGTGCCCCTCTATGAATCATAATTTTCCTTGAAAAACATAGTAGATCCTTAAAACTTGCAACCCTAAGTGGCGGTGCACAGAAGTTGTTTCCGGTTTAGCTTTGAATCATCGAGCTTTACACCACACAAAAGAGGGAAACCCTAACTGACGTTCGTAGGGATACATTTTTTGATCATTCACGGCTCACAAAAGAGTGTATATCATATTTTGACTCTAATCTATCTTCAAGAGGCATAAATTGTGACATGCAATCTACAAACTTTTACATGAGCTGTATTCCAAATAAGTATATACTCGAAGGAATATACTCCTTTATCGATAGATCCATCATAGATGTCGACGTATTTAGTCTAAATTCATATCTTGGAATGATATATATCTGCTTAGAAGACATTTCTTGGGATATAGACGACATATGCTAATACGCCACTAGGGTATGTATAAGATAAGATACTTTTTAGAAACCAGATAGAATAAAAATTACAGGAACTCTAATAAAAGGCTGCTGAAACTCAACACTTTTTGAGAATCGCTAAACTGTTTCATCATTTTATTTCAACAATGAGCTGACCCAACACTATTTATGTCAATTACAAAGTATATCTGCGAAATTTTTGCGTCATCTTTCAGGGCACAGACATGTGATACACTAAGCTGAACATTGGGATATTTTGAGAAAACTTCTGTGACAACGTTTCTTGGGTCATACATTAGAGATCGTTAGATAAATCCTTCAACGTCCAACTGTAGTCTTATGTCGGAAGTTAAACCACCAACCCAGACTTTTAGTTCGCACTCAAAACCGGTTCTACGCCCAAAAATTGGTCTTGAAATATTTTGAGCTCCAGATTTCTTTCACTTCCCATTCCGGTCTAGAAACCACACATACTTTTGTCTAACTTAGCTTTGCTGGCTCGGTGATATTCCGCTCCTTATCTGAACCCCACAGCATGCTAATGGCTGTGACGCATGCAGGTCCACGCGAAGATTTGGTAAGTTTCGGCATTTAAATTCCCTACGATTATGACAATCTAGCTTGTCTTCGAAAAACGAGCAAACCTAGTATTTTGCCCAAATGAAAATCAAAATTCCGCTCGTGGAAAACTCGACCAAATTCGTGCGCCACGAACTAGCAGTACTTTCAAAGCAAGCGTTGCAAACGGAGTTAGCCACGATAAATGACGTGCTTCCATCACCATATTGGTCAGTGAAAGAAACGCCCGATGTTACACAGATCGAGGCTTCTTATAAACTTAAAAACTACTTGAAAACGTGGCAATTTCTCAATTTGGTGGCAGCGAACGCGCACAAGCTAAAACACCATCCCACAATCACAACCACGTACAATAAAATTCATATTGCGCTCACTACGCATGATGTTGGAAACAAGGTAACATATTTGGACACAAAATTGGCTACTGCAATTCACAATGTCTATGCTCAAGATTTTGTCCCCGAATCCTCTGGCTCACTAGCCCCTATTCCGACGTTTACCATGAACAGAGCATTTAAGGTCATTGATGATATGACGAAAAGAGAGTAAGCGTCTGCCCGCGTATACACAACGAAATAAAGATCATGAAACTAATGCTGCTTTTTGTTATGCTATACTCCGTTTTCACAAGATCTCTCGAACGTCTCTAGAAGCGCCACAGAACGCGTCATGGACTTCGATGGCATCATACGTACCCTGCAAACTCACAACTTCAGAGTACTCGTAGTCCCAGATATCACTTATCGTCTTTGTTTCAACCACCTTTCTAGGACCTTTATGCGCTCTGGATCCTTTCTTCCTCTTATGCTGCTCATCCTCAGAGGCTAGTGTGCGGACGTACGTGACCAGAAATGGTGGTGTTCCAATAAACTTGAACGTGATCTCAGACTTGTCACCTTCATGGAGGTTCTTGATAATGCTGTCTCCATGACTAATCTCAACCGAAGGCAAGTCGTGGACTTTTATTTTCAACTCCTCAAATTGTTCTTCGAGCTTGGTGTAATTGACAAAACATTGGCTAGCTGACGAATCCTGGATAGCCACTATGGCCAAGTCGCCAGCCTTTGTGGCTAAACGCGTGAATTGCGACTTCAGGTCTGCCTTTCTGTTCTGGTCGTTGAACTTGTAATAAACGACAAAAGGAGAGACACCAGACATTTCATACGATACCCGATCACCGACACAGTAGTATTCTTTCTGCTTCTGCTTCGTGATGCTAGGGACTTTTGTGATTGAAATGACAACCTTGTTCAGTTCTGTGAGTTTCAGACTTTCGCAGTGGCTTGCGTCGGAAATAGCCTCAAACTTGATCTCATGCTCGCCGACCGAGAATCCTTTGTAAGATTGTGGAAGATTCAAATCAGCAATGCTAATGGTGGACTCACGAATGCCTTCCACAATAAATGGTTTCGCTTGACCTTCGTTTCTGTTAAGAATAGTTCCTTGTATCTTGAAAGGAGCTTCGCCCTCGAGAGCCACTGGAATTTGGAGATCAAACTCATCATTCACCATTGTCTCGCAAAGCTGGAAAAAAGGTTGCTTCACACGCAAAACTGGATGCGCCTTGACATCATACGTCACAGCACTTCTGGTTTGCTTGTGAGAGAGTCTCATTAGTTTTTCCTTGGTGTATATCGCGTCGGAGACCCCACTGAAAATAATATTATATGTACCCTCATTCAGGGAGGGTAGGGGAATCAGAACCTCGTTGTTGTCGATTTCTACCAGTGAAGCCTTCAGCCTGCCACCTGGAGACTGTATTTCGTAATTCACAGTGAATGGCTTCCTTCCCTCTAATCTGATTTTCACGCTTTGAGTATCATCTTGGCAAAGTGGTCTGAAAGAAAAGATGCCAGATCCTTCACCAAGTAGTTGTTCAGGTTCCGGGATGATGGTAAGATTTGGCTTGGCGTAATGTCGCAAAGTGAAGGTCTTGCCACTATTCATTACCTGCCCCAGACATCCAGCATTAGTGAATGATTCAAGCTTGTAAACACCTTCTTCGCGCACCACTAAACCGGACCGTCCATGCAATGTAGAGTTCTTCGAGAGTCTTTGATCCGAAAGGCTTGACCACAGATATACAATTTCATCATCCGGCGAAAGCCCCAGACTCGACTGGACGCGCAAAGGTATCCTGATGGCGTCACCTTCTGCCGCAAAAGAGGACGATGAGTCAGCAATCTCGACCAGAGGCACATCCTTTCTGGCTTTGATTGTAATTTCCTGTGGATGTGGGAATTCAGCAGAACAACCAAGACTATCAGTCACATCATGCAAGCGCACGCCAAACTCTCCTCCGTTAAGGAAGCTCGGCACCTCGAGGAGCATGCTGTTGTCGTACTGTTTTTGGTGCTTCACGGTTTTTAAGATGTTTCCTGTTTGCAAGTCGACGATATCATGAGAGAAAGAAAATGGGAAATGACCGTCGAAATACACTGGCACCTGCGTCAGCTGACCTTTACATAAGCGAATGGTTTTTGACTTTGTCAGGGGGTCCTTGAAGAACATGACTTGCGATCTCTTCTTGATGTAAGTTGAAAACGTGTTTTCCTCCTCGGAAACAAGAACTGGGTCGTGGCTGTAGTGCAAATCCTTGATGCTCTTGAACTTCAAGATGTAGTTGCCTTCTGTTTTCGGTTTGAACTGGAAGCTGTAGTCGGACTTGAGGGACTTCAGCCTATGTTGCTTGGAGCCTCGGTCACTTAGCACGGGCTTTATGATCCCAGAAGAGTTCTTGAAGACTTCGTACAGAACCTCGAACGGAGCGGAGCCCAGGAACTTGAGATCGAACTCATAGCCAATCGTGCCGACGCACTTGTCGAAGATCGGCACGTCGGTGATTTTCACGGACGGAAGCGGAGGGCGCACTATGCGGACGGGTGTGCTGTCGGCGTCGCAGGGACAGTACTTGTCGGAGGCCGACTGGAGGACGTAGGAGCCTGGCTCGGAGATCTGCAAGCCGCGTGCAAGCTCGTCTTGGCTGGCGAAGGTGAAGTCGAGGGTCTTGGTGCGGGGCGGCGAGTTTCCGTCGGCGTGCACGAGCGAAACCGTGAGCGGGAAGCTGGCGGTGCCGGTGGTCTCGATATGGAGCGTCTTCCGCGAGTTCCACACGAGCTTCCGCGCCGGGTGCTTGTCGCGCAACGCAAGGGCCGGTGCCTGCTTGAGGCTGATGGCGAAATGCACGTCTTGGTCCTTCGACCTGTCGTTGTAGAGGCGCTGGTTGCCATGCGCGTCGGCCACGGCCAAGAGCTGGAACTCCAAGGAGCCCAGGGCCGCGTCGTTGAAGATGTGCGGCGCGCGCAATAGCTCCTGCTCGATGGCGTTGCGCGTGAGCTGGTGGCTCTGGAGGCGCGCGGCCGCGGAGGGCGTCTCCGGGCGGAGCTCGTCGAGCGTCTTGTGGAAGGTGGTGATCTTCTGGCCGTTCTGGTAGGTGGCAAAGTGCACGGTCAAGGGGAGCATGCCGGACGCGGCCACCATGGGCACGGACCACGGGAGGTCGGCCGCAGATTTGGAGAAGCATTTGTAGCCCGCGTACGCCGCGGCGGGGCCCGGGTACACGAGCTTGGCCGAGGGGCAGTAGCCGACGGAAAAGTCGCTTTTGTATGCCCGGATGACCATGCCGTCCACGTCGAGCACGCGGTGGATGCGGTACCGGCCCGGGTGCCGGATCTCGGCGTCGAGGTAGAACACACGCGCGTCGTTGGCCACGTAGCCGGGCAAGTGGGCGTAGGCAGAGTGGTCCTTGCGCGCCAACTTGCGGATGTCGCTGCGCGAGTAGTTGAGGTACTCGACGGTGTTTTCGGGCGTGAGCCGCTGGAGCAGAATGGCGCCCACTTCGCTGGTCGTGTTTAGCTCGAGGGGGAGGCGGAGGGCGCGGGGGAACGTGTGCGAGTCCAGGTCCGGCGCCTCGAGGCACATGTTGCCGAAGCCAAACGGGTTGAGCAAGGCCGAGGACTCGGGCACGTACTGGATGGTGTAGCTGCCGCGGAAGTGCGCGTTCATGTCCACGGGCGCGGCGGCGGGCACGGCGTCGCCCAAGATGGAGAGCTCCTTGTGCCGGTGGAAGAGGTTCCAGAGCGGCACCAATGTGCTGGACAAAAGCGGCAACGCGCTGTCGCTGGCGAGCGCAAAGTTGGCCAGGTTGATGGCCGCGGTGAGCACGAGCGTGGCAAGCGGCAGGAAGTCGAGGAGCGGGATGCGCAACACCGGCAACAGCCAGAGGAAGACGCCGTCAACCAACGCGTATTTGAGCACGAACGTGAAGTTGTTCAACGCCGTCAACAGCGCCGCGGCCGCCGGGCTGCCGGGCGCGGCGGCGGCCGTGGCGCTGGCTAGGGCGAACGCGTCCGCTTTGACGAGCAAAATGTCGTACACCTTCCAACACTGGATAGCTGCAAACACCAGCAAGGCAAAGAGCCGTTGCGAGGCGTGGTCCACCACATGGGCGGGGATGAGCGTGGCCGGCCGCGGCGGCTCGGCCGCGGCGGCCAGCGGCGGGCGTTTCGGCTGGGGGCGCTCCATGTGCAGTGTACAGAGGCACGGGGACGGCGGGGTGTGGTGGGTTCTGGGGGTGGAAGTAGAAGTAGTGAATGGAGGAGGTTCGTTTTTTCTCGTTGTTTCGCTCCCGCGCGCGGCTGGCCCTAGGGCCCGGGCCCGCGAGGCCCCACCAGGGCAGGCCCTAGGAAAAGGCCCGGGCAGGCCACAGGGCGCACATTTGGCCCAGGGCGTTTTTTTTTGGTTTTTTTTGGGGCCGGAATCTGTGGAGTGATGGATTCGGAGAGGTCCCGGGCCCTGGCGCCGGACTTGAGGGGCGGGGCGGAAATGGAGTGTGGTGGACTGTTCTACTCGTAGGCCCTCTTTGGGGCCGGCCCTGGCCCTGGCGCCGCGCGGCGCGGCTGGGCGTTATGGTTGTTTGTGTGTTTTGGATTCTTCCGTTTCTTTGGGTTCTTTGGTTGTTTTTTGGTTGTTTTGGCTTTGTTGGTTGTTTTGGTCTTTTGTTCTTTCGGATCTTGGTTTTTGGGCTCTGGTAGCTCTGGCGTTCTGGCGAATTTGTGTGTTATTATTGGAAATGGATTCTATGGTATTTCCCAAAGGTCGAACCAATTTATTTAATCATTCTCATTTCCATATACATAGATGATATAATTCAAGGTAATGGTATTGTTATTTATTATTCATTTGCATCAACCGTCCCAACCTTGGCCACATCAAATGTTTTGTAATTTTTCATAAATTACCATTTTCATGTATGTATTGAACACATGGGACATTAACCATGACATAACATAAGGTAAGATAAATAAAGCTATAGTAAGAAAAGAAAAGGGTAAAGACATCTTAAATGATAGAGAACTGAAAAAGACTTCAAGAAGCATTACCTGTTCGAATCTTATGTCTAACTTCAGAACCTTACGAATGTGATGCATTTCAATCTTAGTAGTGGACTCACAAACTTTATTCAAAATGCCAGAAGTTAGCCCTTTTGATCATACAGTTTGTAAAATACCATCTCGTGATTTATACTCAGTAGCCTTAGTGCATATTGATGTGAATTTGTCGGTATCTTAAGTCGATTCCAGTTTTGGATCCTTCAAGTCAAACCAAATTTATTGAAAGCTTTTTTCATGGTTCAAAGTCTAAACTTGTTTGCTAATGTTAAAGCACATTCAAAGCACTCTGTGTAAACTAGAGTAATTTAAGAGTCCCTGCATCATGGAATTACAGTATCTGATAACTGAAAAGTGATCTTTAAAAATCAAATCCTTACGACCCGAAGCTAAATTACACCCTGTATGATTTCTTCTAGCAAATTTCATTAAATTGATTTATTATCTGAAGTATTGAAGGAGAGATGAAAAGTTTCAAAGGTACAACTTTTTACCAGTAGTTTCTACTTTGCTATCAAGTTTCCTAATACGAGCATCTAGAAAGTTAAAACCTTCTCTGATATGTGGGTTCACCGGTTGTCTTTCTGTTTCTCATGGCCGCTGGTGAGAAACGGTTCTTGGCTCTAAGGCCCGCTCGAGGCCTCACTAGCCTATGCGCGCCTGGCACCATGCATCAAAAGGCATCTTGTTTACGTGGCCATCCAGCTCCAGAGTCCCATTTTGTGTATGTATTGCTCTCGCTGGAGACCGTATGAAATACCCAGAAGAATTTGGCTGTAGTTGTGGCCCTGCGGCGGTGAAGCATCTAGGCCCGCCGGTTTTCGCAGCCGAACGACCAGGTTCACTAGCCTTCTGGAGAAACGTAGAACAAATACAGAATCCACTGGGGCTGGCAGAACCACGCGTGGCGGGGCCAGTCTTGTAGACTACTACCCACCCACAAGAACTGGCTCAAGAACCTCTTGCAAATTGTCTCTGCTGGACCATCCCCAGCCCGACTCGAGACTCCACGTTGCCCAGAGATCCATACGATCAGACTGGCTGGTGTGGGGTTCTGTCTTTGCTGCTCCAAGATGGCACATGAAGCTATGTACTGCGGTGGCAAGAAAACCACTCGTTAGCATCCCTTTGCTTGCCAACAATAAACCAAGGTATAGACCTTGACTTCCAGCTGCTTCGGTGGTGCTATACATCACGCCCGTGTTTCATGCTGTCCCCTTTCACCTTCGGTTTCTGAAGCGTTGATGAATTTTGAGTGCCAACGGGATGGCCAAAGATATAGCCTGCTTGTCAGAAACTGTCCTGCTCCCGGGCCCTGTTCTCAGTATTGGCACATTGTCAATTTCAGCCAAGAACGGCCATCATTCTGCAGCCGCATTCTACACCACTCCACGCGAGCCTCGTTGCCTCTCTATTATGCGGGGCGTTCCACCATTCATAGCATGAAGTACTTGAGGCCAGCTGCTGAGGACCGCTCAGATTCACATTTCACAGTCTGTCAGTCCAACGCTCGGTCTATGAATTGTTGGCGATAAAGACGTGCCATTTTCCATGAGACCCGTGCTTATCATTGGCCAAAGAAGATCAAGTTGGTTGGCTCCGGGGAAAACACTGCCGAGGCGCTGAGACTTTGCATTCTGCCGGTGAGCGAGTCCACGGTCTCTCTATCATACTCCCAGAAATATAAGTGCAGCTTTAGTTGTTTCGGGCAAACGCACCTGTTTTCATGTCCGTCATCGGTATTGTCTCGCCCCGTCTTGAGCCAAGTGTCATATGTTACAACATTAGATGAAATCTCTAATTTATGGTTAAAGCTATACTGCTTAAAGTTCAATTTCCAATCGTCACAAGGTAGAGACTTATGCCATTGTGTGCTCTCAGACTCAACGAGGAGTTGGAGCCACCAGTAAACGAACTCGTGCGCTTCCTTCTGACCCGGCAAACCACGCATCAGTCGGTTTGATTTCGGAGCCATTGGCCGTGTGTCTAAAGCCTCAAAGCCCGTTCAAAACTTGGGAGTGTCCTTACTATGACCTCCTACATGCCTCTATATGATAACGACCAAACGACTACCGAGATGAGACCTCCAGCAACAAGAGACGTCCTGGCCTCTTTGGGTCCCCTGCGGCTTGCACCCTTCTTATAAAGAGACCCGTGCTCGCCGTCTCCTCGCTCCACACCGGAAAGAGCCCTCAGGCATCAAAGCTCTGGTCACGAGAGGCAAGCCGCCATCCAACGGTCTGCTGCACCACGATCGCCTCAAAAGGCCCGCTCTCCTCAGCTCTCCTCCACCTCCCACAGCCCGTGCTTCTTCACCTGAATTACCTTGATGACCGGCAAGTCCCAGCCCAACCCACCGTCTCCAAGCGCAGCCCCGTACCGCGGCACCACATAACACTCCCTCTTCGTCGCAGAGATTGTTTTTGGTGCATACGGATGCCCGAGCGGCTTGGAGTAGGTCACGAGGAGCGAGGACTTGGCGATGTTGGTGAGCTGGCGCCCCGAAAGATCCACCAACGGCTTCATGCGCAACTTGGCGAGCCGGCCCTCTCTCTGATTCAGACCGCGGTTGAGCGACTGGTACACGAGGTACTGCGGCGGCGTGGCGCCCGAGCTGCCAATGATGGAGCCGGGGTGGATGTACACGTGCGGCTCGACATCCGAGCCGTACAGCGCCACCGGGTAGATGGTCGAGTAGGGCACGCTGATGATGCCGGCACGCTTCGAGAGCTTGATGTCCGCGTCGAGCACGTCGCTTCGGATGGCCACTTGGTCGACGAAGCCCGAGGCGATGATCTGCTTCATTGCCGAGATCTGCTCCTTGGAGGGCACGCCGAGCTTTTGTTGTCGTCCGGGCCGGCTGGCCGCCGCAAGCAGCGGCACGTTGGCTTCCACGATGTGCGCAATCTGCTTGCGGAGCTTGTGGATCTCCTCCATGACCTTTGCCCGGAGGAAGTGGTCGGCCATGAATGCCCGGTGCTTGTTCTTGGGCACGTGGTCTAGCGCACACACGGCCGAGAGGAGCTTGAACGCGTCGGAGCAGGAATCGAGTCTCGAGAACACGGCCCGCGACTTGTAGAAACGAGCGCGGAGCTTGCGCCGGTTCTCGAGGTCCGCCTGTGCCTCGCCGGCGTCGAGGTCGTCCTCGGACACGTCGCTGGCCCGGTCCGTTTTCGGCTTGTCCGCGATGCCCACCTCCTGCTCGTCGATGAATGGGTCGCCCACGGAAAGCGCGGACACGACGGCGATAACGTACGGCAAGCAGTCGAGCTGGTGGCCCACGATCAAGATCTTGGCGTAGCGCGGGCTCAAGGGGAAGTGTGCCATGGTGCGGCCCAAGTCCGTGATGTGCTTTTGGGCCTGGTCCAACGCGCCCAAGGTGACCAAGAGCCGCTCGGCCTTGGCGAGCGAGCCGCGGTCCGGCGGCGTGGGGAACGGGAAGTTGACGATGTGGTCGATGCCCATGCTCTTCATGGTCAACACCGTGGCCTCCACGGGCATGCGAAGGATCTCCGGCTGGCTGAACTGGTCGAAGTACTCCTCGTAAATCGCGGACGAAAACAAGCGGTAGCAGTGGCCCGGGCCTGTGCGGCCCGCCCGGCCCGCCCGCTGGTCCGCCGACGCCTTGGACACCCAGTCCACCTCGAAGGACTGCACGCCGGTGTCCTCGTCAAATTTGCGCTCCTTGGACCGGCCGCAGTCGACCACGTACCGGATGCCCGGGATGGTCAACGACGTCTCGGCCACGTTGGTGGCCACAATACAGAGCCGGCTCCCTGCAGGCGGCTGGTCGAACACCGCCATCTGCTGCGAGGTGGGGAGCAACGAGTAGAGCGGGAGCACGTAGAGCGGGTCGTCGTCGCTCTGGTGGGCGTCGCGCGGCTCGTCGAAGCCCTCCTCCTCGGAGTCCGAGGCGGCCAGGTCGCTGGAGTAGTGCTCCTCGGCGCGGCGCTCGCGCAACGCGATGTCCAAGTCCACGTCCTCGGCCTCCATGGCCACCTGGTTGCTGGCCTGGTACTTGACGTTCTCGGTCTCTGAGTACACGGGGGCGCTGGCTTTTTTGAAGGGAAACTCGGCCCGGAGCCGCTTGACGAGCGCGGTGATCTCGTGCTGCCCGGTCAAGAAGACGAGGATGCCTCCGGGCGGCAAGCGGCGGTGGATCTTGCACGTCTTCTTGAACGCCTCGTCCATGTAGTCGGCGCGCGTCTTCTTGTCGAAGTGCACGGCCACGGGGAACTGGCGGGCGTCCACGCGGATCACCGGCGGCGGCGAGGCGAAAAGCTGCGTGTTCTCCGAGAAGTCCGCCACGCGCAACGTGGCCGACATGACCACCAACTTCAACGGGCGGCCGCGCTGGCGCCGGAGCCGCACGATGCGGCTCAACATGCCGATGAGGATGTCCGTGTTCACGTTGCGCTCGTGCGCCTCGTCGATGATCAACGCCGAGTACTTGAGGAGCAAGAAGTCCGCCATCATCTCGCGGAGGAGCACTCCGTCGGTCATGAACTTCAAGGCCGTGCCGTCCGCCGTGCCCTCGTCCTTGATGGAGCTATCGAAGCGGATCTGGTGGCCCACGCGGCAGCCGTGCGTGGGGCCGAGCTCTGCGGACACGCGGCTGGCCATGGACACGGCCGCCACACGGCGCGGCTGCGTGACGCCGATCATGCCGGGCGTCTCGGGCGACGCCACGTTGCCGTAGCCGGCCTCGTACAAGAACTGCGGCACCTGGGTCGTTTTGCCGGAGCCGGTCTCGCCGCAGAGCACGATGCAGTCGTGGTGGTGCACGGCCTCCATGATGCGGTGCTCCTCGCTGAACACGGGGAGCTGCATGCGCTGCTGCTGGATGGCGGCGGCGCGGTCCACGCTGACAAAGAACGCGGTCCGCTGGAGCCCGGGGTCGGTGGGCACCGCGGCCTCGTCCTCGGACACCTCGTGTTGGTGCGTGCCGTGCGCGTACTTCTGCCTGACGTCCTGCTGGAGCTCCGGCAAGACCATGTGCTTGTGGCCCTCGAGCTGGCGCACCTGCTGCTCGGCCCACTGCTTGAAGGACTCGGCCGTTGTGGAGTGCTTGGGCTTGTTCTGGAGGAGGCGGGGGACGTCCCTCTCGTCGGTGTCGTCACTTCCGTCGGTGTCGTCGTTTTCGTCACCTCCGTCGTTGTCATCACTTCCGTCCTTCTCGTCATTCTCACTCTCGTCGCCCCCATCGTTGTCACTCTCGTCGCCCCCATCGTTGTCACTCTCGTCGCCCCCAAACTCAGAGCCCGCCAGCTCGTCCGCATCCAGCGGCTCCGAGTCCGTGTGGGGCAGGTGCTCCGCGTCGCTGGCTTCGGCCTCGCTCAGCATGAAGTCGTTGTCGTCCTCCATCTTCGCCCGCTTCTTCTCCTCCTGCTCCACCCTCAATCTCCAGGTGTACTTCTTCGTCGACACGGCCTTGCCGACTTTCGGGAGATTGGAGAAGCCGAAGCCGGCCGAGCCGCCGCTCTGCGGCCGGAAGTCCACGAACGTCGACCGCGTGGGCGCGTCGGCCGGCTCCGCGGAGGCCGCCGGCTCCGCCGCAGGGTCCGCCGCCGCCGCCCCGTGGTCCGCGGCCCAGTCCTTGACGTGCCGCTCCTCGTACAAAATGCCCCGCGTGCGCTCGTCGCCGCGGCCCTGGCTCTCGAGCTCCAAGGCCTCGATCATCTCCTCCCTCCGCGTCAGCTTGCCCTGGCCAAGCCGCTTCAGCGGCGCCAAAAGCCGCGTGTCCATCTTGGTGCCCGCGAGCTTCTCGAGCAACACCTTTTTCTCCTCGCGCTTGATCTGGTGCTCGATGTACTTGTCCAAGCGCTTGCGCTTGGCTCGCGACATCTTCTGCTCCCTCTCGTTTTCCGAATATAGCGTCTCCGCGAGCCGCCGCTTGCGCTCTTCCTTCTCCTCCGCGGTCATGGGCTGCAAGATCTCCGCGTTGGGGTCTGCCGCCACGTCCGAGCTGGGTTCCGGGGCCGCCGGCGCCGGCTCTTCCGCGGCGTCCTCGGCGGGGCGCGTGAACTGCTTGTTGCGGGCTTTCTTGAGCACCGCCTGCTTGGCGAGCATGCCCAGCCGCGCCTTCTCGTTGAACCTCTTTCTGTACTTGCCCATGTTTGGTGGTGGCCCGGATAACTACAGGCGTGAGATTTTTCGCCTTGGAGATGGGCATCGCTGTGCGCGTTCTTGCAGACATGGGGCCGGTGCGCGGCGCGCGGCGAGCACAGCCGGGCCCACTGCTGCGCTGGCTCTGTCGGTGTTGAAACGGGCGTGGATTTCGGGGGCGCTCCTGGAGAATTTCTGAGGCTATTTTTGGTGGCGGCGTTTTGGCGGCTTCTTTGGGTCGCGTCGATTTGACGCTGGCTTAGGGGCGGCAATTGGATTGTTGTTTTGGAGCGGCTCCCGTGGGAGATCGGCCCTGGCGGCCTTGGCCCTGGGCCCTGGAGTGCGCGGCCCTGGAGTGCGCGGCCCTGGAGTGCGCGGGGCCACCGACGGGCCATGCAACCAGCCTGGCCGATTCCAGGAATCAGAGACTCGATGTTCAGCGCGGCCTTTTCTGTGGCTCGGGGCAATTTCCCACGCGGCCTTAGAAATCTCCATCTGAAGCGGCCATGGATGGTTTTTTTTGACGTGTGCCACTCAAACCACAAGGCATTGGGTATGTCTGCGGCGTGGCTGTGCAGTAGACTTCTGGGCCCGTGGTGGGGGAAACACAGGGCAGGAGGAAACAAGAGCAATGTCGTGCCGCTGAGGTCTATTGCATTGACTGATCTCGGCGTGCTAATTCTCCTTTTTTTTTTTTTTTCAATCTTTTTGGACCAGGTATCCTGCCGCATTAATCCAGCCCACCGTAGTGACCAAATCTGTCGCACCCATTAAACCCACCGCACTCATTATCCACGTCTTGCTTTTCCACCACACCACCCCATTGCACTACTCAGCCATTTTGTGCTAATCACGTTCATTGTTCTGGGTTGCCGTACTAAGAGTCCCGCTTTGATAGGCCCTATTTCTATTAACCTACATTAATCAACCCTACAATAATCAACCCTACAATAATCAACCCTACAATAATAAACCCTACATTAATAAGCCCCAATATAATCAGCCCTGCTTTAATCAGCCCTACTTTATTCAGCTACATTAATGAGCCCCACTTTAACCAGCTACATCAATAAACCCCACTTGAATTAGCCCTAGTTTAATCAGCCCTACATTAATATACCCTACATTAATAAACCCCACTTCGATTAGCCCTAAATTAATAACCCCACTTTAATTAGTCCCAATTTAACGAGCCCACTTTAACTAGTCCCAATTTAACGAGCCCACTTTAATCAGCCCTACACTTATAAACCCCACATTAACAACCCCCCTCTAATCAACCCTACTTCAATCAACCCTACTTCAATCAAACCGATTGCTCCAATCGATGCCTCACCGGGCACCGCGAACATGACCTACCAAGCTAACGAAACTTTTGTGAGAAGTACGTAGTACCTTGCAATATATGGCCGGAAATGTTTGGTTTTATCGCAAGTAAGGCGAATAGCCTTCTTGTCCAAGCCGACAGTAAAAAACACTATTGTCGACAACTTGCTCTAAAGCTCTCATAGTCTTTTTTCTTCTGGCACTTCAGTATATGTGTCATTCTATTGTCGCACATTCAAGAAAAATTAGCCTCTTCGTGGGTTCCTAATTCTTTTCGTCTTCGTGTAAAAATAAAAGACAGTAATGACTGTGCACACACTTAAATCCCTGGACAATACCTCGAGGCGTGGATCTGTGAAATTGAAGTCTGTGTGAATATAGTCTATCTGAGAATCGACAGTCTATCTGAGAATCGACAGTCTATCTGAGAATCGACAGACTCGTCGGGATTATTGCAGCAGGAATCGGAGCTTTCAAGTCAATGATGGTGTTGGTTGCGCTTTAGAATGGCCCTTATTACGGGCCGGCCTCCCCGTGGGAATAATTGCCTAATTCTATACACGTGCAACTTGAAAACGGCCAAAGCCAACCGAAAGTTCAAGACTGCTGATTACCTCAATATCACAATCAAAAGCTGCAATATATCACTGAATAGCTCGACAAAAGCCAGCAGCCTCCAAGCCCAATGAGGATTTTGCAATATACTTATTCTTTGAATGGCTGGTAATATGTGTAAATTGAAGTCTCGAGACCTCTGAAGATAGCCAGAAATTAGTAACCCGATTGCTCCAATCGATACCGCACCGGGGCACTGCGAACACGACCTGGCCCTGGCCTGGCCCCGGGCATTTCTTGCAAGACCCAGGATTATTACCCACACAAGACGATAAACCTACCAGAGGCTCGCCAAAAAAAAAAAGAAAAAAAAGCTGCTTAATGGGCCCTTTGCAAGCACATCGCTTTCAGAAAAAAAAACGATAAAGAAAACACCTCCCGCCTGGCTCATTGTTCTAAATTAGGGCCACTCTTTTGCTCGGCCGGGTCTCGCCATCCTCCGTGCATCTTCTCCACAGAATGCTCGCTCACTTCCTCCAATACAGCCCAGCTGCTAAATATCCCCACAAAATGACCACCCGAGATCTCCTGAAACAACGTAAGTCGTCCAAAGCCAAGCCCCTGCGCGGCAAGCGTGGGGAACCCAAGATTCCCCCGCTCCACCTAGGCCTCTACTAACAACACGCAGTCATATATACCACGCTCACGCTCAATTCGACAACCTTGTACGCCACGGAAAACACAAAGTTGACAGCCTTGATTCCCAGCCTCAACTGCTCGGAGCTTGTGTCGCTGGAATTGGGCCTCATCAATGCCAGCAAAACGCTCATTGGCCTGTTGTCGGTGGTGGCAGACCGCACCGTAACAAAGCTGTCTTTGCTTCTCTACTTCATGAAGAAACTGCTTCAGAACCCGGACGGCGGCTTCGACTTGGTCACTGTAGTGGTGCTTGCGCACCAGGACGTAAACAAAACCTTGGTGCTCGCCGTGCTCAAGAAAATCATCGACAAGTATTTCGAGTTCCGCCTGGACTTGGCCTGCGAGTCCAGCGACCCAAACCATCCCCAGGGTGCTGTGCTGGCACCCCTGCCGCTGGCAGTCACCTCCGAACACGCGGCCAAGGTGAAATTGGGCGAGTTCAAGTTGTACATGAACCAGATCATAAAGTTCGAGGAGGTACAGTACGACCTGAACCTGGCTCTATATAGCTACGGGGCCACCCGAAATGGCCGGGACAACAACGCCGGCAGCCCTACGCCAAACTCCGAAATCATCACGCCAAACCAGCTAGTCTCGGCCAACGAAGACGTCGACGAAGTGCGCCTGTTGATGCTCGACAACATCAATAAGATCTTGGGCCGAGGCGACCGTATCGGCACCTTGGTAGATCAAACCGAGCGCCTTCAGGCATCTTCGCTGATCTTGCGGAAAAACGCCGCGTCTGTGAAACGCAAGATGTGGTTTAACAACGCCCGCTCGGTGGTTCTCATCGCCACCGTGTCCGTGTCGTGCCTTTACTTGGTGCTTGGCTTCGAGTGCGGGTATCCTTTTTTTCAAACCTGTCTTCGTCATTGACCAAGATGGCGGAAAGCCTATCCATTTTGATGGTCTGGCGTATTTCCAGAATTTCAAGAGAAGAAAGTCACTCGGCGCGATTAAACCGTGCGCTGCGTTGGAACTTGTCAAAGGGCCTAAGACAAGTCTCAAGAATATGATGGCGAGTGGATGATTTCTGGGAGACTAGATATTCAGTTGTCATGGGCATCGATTTTAATGACTGAAGCCGGGCTCTTTGACTGCTGGCCTGATGAACCAGCTCGCACTTCGAATGCGATTATCCTTGTCCGTGCATGAGCTTCATCTGCTCTTCCATCGATCCCCATTCTGCTCCATATCTACTCGATTTTCAGTCCCACGGAAGCAATGGAATCTTAGTCCGGATTTCCTTCGGGCTATAAAAGTAAAAAGGTGTATGTGACTGGGAACCGCTGCATGAAGTCTGAAAATTCGGAGTGTGGCGGAGATCATGATGACTGGCTCGTGAGCAATGCATATCTGCCTCTGAATATTGCACCTAGTGCTGGCTGTATCTTACGTACGGCAAGTGCAATGAATAGCTTTCTGTACAGACCGCAGTTCTGAGGCCAACATAGAGGCCAGGGAAATGCCTCACTTGCGCAACTCCATACAAGGCATTTAAGATATTCATCTAAGATATAATGAGAGATTTACGATCATGAGAACTTGAGAATAACAAATACAGAAATTGGCGGCTCAGCAGAAACCAGCTTATCGGATGTTTCTTTGACTTCCCCCTTTATGATTATGGCTGATGTGTGTATTATTTTTTTTTGCAACTGATATTCGTATTACATTTTAATTCCTTTCGATTTCTTCCTCCGAATGACCCAATTAAATCAACTGATCCAGCCTTATGTACTCTACTAGACCTACTTGTGTCGATCACGTAATACACTAAAGAAATTTGCCCTGGGCTACAGAAATCAAATTGTTTTCTTCGAAATTACAAATACTCTTGTCGCCTTTTATCTTGATCCATATGTAACAAAGCTGGGAATATGTCGTGTTTCATCGGATGAGACCTATTTTCACATTCCACAGGTCTGAACCTTTTTACTTTGAAATTCATAAGCATGAGTCCGATTGTTTACCATGCTTAAAAATGAACATCTGTAAGACCTGGAACTCGAAGATATTGACTTTCCCCTTGCCAATTTCGGTCATAGTAGCTTTTACGTCAGTCATCTCATCACAACAAGTTCTAGTCTTTAACGAGTAATATTTCTTGGACTGAAACTTCGCTTGCCTGACTCTCCATTATTTAACACATGGTGTCTGCATTTTCTCTCCACGAAAAACCAAAATGTAAGGATGATCTATACGTTGTATGATTTTTCGGTGTTCTTTGTGTCAATCGGTATCGAGCATGGTTTGGACAATTAATGTCACACGACATTGAACATCTCAGATATTAAATTCCTTATTTCCCCTTACAAAGTAGACTGTTCTCCGATCAGAAAATCCAGATTCAGATATATTTTCATCAGATGCTGGTAAATCGCGACTTTGAAAAACCTAATCGTTCTCTTTCAAGCAGAATTCTAATTGTGCTCAATGCACAAGATAAATTTCATTCATATTTGACATCCATATCAATGCCACGGAAGTTGGATCTCAAGGAGCTTGTATTTTCTTTGGTAAACTCACCTGATTAAAGGAACAAAAATATACAATACTGCATATAAAAAAACCCCAAAATAAGCCTCGAAAGGCTGAGTGTCTGCTATGTATGTCCCATACAATAAGTGACATCAGTAATTTACAGATATAACGATGGAATCTACCGATCTTCACAGCGGAATGATGAATTCGCTATGCAAAGTATTGTTGTTTAGCGTAGATCATGAATCATAAACTATTTGAGGTTTATCGGTTTTATTTTGCGTGGATTGATCTCATTGAAGGAACAAAACTGTAATACTAATAGTCTTCAATATTGCAAAGGGTCAGGTCGAGTTTCGACACCTGTTACGTATCTGGGATCTGTTTAAGGTTCCCTATATATAACATTTCCTTAGTTTCGATGTTAATGAGATAGATCTTTTTTTTTTGTTTGATAGGTTCATCTGATTAAAAAAGCAGAAATATATAAATAATAAGTATAACAACCTTTAAGCAGCTCCCAGCTACGTACCAAGTGTCTTAGCTCGGCCCGTCCCCTTCCGTTAGTCACAGCCGGACAGTCCTCATGGCACGTATCTGTTTACGTATTGGATATTACGTTATCGACTCCTAGGATAGGTCTCCTGGAGTAGTCGCTTCAATCCAGATTGTTGTAGCGGACTTAAGGAGCCCACTTCTTGCGACTCGCCACGCCTTCTGGTGTAGACCTTGAAAATCGTGGTGGCGAACCTTTTTTTTTTTTGGTAGATTCATCTGATTATTATTTAATTTTATTAAGTTCTCCAGAGAGTTGTCGCATTCGGTACATTCCAAGAATATATACAAAAAGAATGCAACAATCTCTTCTACTTGGAAGCTTTGATTCTTGAATCCCTTAGGAAATACAATTCTTTTACTTAATTGTCATACCGTTTGCACCAAATTATAACACATCGAAAGCGCAAGTGGTTTAGTGGTAAAATCCAACGTTGCCATCGTTGGGCCCCCGGTTCGATTCCGGGCTTGCGCAGTTTTTTAAATCTCTTCGCGCAAGCCCTTTAATAACTCTCTATTATGAACAATTACGATATTTGGATTCCTTTGGTTTTACTGGAGTGCACCATTAGAAAAGATATTTGATCATAAAAGATTTATATAGTGCAAAGAAGTCACTCAAGCTTTTCACGTAGACTTTTGAAAGTTGACGTTGGGTACTACGCTAGTACTAAATTGAATGACACTAAAAACCTCATGTTTTACTCTGAGCTAAAAAAAGGTTCCGTTATAGGATTTCTCACAAAAAGAAATCTCCTTTTAAACTCCTGACCCAAACCTACATACATAAATTGCAGACATGACGTACCCAATTGGAAGTCTAAGCTGAAATTTTATTGCCCCAGTCAAACTGTTTTTAAGAGTCAAAACATTTATAATTTTCTTTTTTTTCATATAAAAGACAACTTTGGAAGAGGTTTATAAGTCTGTGGATGGTGCTTCCAGGTCTGTTCATGATTTTGGTGGTTTAATAGTGTGTCTCCGTGCTCGTTTCTTTTAAACCAATGTTTTGAGCTTGAACGATTAATTCATATTCCTAGGGTGTTTTACGCAATCGAGGTGTTGCTTTGAACAAGCTTTTTCTTAATACATAGAATGAGTGTATATTACAAACAATGAAGTAAATTATGTGGCAGTTATTATCCATGAATGCATAATCACAAGTGAAATGGTATACGACTGCCTCCTTGTTATAATTCGCAATCTGTTCTGTTTTCACAGATTCCCTGTAGGTTGACTTTTCTCGGGTTTACGTGTTCGCGAATCCATAGTGAAGTAGCCTGTTAAAGGCGGCATAGATGATGAAGTCAAAGTCAAAGTCTCACCTTTTTCAATATTCTGGGAACTCTTGGTATTTGCAAGCTCTTTGTTCGCAATTTCATATAATTTGAAGATGAGTTTGGACCATGATACTCTGATGGCTTCTTTTAATATACAATGAGCCAAATAGCTAATATAATTGGCAAATGTAGCCGCTAAACTCAATTTGTTTCATCTCTACAATCCCGATTATCATGAGATAAGATCAATATGAGTGTTCTGTTCTTTTTTTTTGTTGTTGAATTTATTATACTGAAAGAGAATGGCCGTCAAATTTTGCAGCGGAAAAAAAACGAACTTCAAATTATTCTCAAAACTGTGAAAATTTTCAAGCATGAGTATTCTTTTTCTTAAAAGACGGAATAAAAATAGGACACTGGTAGCAATTGTGTAACAGTGTAAGCTCTAAAACAAGAAAATTCTAACAGTAAATTAAACTGGCTAAATCGGTGACCAGAGGCCAGGGACTATTTTCAAGAACTTTTGATAAGACATGACTCGCACAAAAACAGGCCAATACTACATCAACTACTCAATATTTCATCTCCCACGGCCCATCGGAATTTCTGAATATCCTTAGCCATAGATTATTAAAAGGAAGTGAGCTCAGCCTCTCTGAACTTTGCTGCATAAGTCTTCTTCATTAAATAAGCGAGCTAATCAAGCTATCATAAATATCAAATGATATTTACATTGTAGCGACTACTTCCCTGGGAATCAAGGCCATTAGGAATCCAATCTTGTGTCTCTAAAGTCAAGAGTATTCACACTTTTCTTGGGTAACTCGAACCCCGGCCTATGGGATTGCTTCCAGTAAAAACTGGACCAGTATCTGTTTTGCCGTGAAAATGTACGTAAGAGAATGACTCGATGGATGTGAGGCTGCAAAGACCTATCGAGCAACCTCTTGGGTTCTTTTTTCTTGAAGAAACGTACATATTGAAGAAAACTCCCGGAGACAGGGGAAAAACTTTATACTAATGTGGAAAGCCTCGATACACTTACCAGATGTGTATGAAGCATATATTATTTTGAAAAACAACATCATAATATAGGGCATCACTCCCACCACTATCAAAAACCATAAAGACAAAACCTATAATAGATCGCAACATTGGCTCAGGTGAGAAGGCGCGGGTATTAATTCACGAAATTTCCCAAAGAGGATGACACCCCTCAAAAAGACTTCTCTGGATACCAATGCCAACCACTTGATTAATATTCACTAAATGTCATCGTCCTATATAATATTTTTTCCTGAGGGCCTGTGGCCATAGTTTATTTGACAAGGCGGCAAGACATGCATTTGTCTTTGCCTCCTAGTCCTTGATCTTCTTGAGCAGATAAACCCTGTGAACGCTTCAATAAACCAATGAAGGATTCTAGCATCTCGCTTATGTTTCTTTAGTGGCTATATGTTATGTCCTGGCTTATTCGTTGTTTAATACGATTTTGTTCTTGTGGTGAAGCATTCGTATTCTAAGGTACTGATTGTACCAGCTATCGTTGTATTGAAGGGTATCAATCAACACCATTGCCCGATTCCCTTAAAGTTAGGGCAAGATTCGATAAGGCCATGCATTGGAGCTTGAAATCTCCTATTTGAAAGATGCTTGTGGTTGTGAGTTACCTGTTTAAGTCTGTGCAAGAGGCTCACGCAAACGTCACACAAATTTGGAATTGCCTTGTACTGCTGAAATAATTTTTCAACAAGTAGAAAACTCATCAAAAGCGCAAGTGGTTTAGTGGTAAAATCCAACGTTGCCATCGTTGGGCCCCCGGTTCGATTCCGGGCTTGCGCAATATTGTTTTTCCGAATGGGAATTGTTTTTCCAGAGTTGTGTAGACACAAGTCGAAAGGTCCGAAACGAATTTTGAATAAACTGACTGGCTATTGGTGATTGGCGAATCTCTCGGATTCTTTCAAAAACTTCATTTGTGGTTTTGGCGTGATCAGATGATTTGAGCTAGAGCTGAATGGTCGCAAGATTTGATGGTTTGGCGTGATGGGAACTCGTAAAAGGTGATTTTGTGATTTCAGACAAGAATTCTTTTTGTGCTCATGTGTCATACGTTAAAAATTGCACGGCTGCTGACGGGTTAAGGATACTTGAATTTCGAAAAATGCAAAGATAGGCTTGTCCCAAACTCTTTGAAATTAGTTGCCTACGATCTTTGAAGACAGAGAGGTTAATGCGCAGACTTACACGTAGTCATATGTACATGTATAGCTTCCGCTAAAGCTTTACACATTTCCCGAGCTAGGTGTCGACTCCAACGACTATATTATACGTTACCGAAGGCATAAGGGAGCCGTCCCAGGCCTCTTACTCGGCATATATAACCAGAGCCCAATCAGACTTAGATTCATTTAATATCATCAGGTACACTGATGGAATGCCCGGGATGTTCAATCCGAAATGGAGGACTCATCAAGATTCTGTCTGTCGAACCTTGAAATGGGCTACTTCTGGCCGACTTGTCGAGATGGGTACCCACATTCTAGCAGGTCCATGGGATTCGATAAATGTCGTGTCGTATTTTCATTCCTCCTTACAATCCAGTCTCATTCGTCCTCGGTTTCCTGTGCCTCGTCTTCCAGTGCCTGCTCAGGCTCCTCGATTTCTTGCCCACCCAACTCTTCTTCTTCCTGGCCCAAAAGCGCAATTGGGTTTGCCGCCACCTCTTCTTCATCTTCAGGCTCATCATTTGCAGGCAGAATAGTGGCATCTTCGTTTCTGATTTCGCTTCTTTCCATATCCTCTTCAGCATCCTCAATATCATCGTCGTCATCTTCGGTTTCCTCCTCCTCGGCACCTGTCTTCAGCACTCTGTTTGACGCGTTGTCTCTCATTTTCTTTGGGACCGGGCCCTCAACGGGAGCGGCCTCTTTTGCCTCTGCCTTCAGTTTCTTCTTTGCCTCGACATCTGACTCAAATGTGCTTAACTTGTGCTTGATTTCCGGCGCAAAGCCGGCCAAGTCCGCCCGCTCCAACGCGGTTAAAATGTCCTGTGAATTGACGTTTTTGCGGCCAAAATCACGGGCAGTTTGCCGGGCGTAAAACAATATGTGCGACACGAATACCGTCGCAGAGCGTTGCACGGCAACCAAAGAGTCCTTGGTGAGCCCCATGTTATCGCCCAGTCCATTTTCGGAGGTCTCGTCGGCGGCATTGAGGATACCCTTGGCTAGTTTTTGGACCGTCGATCTGGGAAACAAGATTTCATCGATCGACACAAGTTCAGCGTCTTTCGGGAACTGGGTGCTGTCGCCATATTTTCTCCATCCTTTTGGTGGCATTTTTGGAGCGTGTTATGGCAGTTTGTGTGGGGCTTGATGTGGTGGAAATGAGGTGCAAGGTCTAATGGGGTGAATGTCTATGTCGTGGCCCTGTGTATATCTCCATGTACTGGAGTAATAGACAGGTCGACGTGACGCGTTCGCTGCGTGATCTGGATTAGGGTCCAGGGACTGAACAACAAATCAGAGAGTTTTATGAATGGGACCTGAAAGCGTTTTTGGTGCATGAACAGGGTTGGCTATAGGTGTTTATACTTCTGTGCTTTTGCGTGGAATGCTCTGTCGAAAGTCGGCAGCTGTGGCGCACTGCAATCTCGCTCATTCCAGCCCAACTTTGACTGCTCGGTATTTGCCTAGTTTCCGAGGCCCGAGAGCCATACAATATTTCAGTCATCCTGGGAGACCTAAAGCCTCGTAAATTTACCCAAAAAAAAGCATTCTCGATGCTATTGTCTATTTCATTGAGTTTGCTGATGGGGCTGGTTTGGGTGCGAAACGTTCTGGAGTGCGAACCAAGCACGTTATTAGATCATATTATTGTCCGGCCACAGCTTTTACATACATCATCATCACCTCATCATCACCTCATCATCACCTCATCATCACCTCATCATCACCTCATCATCATGCCACTGGTAACAGGTGACCCAAATAGGCGCGGATTTCTTGATCTGTAAAATGACCCGTTGCCTCGCGTTTGGCATGTATTACCGTGGCTGAGCCCATATGCCAACTGGCGCACGGCTCATCCCTATATGAAATAACAGCGCCAAAAATAAGCTGCACAGTTTTCCTCGCATGTCCAGTGTGCTGGGCTCATCTGCCGGCTTGTTCTTGAATCTTGGCCTTACGCATTTCTGGGCTTTTGAGCTCAACACTCTAGATAGTGCTCAGCCATGACGTACTGCTAGGTGTCTCCAGGCCCCCTGGATGCAAGACATTGGCACGCCTCAATAAAAGCCCGGCCCCGGAAATAATGGGAGACAGAGCGAACCATGGCAGAAATAAACAAAGGGTTCTGCAAAGCTTGTGTTTGCATTGGGTAGAGGGTTACAGCACATGCTGGTTTTCACATTTATAGAGAGCCGGCCACGGACTGTGAAAAGCGAGGGCCCAGCATTAGCACTCTAATAACCAGAAACAGAAATACGCCACGCAAAATCCCAAGCAAGCCAGAGGACAGAAGAAAGACCGCAGGAACCACCGCAGATGCCCAAACCATCCCGATTCCAAATCACAATTCTTTGACAGTCGGATCACTGGTTTCAGAGAGTGCGTGTTTCCAGCGAACGCAGGCCCGGCGAGGCCCCGCGCATTGGGCCCGGCAGACATGGCCCGTGCCATACCGAAAACCTGGGCCCAGGAACGCCTCGCCCAGCACTCCTCAAAGGCACGGAAACACGGGGTTTTTTCCTCTTTTTCATGCAAAAAAACCCGCCTCTCCATGTAGGCGACTCGCAGCACGCGTCCCGGCACGACGTCGCCGAATACGGCCGGCTCGAGAGCCGCAACATCGGCACAGTGACTTTTGGCGACTATGTCATCGACACCTGGTACGGCAACAGCGCGTATTTCCAGAACTTCGGCGACAGCAAGCTCGGCGTGGACCCGGAGGTCGTGCACAGCCGGCGCCGGGGCTTCCTGCCCGTGAAGCCCGGGTTCTGGGTCGACAACTTGTACGTTTGCGACAGCTGCTTCAAGTACACGCTAAACGCAGAGCACATGGCCGCCCATGCGCCCGCGTGCCCGCTCCAGAAACGGTTCCCGCCGTTGGGCAAGGTGGTGTACGTAGACAAGCGGCAGCCGTACGTGATCAAGAAGGTGCGGGGCTATCGGCACCCGTTGTTTTGCCAGAACCTCGCGCTTTTCGGCAAGCTTTTCCTCGACGACAAGCTGGTGTTCTACAACGTGGAGGCCTTTGACTTCCACGTGCTCTACGGGCACGTGCCGGGCGCCCGGGCCCGGCCGGCCGGCCACCTCAGCCCCCTCAAACCCATGGGGTTCTTCTCCGCCGAGGTCAACTCGTACGAGCTGGACACCAACCTCGCGTGCATCTGCATCTTCCCGCCGTTCCAGCGGCTCGGGCTCGGCAGCCTCTTGATCGAGTTCCTGTATGCCATGGCCCGCGTGACGCCAGGCCAGCAGTTTCTGGGCCCCGAATACCCCCTTCTGCCCTTTGGCCGCCGCTTGTACCTCCGCTTCTGGGCCCGGCGCCTAGCGTTTGCCGTGTTTGCGGAGCTTGGCCTGCAGGACGCCGTCACGCTTCTGGACTTGGCCCGCTTGACGGGGTTCCGCAAGGAAGACGTGCTTGTTGCGCTCGAGTACATGGGCGTGCTACAGCGGGGCGGTCCCGGGGACGCGGAGGCGACGCTTCTGGTGAGCAGCACCAGGGCGTGGTGTGACGCGAACGGCGTGGATCCGAAAACGCTACATTGTATGCTCGACCCAGACGGTGTGCTTGTATGAGCGGTGGAGCGGAGAGACGAAAAGGACACGGATGGTTTAATGTGTCGAGGATTTGAGGGTGGGGCGACCATCCATGCGGGCGATGGAATCGGCCGTGGAGAGACTGCGGAGCCAGGGCTCTGAAAGTCCGAAGGCAACAGCAGAGTTCTTGTCTCCACGCAGAATCTAGAGCGGCGTCGTTAGAGTATGATTACTAGAGCATTTTGGTGATGTGGACCTGTCAGAGCAGACATGAATGGTATCAGTAAAGCTATGGGAGCGTGCCCGCTGGAGTGGAACTGCTGGATGCCACCAGGAAGTAGAGCGTAGATATCAGAGTGGACCAGAGCGTGAGCAGAGAGCCGGTCTTGAAGAGCGGCCGTAAAAAAGGAATGGCCAGGGTAGACTACAAAGATACGTTGGGCGGACTACAACAGGACAAGTAGAACCACAGTGTCTCTTTGGCCTTAGACTGATGGAGTGAGATCAAAGAAAAGAAGCAGATACTCTATTTATGCGGACACTTCAGAACCGTACCCGACACAGCTTTTTCGCCCGCCAGATCCAGGCTGGAAATCAAAAAGCCCGTCCCGAATCACACGGCCCATGAATGTTGGGTCTCTGCAGAAAAGCTCATCAGCTTCACATTCGGCTGCCGGATCACCTCGCATCGACGGCAGAACATGGAACAGCCCGATACATTCTCCGCATCACACGAGGAACGAAAATATTATAAAAAAAGGGGGAAAAAACAACAACAACAACAACTAAGCTCTCGAAGTTTTTTGCTTCATTTCCTCAAAGCGGGTCTCCATTGCTGTGGCCTTTACTGCGAATACCTGCAACGCTCGCTGGGCCGCACTATCCCAGACCTCGTACTACATCAACTCTGTTCGGCCAGTTTCTTCGGTTTGCCTCCTTCTGCTTGCTTATAGAAAACAACAATCTCAAATGAAAAAAGAGAGATTCTTCAAGCCCGTAGAGCCTGGCCTGCCAGCCCTCGCCGTGCCGGATCGGCCGAACAATGGTGGTCTAGCAGGCTATGAACGCAGCGATGGCAAAAATGCCCATGGTGAGGGCACCCAAAAAAACAACATGGAGGGGAAAAATACAGATTCGCCTGATATTGCAGGGCCCGAGGGCCTGCTTTTCGTAGAGGAGGATGACATCGACGAGATCCCTGCACGAGGCCAGGCCGTCGGACTTGCCCCCACTGAGAGCCCAGCGAACACCGTCCTGAGCCATGCAATCTCTGTAAATAGCGCCGGAGACCAAATCACCGAACCAGTCCTGGGAACACACGCAGGCCGGCGAATGGGCGCGGCTTCTCAGGATATGGATCAAGACATGTCCCAAAACACAGGGCCTGATAGGACGCCTCCCCGAAGCTTGCTGCAGATGGGCTTCGACTTGTTCAAAAGCCAGATCCAGCCCATCATTGGCAACGCGTCTTTGCGCGACTTCAGGCACCTCTATTCCAAGTACTTCAACCGGCCCGACTACATCAAGCTTGCGTCGAACGAGTACTTCAACGGCATCGAGTACGACGCGTCTCAAGACGCGTCTCTCACACCTACGCCCGTGGGCACCGAGACCACGAATGGCTCCATATCCCAGGAGAAATCAAACGAACAGCATGCCAGGGAACTTGTGGACAGGATGCGCTCGCTACACGAGGCAGACAAGCGCGAACAAGACGCTCGTATATGGAAACGGTACATCGGAACGCTAGATGTGGAAGCCTGGGCCACACGCCCGTACATGAGGCCACTTTCCTACCAGCAGCCGCTCGAGGTCCGCAGATTGAAACCAAACAAAATCAAGAAACTGCTGATTGTCGCGGCCAAGTTCGGGGACTCTGCCGTCATCCGCTTGTACACGCAGCCTGATGCCCGGGAGATCGGACGGCTCCCGGAGGACGTCACGCGCATTTTGTCGCCGCTCATGGACCTCAATCTCGCCAACTTCGAGGCGTTTGTGATCATGGAAACGAGAGGCCGGCTTTCGATCGGCGACTCGTTCTACGTCCAGATCCGGTGTTATCTCAACAACAACACGTTTGCAGAACACGCACGGTACGACGGCTTGGCCGCCAGCGGCGATTGCCCGAGCCCCCTGAAAAAACGCAGAACCGCCACGCCAGGCTCGTTCAACGCCTTGCTGGAAACGGAGGGAGAGACCGTGTTGCGGCTCAAGCAGAAGTCCATCTCGCGATTGTTTGAAAAGCTCCATCTCACACACGCAAATCTGCTGAATGTGGAAGCCGCCTCTGCAGAGGAGCCCGACGGCAGCCAGACCAGCACGCCGAACCCGGAGCCCCAGGCCTCAGACGACCTAAACTTGGACCAGCTCAAGGAGTTCTATCTGTCGAACCAGCAATCGGACTATCTCGAAAACCTTCCCGAAACCACCACCCCGCCGCCCGCCAACTTTGCCTTGCTGTTGAGGCCGTACCAGAAGCACGGGTTGGCATGGATGCTCTCGCGGGAAAAAGAAATGGATCTCATCCAGGAGCTCTCCCGGACAGACACGGAAACGCTCTCCACGCAGAAAATGCAGACGATCCGCCAGCAGGACGATGGCGTGATGAACCCGCTTTGGAACGAGTTCCTCTGGCCCCAGGACCACCAGCTCGACGGGGCCATTGTCCAGCACCAAGAGAAATGTTTCTATGCTAATTTGTACAACGGCGAGTTTTCCACGCACAAGCCGGTGGTGCACAACTTTCTCAAAGGCGGCATTTTGGCAGACGAGATGGGGCTCGGCAAGACGATCCTGACGTTGGCATTGATCCACTCGGTGCCCTACGATTCCGAGCGTGCACCCGTGGGGCTCAGGCACTACGCGTCGAAATCCACGCTCATCATCGTGCCCATGTCGCTTCTCTCGCAGTGGAAAGCCGAGTTTGAAAGAACGAACAGCAACTCGAACCACAGGTGCTTCGTATACTACGGCGATCTGGTCCAGGCAGATCTTTCGTTCATGCTCTGCAACCGGTCCGAAAATATCCCCATAGTCGTCATCACTACGTACGGCACGGTGCAGAACGAATGGGCCCGGCTCAACAAGCTCCGCGACAGCACAGGCCGGCTCCCGAACATCGGGCTCTTTTCCGTGGAGTTCTTCCGCATCGTGCTCGACGAGGGCCACACAATAAGGAACAGAACCACGAAGACTGCGAAGTCTGTGCATGAGTTGGAGCTGCGCCGGAAGTGGATTCTCACCGGAACGCCGGTGGTGAACCGGCTCGACGACATCTTCTCGCTCGTCAAGTTCTTGCGGCTCGATCCGTGGAGCAACTTCTCATACTGGAAGACCTTTGTGACCTTGCCCTTCGAGCAGAAGAAGTTCAACCAAACTTTGGACGTGGTGAAGTCCATTCTCCAGCCAATCTTCTTGCGCCGCACGAAAAACATGAAGCAGAAGGACGGCACGCCGTTGGTGTACTTGCCGGAAAAAGAGGTGGTGATTGAGGAGCTCGAGTTTTCCGAGAAGGAGCAGTTGTTCTACGACTTCTTCAAGTCCAAGGCATACCAGTCGTTCACGGAGGGCATGAAGACAGGCGACTTGCTCAAGAAGTATACGCAGATCCTCACGCACATTCTCCGTCTCCGGCAAGTGTGTTGCCACCCGGACTTGATTGCTTCGAGCAGCGAGCTTGACGAGACGTGGGAAGAAGAACTTGCAGGCTACGAACAGCCGATTGCCCGGGAGAAGTTCGCGCTGGAGACAGCCATGAAACAGGTCATGTACGGCTTGTACAAGACCGTGCAGATCGAGGACTCCGAGTGCTCCATCTGCACGCTGGCGCCAATTGCCGTGGGCGAGCTCACGGTGACCGAGTGTGGGCACCAGTACTGCTTCCACTGCTTGATGGACCACATCAAGTACCAGAAGAACGAGGGCATGGAGCCCTTGTGTCCGCAGTGCAGACACGCGATCTCGAAGTACCGGTTGTTCAAGGTCCTTAGGAGAGACGTGTCGAAGAAGGAGGTCAGGTTCCACACGCACGAGCAGGTGAGCGACCCGTACGCATGCTACAACTTCCTGCTCTACTACTTCAACCCCGAGCGGTCGTCGGCCAAGATCCAGGCGTTGGTGGCACACCTCCGCGAACTCAAGGAGCAGAGCCCGGGCGAGCAGGTGGTTGTGTTCTCGCAGTTCTCGACGTTTTTGGACTTGATCGAAAACGAGCTCAAGGGCCTTGGCTCGGACGGCGACCTGGACTTTGTCGTGCACAAGTTCGACGGCCGGTTGAACATGGTGGACCGGGAGAAGGTGTTGCGGAAATTCACGGCGCAGAACAAGGCGGACGGGCGCATCTCGGTGTTGTTGCTAAGCCTCAAGACAGGCGGTGTGGGGCTCAACTTGACGGTGGCGAAACGGGCGTTCATGATGGACCCCTGGTGGTCGCCCAGCATAGAGGACCAGGCCATCGACCGCGTGCACCGCATAGGCCAGGACCAGAACGTGAAGGTGGTGCGGTTCATTGTGAAAAACTCGATCGAGACCAAGATGCTCCGCATCCAGGAGCGCAAGAGGATGATGGGCGAGGCCGTGGAAGTGGAGGAGGAGGAGCGGCGCAAGCAGCGCATCGAGGAGATCAAGTTGTTGTTCGACGAGTAGCCGGCCATTAGACTTGGTCATATTGGCCACGAAGAATATGACCACCAAGAATATGGCCATGAAGAATATGGCCACGAAGAATATGACCACCAAGAATATGGCCACCAAAATATGACCACGAAGAATATGACCACGAAGAATATGGCCACCAAAATATGACCACGAAGAATAGGGCCACCAAGAATATGGCCATGAAGAATATGGCCACGAAGAATATGACCACGAAGAATATGGCCACCAAAATATGACCACGAAGAATATGACCACGAAGAATATGGTCACCAAAATATGGCCACGAAGAATATGTCCACCAAGAATATGGCCACCAAAATATGACCACGAAGAATATGACCACGAAGAATAGGGCCACCAAAATATGACCACGAAGAATATGGCCACGAAGAATATGACCACGAAGAATAGGGCCACCAAAATATGACCACGAAGAATATGACCACGAAGAATAGGGCCACCAAGAATATGGTCACGAAGAATATGACCACCAAGAATATGGCCACCAAGAATATGGCCACCAAGAATATTGGCTGCAATCGCTACGCAACTTCGGTTCCGTCCTGCACACGGCGCGCCTCGCCAGGCGCGCGCGGCAAGACCAGCGTCCCCGAAAAAAATAACATCCATGTCCACCATCAACAGGCCAAACAGTGAGAAAAAAAAATCCGCCATGCACAACAAAGGTATGTTTTGTCGCCCGCCAGCAGGCGCACACGCGCAGAGTCACATGCTGGGCCGCACAGCACCAGGCGCTCCCGACCCGGCCGGCCTACGCCCCACATCCCCCGTACTAACTCGTGCCCCAGAATTCCAGAATCTACTACTGGACCTTGCAACGGTCTATGCCGGCGCCGATTCGCACGCCTTGTTGACCAAGGCCCTGGTGCCCGTGGCGTTCCACGAAGCCAGTCCCGAAGACATTGTGCGGGCGTACGAGACGTTCATAAGCAGGGAGCCAGAAGCGCAAACCACCTCGGTTTCGCTGAAACTCGGCCTGCTCGACTACAACACGCCCTACGAACTTTTCCACGACGTCAAGTTGGTGTGCGGCATCGAAATCATGCGCCATGGCGTCGGCAGCGCCGTGTACCAGGAAATCGACCAGTTCTACAGGTTCTGCGTCGAGCTTTTGCTCCTGGAGGTGGCGTCCTTGGGGCTCCGTCTTTTCCTGGCAAAGGAGAGGGAGGACGACGAGCTCTTGGAGCTTTTCCGCGACGACTTTGCCCGGATCACGCTGCACCGGTTCGCGTCCAACGGCGAGTTTGTCACGTTCATCCACAAGTACACCGAGCCGGCCGTGCCCATCTACCACAGCGCATACAACTCTCAGCCCGAGCCGGAAGCCAAGACCGTGGTGCAGCCGCTTTTCTCGGGCTTGGTCGGAAAGTCCGTTTTGGACACGCGGAACACCGTTGTGCCGGAGCCCTGGCTGTTGACCAAGGCCGTGGCGCAAAGCGCCGTGCTGCCCACCCACAGCACCATCAAATCGTTCAACAGCGTGTCGTGCAAGATCCCGCTTCCGTCGCAGGCTTCTGCGCAGGTGTTGGACGGCTTTTTCCACCCCAACTGGTACACCATCGAGGCTCCCAAGTGGTTGCAGTACAAGCAAAAGACATTGAAGCCGCCGTTGAACTCGACCTTGGTGAAGAACTGCGATGCCAACGAGTTGCGTGTGCATGAAAAGAGAAGCAACATAGTCTCCCTCGGCCCTGTCATTGACCTGAGAAACTCTGTGTTGAGCGACGATCTCAAAAAGAGAATCTGGTACACCAACATCGGACGGGAGCAGGCCGAAGGAATCGGCAGACAAATCCCTGGCGGTGTGGGACGCGGGGAAGAAGACACGGCCGCCGCTGAAGAGCCCGCCACAACAGGCGCCGAAGAACCTGCGCTGGAAGAAGCGAGCGTGGACGATATGGATGTTGACACGGCAAAGGCCCAGGGCCCTGCTGCCACCGGCGAAATCAAGCTCGAGAACTTGGTGCGCTATGTTCCCGAAGCCGAGGACTCGCTCGAGCAACTAAGGAAGGACAGGGCTCGGATCCTCAAGGCGCCACATGAGATGCAAAAAGTCATTTCGCTCACCTTGTTGAAACTCAACAAGTTGCGCCAAGAGAGGTACTTGCACAGCACATCCCCAGCCAACCCGTCTGTTGCGGAGACGATACTCTACAAGAAGGCAGTGAAGCTATTGGCCTTGTTGGCGAGGTCCAGTGTGTCGGACCAGAAGAAGCTCCAGATACAATTGAGCAAGAAGATCCCGGTGCTCTTGAACGAATACCAAGGTGTGTTGCCCGGGCCCATTCCCGCGAAGCCCATTCCTGCGAACAAGAGCGGGAGGTTGATGGGCATCAAGGGCCCCCACAAGAAGAAGGGCAGGTTTTTGTAATCTCTGTGTACAACAATAACCCGACGAGCAACGTGTTTATCGCGCGGCTGATTTAAACAAGTGTATATTGGGGGTTGAGTCGACGTATATTACACAGGAAGCGTGGCCGGAGCACTTCAGACATCCACTCCGATTGAGAAGAGGTAGATTAAGTACAAGTTCAAGAACGTGATGGTGACCCACGTGGCGATGGCCACAGCGTTGAGCCAGAAGCCGTTCTCGAACGTGTGTCTGCGGAGATTGTCCAGGAGCTCGGGCTCCGAGGTGTAGTAGCGTCTGGACACCTGGCGTGCGATCAAGGCCGACGTCTCGTCCGTGGAGCCGTTCTGTGTCGCCACCGGGTCGTTCGGCTCGTACACCGTCATGTACTTGCGCGTGGCCGTGAAGTAGATGAGCGGCGCGCTGACCACAGGGAGAATAAAGCTGAGCACAACTTGCGACAAGTTCATGATGGTCGACACGCCCTCGCGGCCCATGACCGAGATGAAGATGACCACGGGCACGATGGCGAGCACGCGCGTGACGAGCCGGCGCACCCAGGGCTTGAAGGACCAGTTGATGAAGCCCTCGGACACAATCTGGCCGGCCATGGTGCACACGATCCCCGCGCTCTGGCCCGAGAAGAGCATGGACAAGGCGAACACAAGCCCGGCGGCGGGCGAGATGTAGTGGGAGAGCAACTCGTAGATGGACAAGAGGTCCGCGTTGTCCGCGTCGGGCTTGCCGTACAACGTGGCGCCCGCCACGATCAAGATGGCCGAGTTGACGAACACGGCGATGAGGAACAACGAGAGCACGAGCTCCGTGTACGAGAAGTTCAAGCAGTGCTTGATGGCCGCGTACGACGGCTTGTACTTGCGTGCAAGCAGCCTGCCGTCCGAGAACTGGCGCAACTTGCTATGTGATACGGGAAGCGGGCCGCTGAGCTCGGCCTGCTGCCGGTGATCTTCTAGCTGCTGGCCGTCTTCTAGCTGCTGGCCGTCTTCTTGCTGCTGATTCTCTTCTTGCTGCTGGCCGTCTTCATATGCGCAGTCGTCCTCATATGCCCGGGTGCCGTTGGGCGTGCCATGCTTCACGTCGTAGTCTTTCAAACGCGACTGGACTATGGACGAGCCGAGGAAAAGCGAGTGGGGCATCACGGTGCTGCCCACAATGCCGCAGCTGAGGAAAAGCGCGTTGGACTCGCGGAAGAGCACGCCGTCCACCGGCAAGAAGCCGCGCACGATCTGGCGCGCCGAGCCCGGCGCAAAGTCCACGCTGAAGAGCTCCCAGGCAAAACACACGCAGGTGGCGGCCACCAAGCACGTGACGGCGATTTCAAAGAGCCGGATCTGGCGCATGGAGCCGTCCTTGTGGTAGGCCAAGAGCACGCAGAGCACGTCCAAAACAGTGATGAACGTGCCGGCGACGAGCGGGATGCCAAAGAGAATCTCGAGCGCAATGGCCGTGCCCACGACCTCGGCCAAGTCCGTGGCCACTATGGCAAACTCGGCGCACACGTACATGCCGAGATTGAGCCACCAGGGGAACGTCAAGCGGCACATTTCCGCCAAGTCCAAGCCCGTGACCGAGCCCAACTTCACACAGAGGCACTGGAGGATCACGGCAAACACGTTGCTCATGAACACCACCACCAAAAGCGAGTATTTGTAGTCGGCGCCCAGCGCCACGGCCGTCAGGTAGTTGCCGGGGTCCATGTAGGCCACGGACACCATGATGCCGGGGCCTATGAACGACGCGTACTTGCGGAGCGCACGTGACGCCTGCTGCCATGTCTGCTGGCGCTTGTTTGGTGAAGCTACCCAGCGGCCCATGGTGGAGAAGACTGGTGTTGGTGAGGTTTAGGGAGGGGTTGGAAGGAAGGTGATCTGGCGCCTGGTTGGTTCTGCTGCGCCAGGGCCAGGCGCGCGCAGGGCCGCGCCATTTCCTGGGGCGAGGTTCTGGCCCAGCGCGGGGGGAGAGGAAGCTGTGGTTTTTGTTTGGGTGAGCTCTTTGTGTCTGTGAGGTTTTTTTTTTTCTGTGAGGTTTTTGGTTCTGTGAGGTTGCGTCGGTGAGGTTTTGTCGGTGGGGCTTGTGGGGTTTGGTGGGGCTTGGAAATATTGTGGGGAGTCTTGGTGATAACTAGAGATGTAGTGGATCCGGGGTTATTAGGTGGCTCGGGCTAGTCGTGCACCCAGGGCCCAGGGCCAGAGGCGCGGGGCCGAGCTTGGAGCCATGCGGCGGTGGCGCGGCTGCATGCAGGACACGGCAATGGCAAGCCGGTCATGGGTCTTGCCGGCACGACGAAAAGACATCTGGTGACAATTCTTGTAGAGGCCAAGGATTTGGGGGTGTTTGGGTGTCACGCTGATTATAATCAGAGTCGCCGATTGAGCACGTGTGAAACAATTGTTTAGTCCCTCAAGAATTGATTCACACCTTCTTCGCACCTCTGCTCGGCTCGTCCATTGGTGCTGAATATATCCAAATGCCAAGGCTCCAAAAATTAAAAACACACAAAATAAAATTTTAGCAAGGTTTTGAGGTCTGTTTACGATGGGCAAATTTCTTACTTCGACCATGATCCGTGTTGTTTGTTGAACCATTCAAACCCAAACTACGTGTTTTGTTCAGTTGAATTGGTAGCTATTAACCGAGGACCCTCACTGGGATTTTAGCTGTGTAGAGTTTGGGCTCAAAACATTTTCCTGGTGTTTGCCGCTTCTCTTCGGCTCGATCATTCGCTTCTACTAAATAGAATCGAGTACTAGATCAAAGCTCGCAACGATGCAGTGAGGAATTTTCTCGTCGCGAGTCTCTGTCCGTAAGTTCCTTGGTTTCCTTGATTTCTTCCTTCCCCCTATTTGCTATTTGAATGACCTTTGTCTCTTTGTTTGTCTTTGTGATTTTCTCTATGGTCTCTCTGATACCTCTATTGCTCTGAGCTCTCTGTTTGTTCACATTCTCAACTTCAATTTGCATCTGTTTTCATGCGTTCAGCTTTCCCAAAACCGTGCGCTGTGTAAAAGCAGTAATTGAACAGATATCCCTCTTCTTGAACCTCAAGTGTATTTTGCCTGTGGATTCTCGTGGGAGTCCAAAGGATTAAAGTTCTAGGTCTGGTACTGTCCCCAGATCGTAGCACGTATCAGACGACGGAATCCTAGCGAGTTTCAGTAAGTTTCAAGCATGGTTCAGAAGAGCAGGTCAGATTAGAGTATCAAGAAATTCAGCAGTCGCTCAGCCGAATTCCCGCAAGCCCAGTTTGAGCATTTTCTCATGATATAAAGCAGCTTTAAAGATGAGTACTTGACGGTTGCATGCGATACAGCCGAACGACACATTTTACTGGATACCCAAAATTCGATGTAGAAGCAGTCTGGAAACCAAAGAAAAAAAAAACATTGCACTTGACCAGGTTGAGTCGCAGAAATCCGGGCTGAGAGAAGAACCTAGAACACTACGTCAGTAAAACTTCGAGTATAAATTATATAGTTTCAAGGGTTTATATTCCTAAACCAACTGTTAGGCTCTTCTGTTTTCAGATTATGAATCATAAATTCGGGGTATAATAGGAGTCGGCATGAGAAGGTTTGATTGTGTATTTTACATATGCTGATAGGATCTTTGAAGTAACTTATTTGCTTTATCGCTACAACAAAATAATGATCTAAGAATTGGTCATACATATACACAAAGCTATGTATCAAGCTATATACATAAATATGTAAATAATAAATCAGTAACTTACTTAGTAAACTTGTTTTGAGCCTATAAAACCTAGATTGAATTAGTATTTCACTATTCCAGAATCTTAGCTATACCTGTTTCTCTGAACACAAGTTGTAGTAATTTTGAAGCCCGCGTATTATTGATAGCTAATTTATCATCTGGTTTCTAAATGATGAATACTAGTTTTGCAAGTCTTTTCTGCACATAGAAAATTCTGCCTAGTTTTAAATACTCGGAATGTATACCGAAGCACCCAGCAAAAGTATCATTGACGTCCCATGCTCATACGTATTGTATTGCTACCTAATTGATTGCCCCATCTGCCAAAACCTATTCAACCGAAACCTATCCAGCTGCAACATATTTACTCACACCTTCTCACCACAACAAAAACAATGTTCAATATTTATGGCACATCAATTTAGTCTTCTAAATCCTCAAAATTTAGCTAGAATAGTGAAGGCTTTCTGCTCGCTGGGAGTCACATAATCTCATGAATGAGTAAATTGTTGCCACTTTTTCGATTCTACATCAAAAGCTGATTCCTTTCACTCAAGTAGTTGGGGTTTCCTTTTTTTGAGCAAAAATAGTAAGATTAGGCCCTGGCGTTTGGACGTCAGTCACCATATTGTATTTTGCACGTCTTTGTGGATCCTAGCTCCTCAGTATTCCAACGGCTTTCCAAAGTATTTTCTTTATTTTGGTAGTGCTCTTACCTGTCTACTAGGGTTCAGTATGTAAATAAAGTCTAATGAAAAATATCGAGGGTATGTAATACTGTAAGAAGATTAAAATAAAATCAACACCTAAACCCATATAGGTGGCTTTTAATTAAAAACTTAAGTTAGATATGAAGATATAAACAAGACACCTAATAGCTTTATCTACTATATACTAAGATCTAAATCAGATATATTTCATAAACAAAATTTTCTTTCTTGAAGTATTTTATGTTTTTTTCCTTGGCTATGAAATTTATGCTTCTACATTTGTGATATTTTCTTATCTTCCAAGCGAGTTATTTCTTCAAATCAAAGAAAGTGTATATATGTAATTCAGGTTCTACAAGATTTTATTAGTTTCCATTCTTGTGGTATTTTATACTAAATAAATAAATCTATACCAATTTAGAACCAAAGCGGGCAACGGCGGTAATAAATAAATTTTCCGTAGCTGTATCCCCTCTGAAGTATTTTTGAAAGTTTTTTTCATTATACCAACCTTTTTATAATGATATGTTCTTGAAATTGTTATTAAATTAAATAATATTTATATAGTGGGAGTGTAGTCAAGTACTCATTCAGACCCTCGGTACTTCTCGTACTTATTTTGTTTCTGAAACATTATAAATCGGATTATAATAATTTATTTTCAGAAGGTGGGCTATTTTAAATTTCGGGAACATTTACGTTGTATACCGCTCGAAGCAAGAACATCAAACCTGACCTGTATTAAAAGTAGAATCTTTCATTGGAAAATAATATGATGAACAATGTACGAAATTAAATGAAATTATTACATACATTATCAATGATGTTTTATGTGAACTATATGAACCTATATCTCATGAATATCTGGTAACCCGGATATTTTCTCTAGCAATTTTTGCTTCAGGTTAAGACATTCGTGCATATGAAGAGAGTTTTGAGACTTAAATAATACATATGGAATGGGTATTCTTCTGCAGGTATTAAAATTATTTAATAGGAATATAAGGGAATTCATTTTACTATAATTTCTTATTTTGTACGTAAACTGTCTTATTTACGATATTTACATTCTTTTGAATCGCACTATGTTTGTTTTAAATTTTTATATTTGTCTGGCTAATTCATGACTTAGTTTATTCTTTCTTATCATGTGCAATCTATTTCCCTAGGTTAAAGGTGCTCTACCGGGGTCCCCCGCTTCCTCTCGAGGCCCTGGGGCTCTCTTTATTTATGGTTTTTATTTCTGCGTCAATATTTATTATATTGTAATTCTTATTAAGGTCACAAACTTAATATAACATAATCTAGAACTGTCTTACCGTGGTAATGATAAATATATAAGCTAGAGTATAATATTACTTATGCGAATTTAGTAAATGTGATGTAATGAATGGGTCAGAGAAGTATAAAAAGACAGAATGGAAAAGTGAAGAGAATCGAAATGTTACTAGACTCCACATGTCATGAGGTATATCAATGCACACAGCCGGTCTCAACACAAGTTCCCCAGCATCTTTACTTTAGAGCCGGACTATTGTCCAGAGACAGATTTGCTTCAGAGTCAGCAATAAATAGCCATAGTCCGAAGTTATTTGAAGCCAGAGACTATTTTTTGGAGCTAGATACTACTTTTTAGCGCCAGAGATCATATAAAGCCAGATGATTATCCAGAGCCAGATTATTATCCACAGCTATATATCATTCTTCAGAGCCAGATTATATTATTAGCCACATAACGTTTCGAGCCAGATTTTTTTTTCAGAGCCATGGTTATATTCAGAGCTACAGAATATATCCAAAGCCCGAGATTATATTCAGAGCCAATGACTATGCTCAGAGCCACAGATTATATTCGGAATCAGAGATTATACTCAGAGCTCCAGATTTTATTGCCAGATTCTTATTCAGAGCCAGAGTATGTCTTGAAAAGGAGCAGAAGCTCAAAAGTGTACTTGATAGTCTTGACAGTCTTGGAGCCAGATCTAAAAGAGATAGTATTATGGATCGTCAACCGTATTGATGTATAGAATATATACCTTGCTTATACACTATAACTAAAGAGATATTAATTTATCCCTTAGGATATGAGTATATATATAGCATTCAATTCACGTTCATTAGCATTAGCATTGACATTCACATTAACACACGAAGGGGGAATCAAAAACCAAAGGGTATATATGATTATTTTATATTCTGTTGAATTTTAGTATTATTTTAATCATTACTATTTATAGTGTGATACATGATATAATTAATATGATTATCCTTTCCTTGTAAACCATTTTACTTAATCTTCATTTGGTATTTGATGTTTGAAGAGTATAGTTTTAGCTGTAGATCCTTCATCTAGATCTCCCCTTACTACTATCTCAACATGTATTACAAGATCTTTTTCTAGACATGCTATGCTCAGCCAATGTTTTACTCAGAGCCACAGACTATACTCAAAGCCAAATTCTTATCCCAAGCCAGATTATACTCAAAACCAGAAATAATATCTAGAACCACAGACTGTGATCTCCGACTCAGAAACAGTGCCGAAACAAGCCATTTTTTAGCTGGGACACCGGGGTCCGAACCGGAGCTGGCGAACCCAGCCTGTTGCAGACCTGCAGGGGGGCCATACCCCAGCTTTGGATGGCTGCGAACCAGCGCTCACCAATAAAACATCAGTACCCCAGCCCACCGGATCACCACCATTAGCAGCATACCCCCACCATACTACCACACTCAATACTACCATACTCCATACTACCGTACCCCATACTACAATACCACATACTACAATACCACATACTACCATGCCCCCAATACCATAGTAGTTTTCAACACCCAGCCAGCAGCCAAAACCCACCACCAACACCTCCACCACCTCTGCCACAAATACACCCCCTTTCCCAATCATACCCGCCCCCGAGACCCCGGCCCGTCACGTGACCCGCGCCTCCCGCTCGCGCAACACACAACTCCTCAAATCACCCCCTGATTCTTCCCTGCCAATGCTGCTCTCGTTCCTCCGGCCGCTCCGAGCCAGCTCGCGCCGATGCCCACGGCCACCCGCGCGGCCGCCTGCCAGAATGCTTGCCTCCGCCAACGGCGGCGCCGTGCCCGCCAGCTTGCGCCAGTATGAGCGGCGGTTCCCCGAAGACGCGGTGACGTGCGCCAACATCGACACGTATTTGCAGCTCCGGCGCCACGACGGCCGCGCCAACAACGTGGTGGCCGGAGTGTTCTACGAAAACGCCGCCGTGCGGGGCGCCCTGCAGTTCCTCGACGTGCTTCTTGCAGACCCCCTTGCGGGCGGCAGCGAGGCCTGGCACCGGCAAGTCCAGGCGCGGCCGCTCACGCAAAACACCATATTCACCCACAAAAACAGCGCCTTGCCGCTGGTGCTCCCCACCGCATTTGCCCGCCAGCTGCACGCCGTGTGCGTAGGCCTGCCGGTGCTCGACGCCGACACGCGGCCGCGTTTCCCGGGCGCGTTGCCGCCGCTGCCGGCCGCGCCCAACTACCTCCAGCTCATCGAGATCAACAAGCCGCAGGACGTGGACAGCCTCGCGGACGTGTGCTCGTTCTTCATCCACGTGACCGCGGACTTGGCCGGCGCCCCGGACCGCTGGCCGCGCCACGTGCGCCACAAGGTGCTCCTCACGGTGGTCGACAGCGACGAGTACACGCCGCGCTCGCTCGAAACGACGCCCGTGGCGTTCTGTGCAGCGCCGGACGGCGCCCGCCACGTGATCAAGGTCAACAGCCGCGTGCTTGCGGCCGGCATCGACGCCTTCTACCGCTGGGACACCCGGGCCGCGTCGCAGTACTTCGAGAGCGTGCAGGCCAGCAACGTGCTCGAGACCGCCAAGTTCCTCCTGTGGCACGTGCGCACGGAGAACGTGCGGGCATGGACGCTTCTGCTCATCCGCCGGGACATCGCGGCCGGCCTGCTCTCGGAGTCCCAGCTCCGCCAGGCGTACGACGACTTGCGGCTCCACGACTTGGTGCAGGGCAGCCGCCACATGCACGCGGAACTCCAGACGGTCCTCGCGCCGCAGACACGCGCCTTCTTCCGCAACAAGCTCCCCTGGTACATGCTCTACCTCCAGAACGACAACGTCGAGTACACCGTCAAGGACTTCTTCAGCGCGCACTTCATGAGCAGGAGCATCGACAGCTACAGCTATCTCCGTGGCCAGCTCGTTGCCCGCCTCCAGGAACACAAGTACGCCCACTACTCGGAGAAGGACCGCCTGCGGGTGCACAACCCGCTCCAGCAATACAAGGCCGACCTCATCAACACGCGTGTGCCCCAGGAGATCCAGCGGGCCGTGTACTCGGCGCTCGTGTCCGCCTTCGTCTACTACCAGCTCCCGCTCTCGGCGCTCGCGCTCGCGGGATACATGTGGGTCGGCGTCGAGTCGCAGACGGCTGTCGCCATCGCCGCGTTGGGCTGGGTCGTGGGCTTCAACCACGTGTCGAAGGCCTGGCATGACTTCACGGCCACCTGGCTCAAACGGCTCTTCGAGGACGTCAGGTTGGTCATTTCCCGGGACTGCATGGAGGACGGCCTTTTGAAAGAGCTCAATGCCAACTTCGAGGGCGCCAAGGAGGTGGCGGCCGTCAAGCAGCAGGTGCTCGCGGACTTGGAGGCGGTCTCTCCGCCCCGAGACTAATGCCTGCGTTCACCAAGCCGAAACAGAAACTGTATACGTAGCTTGTGGTAGTGATGACAGTGCACTTGATTAGCATACTTACCAATAAATAGAGACACTAAATGCTGCGGCATTCCGAACCTCGCTTTCCCTCTCGACGCATTCCAAACAGCCGAGTGTGCGGCCTACGTTGGAGGCGCCTGGGAAGCAGGCGCCTGGTCCGTGGCAGCTTGTGATTTGTTCTTGAGCTTGAACTCCAAACGCTCAAACTCCTTGTTGGCGATTTCTTCCTCCGGGTCAAGGATCTGCACAACTTCGCTCACTTCCTCAATGTAGTGTTTGAGCATGGCCTCAATGCCTCCTTTCAAAGTATTTTCGCTCGAGGAGCACGACTTGCACGCTCCCTGGAGCTTCAAAAACACCGTGCCCGTTTCTTCGTCAAACGCCTTGAACTCAATGTCGCCACCATCGTCTTGAATGGCGGGTCTAATTCTCGTGTCGATCAACTCTTTGATCATGGCAACAATCTCGGAGTCGTTCTCAGAGGCAGCAAATGAGTCCGCCTCTTCCAAGAGCTCCCTGGTGATCACGGGCTCAGTTTTCAGCGTCAAAAACTTGTCCAACACCTCCACCACTTCCGGCCTCAAGTGGGCCCAGTTTACATAGTCCTGCTTGCTGACCGTGATAAAGTCACTGCCGATCATAAGCGACTTGACGCCCGCAAGCTTGAATAGTTTGAGGGCCAAGGGCGAGTGCACCGCTTGCAACGTCGTGGAAAACTCGAAGGTTTTGTTACCTGCTGGCGACACAGGCACTGGCGACTCAAATTTCAAAGCGTTGGCGTTGGGTGTGGGGAATGTCTTGAATGAAAGAAATCTGGCCTTGGCGCCAGCACGGATATACGAGAGTGCGTGTCTGGCGGCTAAGTTGTGGTTCAATGAAAACATTCTGAGAAGATAGAGATGTGTTTCGCTAGAATGTGGAATTTGAATTTGGGTGTTTCTGGTTTGGAAAAGAAAATGGCACTCAGGGAATCGTTTCCGATAGTTTGAGCTTGATGTGAGATCGCCGGCGCTTGCGATAACTATATGGATGCTTGATTGAGTCTCTTGAATGTTTCAAACAAGTAAAAGTCGTGAAATTAAAATGTTCCCTTAGAGTTGGATATGGAAATATAAAACAATTGCAGTGAAAACCCAGGCTACTCTGTGTATTTTATACAATGGAAAACAAAGGAAGAATGACCACGGAATGAGTCTCCGATCCTCGCTTCCGAAATTTTGTAAGGCGATGACCGCAAACCCGCATCACGTGACTCGCGGGCCTGCGACACCGTGTCAGCTGAGTAAGCAGATGCCCCATTGGCCGTCATTGCCCTTGATCATGTGAAAACTCATATCCACTAAGGTTGGCTCAATAGTGTAGCGAAATACTGTTGGCATTATGGGTGTGTCAGGATACCACAACTTTGTGTGGCGGAACCAAAATTAGCACGCAGAGTTTGGGCGGGCACGTGACCATCAAGAGCTGGCTGCATTGATAACCTCTTCTAGTCTATTCCGTAAGTTCTTTACATAGTTTACAAATGTCAAAGCCTTTGGATCTTCGGGGACGTAGCTTGTTTTGTTTTTTCGAAATCGAAGTGATTTGCTTCCAATTTTATGTTTATGTCGAGTGAAAGATTCGGATAACTTCACGAAGTGCGACGGAGCTAGTTTTAGGATTCATGATATAAAGGCGAATCAAAGAGAACTGTCATTCTTCTTGAACTTCTCCAAGAAAATTTGCTCTAATCAGAAAAAAAAGTTTTCTCTCAAATGCTGCTTTTGAACTTTACACCTACGGATAGAAACGGCTGTGGTCAAACGACCATACGCAGAATACAGCATGCTATTCATAGTGCCTTATATTTGCCCACCAATTCCCCGCTTGTATGATTTGAGACTGTCTCGAGTATATCCATCCAAGCAGCGAGCTTAGAAGCTCCTTAGAGATGGGATCAAAATACAGGTTTGAGACACGAAAAACTCTATATATGTGATGGTGATCGGGTATAATACAGGCTGTTTGATCTGATACGTATTTTGGATGGGATGAATATCGTAGGTAGAGTCCAGAAAATAGTGGTATCGCTGGCCTGTTATCGCACTTGAAATTTTGCTAGACGTGTGTAATCTTGGTTTAGCTTCTGTCATTAAATCAGCTAGAAAGGGCTAACCATAACAAGCTCTTTCCTGTAGGCTCATATTTCAAGCCCTTGCCTAGAATTATCGAGGGTTTGGGAAACAGTTTCTGGTTCTCCATGGGTCAGAGAAGTTGTGGCCTGTTCCGTTTAACTAGTTTGACTTGTGGGGTTGGATTTCGCTCCTCCCCATAATGGAAAGGGGCACAAGAACAGTTAGAGCTGGTTTACTTTCAGGCTCCCAAAGAAGAAAGAAATTCCACAGCGTTAAACTTCATCTTTAAAGTCCCCAAAAGCTAATAGTGAAAAGATTTCAAAGCTCTTTTAGCTAACTCAAATGGGGACAGGGAACAAAATATTGGAAACATCACTTTTGGGAGGGCCGAACGAATAATTGGATCCGATGGGGCAATTCATAGTGGCTTATCGAGAACCACAATGATTAAGAGAGTGCCTGCATTTGACAAGTCTCATGTACTACCGAGGCTACCCCACAAGTTTTCGCACGTTGTGGCACACGACGACCGAGGATAATATTTAATTTGCAAAAATCTTTAATCAACCTTAGATTGCATTCCACGAGGTAGGCTTGGTGGAGTTTTGATAAGAATCATCGCGCAGTGTGCATACACGAGCAGCAAGAGTCGCGATAAGAAGTTGTGCTCATGGCCCACGTGTGCCAAGTCCCTTCTCAAAATTGATGACGACATCGAGTTAAATGTGCTCAAGGGTCTTACAGGTGCATAGGAAATTTGAAAGGTGTGCGATCATGATTTTACCCAATCTGCACCACCTCACTATGAACGTTTTCCATTTTTCACTTGTTTCCAGGAGAATTCTTTTTATCAAATATCAAGTGTTCAGATACATCAGACGGCTCCTGCCTGGAGAATTCGAAATTAAACGGGTCCTGTATGTTGAAGTGATCGCTATTCAGTGGTTCACTTCGAAGCCTCACCAAGCTCTCACTTCTTCCTCCACTCTGGTTTCAGTAGTTTGTGATAATCTTCTCAGTCGTTAAGGTGAACAAAGCCGGGCTAGATATGCTGGACTAGTCTTCTTTTTCATTCTCAAGTTATGAGAGCGTAAATTGTGGGATTCCGTGATCTCTTCCAAATACAAGAGTCCGCTCGCACGATTGCAGCCATACCATCGATCCATCAAGAAGAGATCGTTTCTTGTCTCTGGAAATACAGGCTCAATTAAGCATTCCCTCGTGCCGGCCAATAAATTATATATCGGGCTTGGCTATTTGGAAACGTGGTTCCGCCTCGCCAAGAAAACACGGCGCATGCCAAGAAATACGATGTTCTCTATACAGGCACATATTCTTGTTTTTGCACCCAAGCCGCATGTATAGAGGACTGACAAGAAAAAGGAACCTGTGGTAATTAAAGTCAGAGGCCGAACGACACTGCCACTGCTGGAATTCAACTGCATATGTCGCAAGACCCGTGGCCTAATAAACAGTGGCATAATTAATTAGCAAGACTTCAAATTATACGCAAGCCAGAATGTAGCGCTGTGTTTAAATAGAACCAATCGTCTCACCTTCTCTCGTTTTCTGGTCAAGCAATCCTTCAACAAAAGCTTCAGTTAGCTAATACAAGAGCAACTTCTCAAAAATGGCGACGTATTCCCAGTTTGACTACATTTTCGCTATCGGTATAATCTTTGCCTTTTTGGATGCTTTCGGTATTGGCGCCAACGATGTGGCTAATTCGTTCTCATCGTCCATCTCGTCGAGATCTTTAAAATACTGGCAAGCCATGATTTTGGCCGCCATCATGGAGTTCCTTGGTGCTGTTTTGGTTGGAAACAGAGTTTCTGACACTGTCCGTAAAAAGATTATCAAGACCGACACTTTTGAAGACGATCCCGCCGTGCTTATGTTGGCCATGGCCATGGCTTTGGTTGGTTCTTCCATTTGGCTTTTAACTGCCACTGTCATTGGCATGCCTGTTTCCACGACCCACTCCATTATTGGTGCTGTAATTGGTGTTGGAATTGCGTCTAAAGGTGCCGATTATGTGATCTGGGGCTGGAGTGGTTTCGGCCAGATTGTGGCCTCGTGGTTTATTGCGCCTGGTATCGCAGGAGGCTTTGCTTCGCTCATGTTTCTTTTTTGCAAGTACTTCATCTTGGAAGTCAAGGACACGCGAAAGGGAATCAAGAACGCTTTGGCCTTTATGCCCGTTTTGGTGTTCATAACATTTGCCGTGTTGACCATGTTGATTGTTTGGAAGGGCTCGCCTAAATTGAACTTGGATGACTTGTCTACCGGTGCCACCGTGGGTTCTATTTTTGGTGTTGGAGCCGTGGCCCTGACTCTTTACATGATCTTCATTTTCCCTGTCGTCAGAAGAAAAGTCTTGTACAACGACTGGACGCTCAACTGGTACGATGTTTTCAGAGGCCCTGTGTTTTTCTTCAAGCCTCTCGACCAAATCCCGCCTATTCCCGAGGACCAAAAATTGACCATTGATTACTACGAGGGCCGCCGTGTGGACGACCACTTGGAGATCGACGAGAAGGAACACCACCTTGAGTCCAAGAAATCGATCAGTTCCACCGACCACGAGGTCTCCATTGACCACGAGGCTGCTAGTGAGCTTGGAAAGGATACCTTGAAGCAAGGCAAGGACCAAAGCACTGCTGCATACTGGAAAGTGCTTCTTATGAAAGGCCCCAAACAATGGCCTCATCTTCTCTGGTTGATGGTTTCTCACGGCTTCACTCAAGACATCATTTCTAAGCAGGTTACGCAGGAGGGTACCTTAGGCCGCAATGTCAAGGAAATGCACGCTAAGTCCAAGTTCTACGACAATAGAATCGAGTATCTCTTCTCCTTGCTTCAGGCCATCACTGCATGCACCATGTCGTTCGCTCACGGTGCCAACGACATTGCCAATGCCTCGGGTCCTTTGGCTACTGTATATCTTATCTGGTCCGACCAAGGATTGAGCGCAACTGCTCCTATTTGGATTCTTTGCTTCACCGGTGGCTCGCTTATTTTGGGTGTGTGGACTTTTGGCTACAGAATCATGGCTGTTTTGGGTAACAAGATGATTTTGCAGTCGCCTTCTAGAGGCTTTGCCATCGAATTTGGCACAGCCATCACAGTGGTGATGGCCACGCAATTGGCCATCCCCGTTTCCACCACTCAGTGTGCTATTGGTGCCACTGTTTTTGTTGGAATCTGTAACTTGGACTTCAAGTCCGTCAACTGGAGAATGGTCACGTGGTGCTACCTTGGCTGGTTCATTACTTTGCCCGTGGCTGGTATCATTTCGGGTGTTCTCACTGGCATCATCCTCAATGCTCCACGCTTGGGAGTCACTTATGTCCCTACCTAGATGGTATTTTAATTTCCCCTTAGTATTATAGAATGAAGATATATTACGAAGTCAGATGTAGTTGTGAATTGTAAAACTGCTGATCCGCTGTGTAAGAAATAGAGAGAAGTCGGGAAGACCCACTTGTCACTGCAGAATCACAGGGAAATCTCGCTATGAATGCTTGATTGCCAGTGATTGCTGTGGTTACTTTTCTGTCACCTCACCTAATATTCCGAAGTTTCAAATGATTGACAGGCCAGATTTTCATGTCTGACTGATAATTTACTCAAGAGGGCTTTAAAGCTTGTGCTCCTGGAGATTCCTATTCTACATGTGCCCTCCTTAAAGTACCTGCTTATTGTGTGACAGATGTGAAGCCCCAGCCTAACACCTCAGTATGCGACGTTTCAGGCTGTTATGGAGATGCCAGAAATTATATTCCAATTAATTTGAAGTCAAGAAATTTATGCTGAGGAGGATTATCTTGGTTCTGTCCAGCTAAGCACCATAAGGAATGTGGTTTTGCGAATCCGGTATTCGATAAAGGTTCCTTGCATTTTACCAAATTATACCAAATTCAAAAATATTTGTGGTGAACAAACCCAGTCTATTGAGATTTTTGACCCAAAAAAATAGTTGAAATGCGAGACAAAGAAATTGGGGAAAAGTTGTGTTTTGAAGGGTGATAAATCGTTACATGTGCTGGCACGCATCGAGAAATGAATGATGGGAAAGGAATCCGAAGTCAGCTTGAGCTGGGGAACTTTCACTCGCGATTCTAGATCATTTGTCTGGTATCAATAGTCCCATGATTTCGGGTATTTTTTAAATGATGCGTTAATGTTTATAGCCTGGTTCTCTCATGAGTAAAGCTCAAAGAAAGTAGAAAAAGAGAATTTGGGTGTTTTGAAGGCTTTTTATTACGAGAGGACACTAAAAGTCCTAACAGTTAAATAAAGCCGCCCCGTCCCCAGCTGCGAAAATACAAGACTACCGTTGGGAAAACAAATCTGTTTGAAGAAATAAGCTCAATCTCGACGAATACACCATAATCTTTCAGAAACAATGTGTTATTATTTTGAACATAAATCAGTCGGTTTTAATCCAGTATTTCTGATGTGCGCGGTGCCACATCAAAAAAAGAAGACCAAGATAATTGAAACTTATGAAATAAGTGTGGAAGATGCATAGAAAATTATGACAGCTCTACTTTCCATCGATCACGGATCTAATGAAAATCAAGGGACATTGAACACTACAGATCGAACACTATACTATGCGGGTTATTTCAAGTGACTGGGTATGGAATCCTAAACGTTTTATTGTTGGGTAGTACATGTTCAATTAGTGCAAGCCATCATCTGCAACAAACACAAGAGCGAGATTTTCGTGAAACCAAAGAGTCTCCAACAACAACCGAACACGTATGGCTTATTTTCGATTCATGAGATTGTATTCTTGCAGTTGTGACTTTAATACGAAGGGCTTTTATGAAGCTACCGCTGAGAACATACCATGTCCGTTAGATATCATGAACAACTGAAAATGGCGAAGCTGCGACAGTTTTTTTTCAAATACTTGCGCTTACTGAAGCGGCTCAAGTCCTTTACAAAGATGGGTCTCGCTGGAATATGCTACAGCTTAGAATATGGTGAATGATAATCTCATAAAAGCGAGGTCGGTCGAGGTTTCCTGATTACAGCCGCTGTAGTGTGCATGGCCACGAGTGCGTGATCTTCCACATCAAGAGTTAGTCAGTTATAAACCAGTCTCACCCCAATCGAAAAGAAGAAATGAGTTTAGGAAACAGACAACGGAGTGAAACCCAAGTGGTAAACCCAAATAATCAGACATTAAGAGGCTGTGGGTGAGTGTCAAGCAAATAATACATGTGCTATTTTCAGACCCATAGCAATATAAGCAAGGGCTTACCACCCGCATCAAGAAGTCTTTTCTGCTTCGGATCTGTCTGATCGATCGTGTCGAAATATCCACGCCATATTAGATAATTTGGTTCCAGACCTGCACACGCGACACAGGCCCGTGCACCGCCGGGGCAAACACCGCTCTTTATATCACCACGACGTTCTCCACCCCTCTTATCATCCCACAAGTACATCCACAAAAGCACAATGGCAGACAAATTCGACGCGTCTCTCGACCTTTTGCGCCGGCTCGACCCGAAACGGGTGTCCGAAAATCTCAATTCTATCTGCTCGCTCGTCCAGTTAGACGGGTCAGACGAAGGCGTGGAGTTGGCACAGGATCTTTTGGCGGCCGTTGACACGCCGTTGCAGATCGCCCGGTGCCCTGACACAAACAAGCAGTTTCTCTGCTGCGATTATAATAGGGACGGGGACCTGTACCGGTCGCCGTTTTCCAATCAGTACGTGCCGCCCACGGACGACGACGAGCTGCCCTATCCCTCGGCGCTTTTGCGTCAATTGGAGATCAAGGCCAACGAGAGTTTCGACGTGTATAGGGACTTGTATTATGAAGGCGGCGGGCTCGCGTCCGTGTACATGTGGGACACGGCAGAGGACTTGGAGGCCAACAGCATTGAGGAGGGCTTTGCCGGCGTAGTGTTGTTCAAAAAGGAGACCGAGGACCGCTCTGGTAAGTGGGACTCGGTGCACGTGTTCGAGGTGGTGCCGGAGTCTTCCACGCAGGCCACATACAAGGTCACCTCGTCGGTGATTTTGGACGTGCAGAAGGACCAAGCTGCACAGGGCCACAGGCCGTTTTCGTTGTCGGGAACCATGACCAGACAGTTGCAAACCACGCAGTCGCTCAGCACCGACGGCGGCTCGCTCGAGTGGGCGCATCTTGTCAACTTGGGCCAGCTCGTGGAGAAGTCTGAGACCAACGTGCGCAACCTCTTGCAGGACGTGTACTTCGACAAGCTCAAGGACATTTTCTTGAAGGACTTGCGTTCCTTGGGCGACGTTTCCGAGAGACGGGCAGAGGACATCAAGCAGAAGGAGTTGATCAAGGGTTTGCAGGGCTTGTAGCCTGTGCGCTGTATGTAGCTTGCAAAATAGACGACAATGGCACCCGAGCGGGCTTGGCATGGGCCCAACCAGCGCTTGGTCAGCGCCACGGCTCGTCGAATGGAACATGACAGTGCCTTTTGGCACCACGGCGCAGAAGCAGCCGTCTGCTGGTGTCCGCAGGACTCGAGCACAACACGAATACGGTTTTCCTGGCCGCAAGTGCGCTGTTGGAGAGGTGTTTTGCAACGCCGGCCTGGATGTTGTGGCGCATACCATGACCAGCCCGGGCGGGAGGCCAAAGGCATGCTCTGCAACAGGCGCCACGCCTCTGAGCGATCCCCGTGATGCCGGCCAAACCCTGGTCGGCAGCTCAAGCCTGGCCCTCTGTTGCAAACTGGATCAGCAAACAGACACCACGCACCACGAAGTCTGCAGGGGCCCGGTGCGTGGTGGCTCCCCGAGCAGGCAAAGACGAGCAGAGTTCTGCAGGGCCTGCTTTGCCGATTGGTCTTCCATGCATAAAACAGGCCAAGGCGACACTGCACGCGAGCCCCCTCCCGGCCGCTACGTGGCCTCGGGCTTCTCCTGCTTCCGCATGGCCGAGTACATCGACAAGTCCACCTGCTCGTCGTCGCTGTCGCTGAGTTCTAGAAGGTCGGCACCCGACTCGGGGTCACTGTGCTCATGCGAAGACGCCCCGAGCACCGGGCCGGAAAGGGCCGCCGCAGCGGGTTCCAACGAGGCCCGGCTCGGGCTGCCTGTCCAGGACAGGCGTCTCGGGCTGCCGCATTCGGTGGCCTGCGCCGGGTCGGCCGCGAGCGTGGACACCATGCTGGTCTTCATGTCGTTGACAAACGCCCACAAGGAAGTGGACACGGCCTGGAACATGTCGTCGGCACTCTCGTCGTGGGACGTGGCCCAGGACTGTGGCTCCGCGAGATGCCACGGGGAGTGGCTGGGCCCATGCAGTTCTGGGGCCGTGCCGTCGCCCATGGACCTCTCAAACTCCAGCAGGAGCATGTGGTCGAGGCTCTGGATGAAGGAGATGGGCCGGGCCAAGTTGGTCCATAGCTTCAGCAGGCGGTCGCCCGCGGCGCCGTTCTGAGCTCCCTGCAGCGGCCGGCGCGGGGGCCCAGGCTGCGAGTTGCGCCGGCTGCCCGTGGATGCCCGTGCTGGCCGGGTGGCGGGGCCCTTTTGAGGCGCCGTGGCGCTGGCTGGACCGCGAAAAGACGGCCTGGAATCGCCCCCAGCAGGCGGCGCGCAGACCTGGTTCCCGGGCGCCGTGCCCGCTTTCGGACGGCCGTGGCCCGGCCGTGATTTCGAGGCATTTCGAGGCGTTTGCGCCGCCTGGGCCTCGTTCTGGAGCTGGCGATAGAGGGACCGCTGCACCACGGTCCGAAGGCTCTGGAGGTCGCGCTCCGACGCGTGGAGCCGGCCCTGGAGGGCCGCGAGGGCGTCCCGGAGCTCCACCACGGCCATCTCCTTGAGCGCGAGGAGCCGTAGCTTGGCGGCCAAGTCCAAGCCCTCGAGCTCGGCGGACGTCGGGAGCGAGACGTCGTATTTGCGCGTCGCCCGGCTCTCGCGGACGCGTGCGGGCGGCAGTTTGACGGGGCTCGGCGTGCCGGGGCCGGCGGGCGGGGCGACATGGGCGGGCGGGGCGTTTTCGGCCCGGGTTCCAGTGCAAAATGGCGGCCCAGCGACAGGCCCTGTGGGCCGGGCTGGGCCCAGGTGGGGCGACACGGTGCGGAGGTCGATGCCGCGGGGGCGGGGGCCGGCCCGCGGGCCGCCGCCGCGGGGGCCGTCCAAGACGTCGTGTTTTGCTGGCGGCTTGAGCCGGAGCTCGTGCTGGAAAATGGCCATTGGTGCTGGGAGAGGGCCGGCTGGGTGAGCGTTGGACATGCGCTCGGCAGGCCTGGCGCGCGCTTCTGCCGGGCCGATTTCCAGGCCCGATGTCCAGGGCCAGGGGCCGCGCGTGCACCGGGCCGGGCGGGGCAAGGCCCCTGGAGAAAACGGGCGGGGAGAGGAAAGAGGGGCATTTCTGGTTTTCTGGGGGGTTTCCAGCGACGGCAGAGACGACGGGATGGTTTTGGAATCGTGGCCCGGTGTGGGCTGGGGCGGTTGGCGTGGGCTAATATATGGGGCTGGTGGAGCTTGGGCCGCGGCCAGGGCCAGGGCCAGGAATGGGGCCAGGGCCAAGAATGGGGCCGCGCGCTGCTCTGCCGGCTGGACAGCTCGCATGGGCAGAAGGCGCGGCGCCGCGAGCGCAGCCGGTGGCTGTATACGTCCATGATGTTTCTTCGGTCTGGGCAGCCGACAAACGCCGCATGTGGTGTTGTCGTTATGCAAGCGGCCATCCTGCTTATGCGAATATTTATGCGACGGCACCGCCTTCGGGACTATGTTTCGACGTCAATGGTGTATCGTGCGCCAGGTGATTTGGTGCATGGTCCTTCGGCGATGACGTCATCTTAGGGTTGGTTAGACTGATGGCGTCTTGTAGATTCGGTTAGTTAAACCGCTGACGTCTTAGATCTTTGGTTATTCAAACCGATCACGTCTTGTAAATCTGGGTTAGTTAGACGGATACGTCATTTTTGGGTTAGTTAAACCGATGGCGTCTTAGATCTTTGGTTATTCAAACCGATCACGTCTTGTAAATCTGGGTTAGTTAGACGGATACGTCATTTTTGGGTTAGCTAAACTGATGACGTCTTGTAGATTTGGGTTAGTTAAACCAATGGCGTCTTGTAGATTTGGGTTAGTTGAACCGATGGCGTCTTATAGATTTGGTTTGTTATATCGTTGGAGTCTTATAGATTTGGTTAGTTATATCGATGACGTTTTATAATTTCAGGCTAGTTAAATTGATGACACCTTGTATCTTTGTTTTTTTAAACTGATAAGATGGCTTTGACGATTCTGTTGTGATGATTGTGACGACGATGGCTGTGGTATGATGGTATTGACTGTATTGCTTGAATTGACTGTATGATTGTATGATTGTATGATTGTATGATTGTATGATTGTATGATTGTATGATTGTATGATTGTATGATTGTATGATTGTATGATTGTATGATTGTATGATTGTATGATTGTATGATTGTATGATTGTATATTTGTATGATTGTATGATTGTATGATTGTATGATTGTATGACTGTATGATTGTATCATTGTATAATTGTTTTGACTGTATGAACGCTTATTGTATTGACAGTATTGACTGTGATGACTATAGGGACTATGGGGACTAGAATGACGGTACTGACTAAAATGGGTCAGCCGTATCGACTGCATTGGGTGTATATATTTTCAATTATCTTGACGTTTGTGTGTGATTGTACTGACTGTAGTACTTGACGCTATTTGCAGTCTTTATTGTCATGACTTCCTCGGCTGTCTCGACTATATCGACTGTATAGACTTTTTGATTGCATTCATTCATTGGTTGCATTGTACTAATACGGAAACCACCGCAATAATGTACTATTAGTTTCTTCCATTGTAGCCATACTGCTATTCATTGTACTTATTGTTCACATAGCAATCACTGAAAGTCGGATTGTTCTTGAACGCTACGAGTCTATTGACTTTTGTTTCATTGGTTTGATCATTTCAACGGTCACTCACCCGTCACTGTTCTTCATGAGCTACTTCAAACTTGCTTACCAATGGGTCCTCTAACATGCAAATAAGATATGAGAGCGAGACTGTAATACCCTGAACCCTGTGACTCAAAATCAAATTCTGTTCATCTTCACACGGCTGGTAGAAGGAACTTTGAAATTAAAAGAGCCAAAAAGATCCATCTACTTTGTAACTAAAATTAGATTCACAAGGGCCGCCAGTACTATGAATCAGAAGTTCGTGCGTAAGATCACCAAAATTGACACCTTGAATGCTCACAAAAAATGTGAATATAAGCCAGATTCCCCACTTGTCCCGGTTTAAAGAATATAATCATGTCCAGTGTGAGCCCTTTGAAACGAGAACTGACTGCCAGAGAACCAAAGCTAGAATGTGTCTCCTGGGCTGAGGCTCTAAAAGGAACATTAAGAAATAGTCATAAAACTCTTTTTCAAGATTGGGAGCATTATTCAAAATGCAAGTACCCATGACTTCATGTCATGTCTGGTCTGTGGGTTTTGTAGTATTCTTCAATGTCGAGTGCTCCGTGAGACTTTCTAATAGTCGAGTCCGATTCTATACCAGAATGCTAATCATGTCAGATTCATCGGGATATAAAGTGAAAAAAATAGCACATGTAATTCTTCTTGTTATTCCCTTCAACATTGATTTTTTGAACATCGTCCGATCATCTGATGTCCGAAGCACCTTTCGCAGGTTTCAAAAGATGCATATCAGTTTAGCCATTTTCACTTTCAATACTGGGCTAGTTGTTCTCTCGATGTAGTAACATAATATTAACCAAAAAAAAGGAGAGCCCTGGCTAATAGCTTCGATGAATGGGAGACTCCTTTGATGTAGAGTACTATGTCATTCAAATTTCATTTATTCTTGTAATTTGAGTGGAAATTACTATTCATTTAAAAACTGGCACGGAAAACCCAGTTGGCGTCTATAAACGTGTGTTTACAATGATGTCATACCGAGAACAGGCGCTTCGAACTAAACAGAGTTAGAACAAGCATGTTTTTTCCTAAATAACTCAACTTGCAAACTAGTGACTGTTGAAATGGCAAAGCCGATACTGACACAACAAACCAAGTTTTTCAATCTAGCTTTAATTTGGCGATGAATGTAATTTAGAGCTAAGAATAGTTGAGGCTTCATGATCTTGGTAGTTATTATGAGCCGGTGATCTGAGTCTTGCATCTGACCACTATTCTGTTCAAGCCATTAACAAAGCTAAAAACAAAATTTCAGAGGGCAGCCAAGATGTCTTCGAATAATTTTGCTAGAATTCTAAACATTGTCTCTAAAAAAATATCACTTTAAACCCAGTAGTAAAAGGAAAAGCAACAGAGAAAAATCTTCAAATTGATTGAGCCAAAAGAATTGTTGCGATACATTTAAATGCCCTCTGATCTGAGAAAGAAATACGCAACCATCCAGAAGGATATTCAGGATGTATTCATGAAGATAATCACTTAGGATCTCTCAAGCCCAAGGATGTTCTCATATTGTGTTCGAAGATATTGCATCCAAATCGTCGAGAGAACCCACCAAGCATCGCAAATGCCATTAAGGAATTGTTTTGTCAGCGCCTTGAGTTTGAATCAAATTCTGGAACCAAAGCTTTGCGAGAAGAAGAAATCTCTAGCGCTTTCTGAGCTTTAGGCATTTAAAAATTGCGGCATTCCAAAAATGTTTCTGCTCTTCAGTAAATGTCTTAAAAGTGCAGTACGCATTTGAAAAAAGCTTAAGAAAAAAAAAAAAAAGAACGAAACTCACTTAAACCATCGTTTTTAACACCACCTGCCTGTTCGGTATTCATAATCGTCTTGCTTCACGAAAATTATTGTCGGCCCTTCTTTCGCCTGTACCATCACATGCCCGAATCCACAACCACCTCGTTCAGAATCCCCATGAATATACTAAAATTTCCAAGATAGACTGGAATTCCCCAAATACCTCAAGCCCCGCTTAACGCTCATTTAACTCCTTTTCTCAATCCAACTAATCACATCTACTCTGGCCAATCACACATCACGTGATGCCAACTCGATCAGTTCGCAATCGCCGATAGCTCACGTGACCCTTCGTATCACGGGATCTAATAATGTTCACTTTTGCACCCCACTAACAAGCACAACACATGGACGACTCGTATTTCGAGCCGACGCCGCCATACGTGGCCCGGGGCCTCAAGTTGCTTGTACTACTAGCAGCTTTGCGTGTGCAGCATCCTGCCCGTTGGGCCGCATTTCTCTCGCTAAACCCAGGCATTAAACTGTGGCTCCAGCAGATGTTCCGTTCCCGCTATAAGGACCCATACACTGTAGACCGGCGGGTGTGCAAACTAGCTAATCTTATCTCGGTGGTGCTTTTGTACTCGGCCGCCAGTACTAACCACACGATTCCCAAGGACTATCTTCTGCTCTATCTCTGTGAAACGTACTATGGCAAGTTGGTGCCTCCCAGCTCTCCAATCGTGGTATCTCCTTCCACAGCCGCGTACTTCAAGCTTGGTTCATATAAGGCTAATAGCTGGGTGCGGAAAACGTACGAAAAAAAGCACTTTATATTGTTCCCTGTGGTGTGCGGCCAAATACTACTGAACTACTTGACGCCCACGCAGTACAAGTTGAACCAGCGGTACTTTTCAGTCGCCATCAAACGGGTGCTTTTGGACCCGATATGGACGCATTTTCGTATGGGCGTGGGGTTCCAAGCAATGGCCTGGCGAGGGCTTCTAGTAAGCTACGCCAGGCACAACGGACTTTTGTTTCTCTATATGGCGGCACTTAATTTCCGGACACGGCTCTGGCGCCCTTGCTATAAACTTGGATCCGAACTCGAACTTGGCGGCCACCGCCTTAGAAAGGTGTGTGGGAAATACATTCTTTACTGTGCCCAGCGGGCCAATACAGTGGCTAATTTTGTCTATGCACCAAATCTACTTTCAATGGTGCTTCTTTCTAAAACGGCTCCACTTTTGGCCCATTGGCGGCCACTCAAAACCAAGTACATGGTCAACCAGAAGCAAACAGTGAAATGGTACATGCGCAGTATTGGCTTTCTGGCAGGGCTTGCGGCCATGTTGCTTCACACAATCAAGTATGTGACGCCTATAGGCAGAAAGAGTGATTTGAGTACTTATTCAGATTTTTATACTGATTCAGATTTTGGTCCTGAATCTGATTTAGACACTGACTCGGGTTTTGGTACTGATGCAGACTCGGAAGATGAGGGAGAACTAGATAATCCCCGGGTTCTTGGCCCCGACTTCTACAACAGCATTTGCATCTACTTAACCCAGCTCATTGTGCTCTCCAAGTGGCGGATCGTCAAAGAGAACCATCCCTGGTTCACAGTCTTGAAAGTGGGCACATGGCGCCGGATGGAGACGGGCTTGATGTGTCTCTTTGTATGGAAACTCATGAACTTAAACGACCACGTCACGAAGCACACGCTTGGGTCGGGCAGCCATGAGCTCCAAAAACTCCGGCTCAATCCGTGGATTAAGGCCGTGAACAGAATCATGCACTGACGTGCCGAGTCTGCCCGGGTGCAGAAGCCGAATAGGGCTTGCTACCCCTTTGTCTATTCTTTGTATTGTGATCATATTTTCCATGCGGCTCCTACTGTTGTCTAGCTGGCGTAACCACCTGCACCTGGCACGTTTTCCTTACCCTTCAACTTGGTCAACAAACCCTTGAACCGAGACTTGTCGCGGCTGGAGTCGGCGCCCTCACCAGCGTCTTCCACAAGCTCATTGACTCTGTCCCACAAAGTGCCTCGTTTCAAAAAGCCGTCGCGCTTCTCCAAAAACTCCTCTTGCTCCTTCAACACTTGCTTCGCCTGTTCCTCCTTCTTGTTGTTGTGGTTGTCGTAGAAGTCGTCGATACTCTGCTGCGCGGCTGCTATGATGTCGGCCTTTTTCTTGGAGTTGGCCTTCTCTCTTTCCTCAATCTCAAGCTCTCGGCGCGCTTTCCACTCCTTCAATGGCTCCGACTCGCCCTGGGGAACTGTCGTCTGAGGTGCCGAGGAAAAACCTTCGAATTCTTCGTCATCCTCGGAAACAGGCTCGGGGTCTTGGGCGGCTGGCTCAGCTTCACCGACCTCAGGGAACTGGTCTTTGAAATCCTGGATTTCGTGGTCCTCGTCTGCCTCGCTTTCGGCCAAAACAGCACTGTCTTGCTCGGTCTGGAACTCGCTGCCCACGAGCTCCTTCTCGCGCGAGAAGAAGTCGCCCTCGATATCTTGGCCCGTCGTGTCGACGTCAATTTCCGGAAACTTGTCTGCCATGATGTGTGATGATTATTGTGTTGGGTGTGTTGTTGGCGCAGCTTGGTTTGCTGGAGGCTTGTACAGGTGAGGTGCGCCTGCGACAGCGGGAGTCGTGCGCTCGCCAATTTCGTACAGGATCTGACAATCGGCCGTGGGTTTGTTGCAAAAAGCTGGAGGTAGTAGCGGGAGAAAACAGCACATCGAAAGGTTCATCCTTTGGCTGATGGTTTGCAACCTTCTCATTATTGCGTTGTTTTCTGTTCGCTCGTTTCTCGCTGTCTTCGGTGAATTAAGTCACTGCCCAAGCGCACTCTTCCTCAGCTTTGGCTGCGAAAGCCTCATAAATGGAGAACTCTCATGTACTCAGAACACCCAGCATCAGGAAACGTGTAGAAGCAAAACGAAAGGGGCTTAGTAAGGCACCAGTTCAGGCCACACTAGTACAGCTCTGCTCTCTTGACTTACAACAAAAGGGAAGCCGTGTCGACGGAGTAGATCCTGATGGAGGTGTCGACACTGCCCACCGCGAGCTGAAGACAAGTACCTTTAGTTTTGTTGCTGAAAGCAAGCTTGTTGACGCGCGAGCCGGGCAAGATACCGGCGTCAAAGTCAAGGACCTTTGTGAGCGAGTCCGGTACCGCAGGCGAGAGCGCATACAACGAAATATGCCCGGTTTCGTGCCCCACGCCAATGAGCAACTTGCCCCGCACCAATTCCGGCTGGAAACACGCCACCGAAGTGACGGGATGGTCAGTCTTTGTTTGAGCGAGCATCTGCACGGTGCTGGCGCCGACATGCCACACCTTGATGGTCCTGTCGCGCGAGCCGGAGACAAACACAGGGGTGCCCATGGGAGCCCACGAGCAGTCCCAGATGATGCGCGAGTGGGCCTTTGCGTTCAATTCCACGAGCTCAAATGCCGCGGTAGCCTCGTCCACCACGCGCCACAACGAGAACTGGCGGTCGCGAGAGACGGCCATCAAGAAGCGGCCGTCAGGCGAGAACTCGAGGCTGACGATGGTGAGGTTGTGGCCCAGCAACACCTGGGAGGACAACAAGAAGTCGTTCTTTGCGTTGAAAACACGGACCACGGCGTGCTTGGCTGCATTGGCACGGCACGCCGAGGCCACGAGCGAGTGGCTGGGCGACGAGGCGCAGCACGTGATCTCGTAGCCGTGCCCGTACAACTTTTCGATCTCCGGGAACAACGTGTGTCGCTGCAAATGGTCCTCCAACGGAGGGCCCTGCAAGGCCGCGAGCACATCGGAGGCGTCTGTTGGCTGTGCGCCCGCGTTGTTTTGAAGGTCCTCTTCGCGTTGCTGGGCCTCACCCGCCTCGAGCTGCTCGTTGGCGGCCTTGTTGGACAAGCCCAACACGGGTAAGGACGCGGCCTCGGGGAGCGCAGCCACCGGGGACGCCGGCGCACCGCAGAAGCGGCCGAGAAGTGCGTGGATGGCCTGCGGCATCTCGAAGACACGCAAAATCTTCTCGTCGCTGCCCGAGACAAAGCGCGTGGCCGACACGTTGTCCACGCACACCATGTCGTAACCGTGAATCTGCGGGCGGGCGAACTCGTGCCACGTGACTGTGGCGTCGGGTCGGCCACACGCCCATGGCGCTAGCAAGCGCGTGGTCTGGTCGAGCGAAGTGGCGAGCACATACGAGCCGTCGTGGGACCACACAAGGTCCGACACCTCGCGCACAGGTCCCGTGACACCAAGCACGGCATCCCAGCGACTGTCAGTGTCTGCCGCTTCCGCATCGCCCGCATCGCCCGCGTCGTTCTTGTACACGCGCACGGCGCCCGTCTTGCCACTGGCGAGAATGTACTGGGCACGAGACGCCGGGTCAGCGAGCCACACACACGCCCAGAACCCGCCCAGCGCACCCGTGGCCGTGGACGCGCCCTTGATGGAGAGCTCCCCCAAGCGGCTGGCCGGCACCCATACGCCCGATGGTGCGTCCATGTGCCACACCATCAACGTGGTGTCGGCGCCCAGCGACAACAAACGCAAGGCGGGCGGGCCAGCGGCGGCTGCCGCGGGTTGCCACTGGAGCCCCGTGACCCAGTCGTCGTGGCCCATGAGCAACGCCTCGGAGCTCAACACGGCCGGGTCCGTGCCGAGCGTAAACCGGTGCTGCTTGTTGGACAAGAGCACGAGACGGTCCGCGTCCGGCGCTGCGGCCGCCGCGGCCGCGCCGACCCGAAGCCGCCAGAGCCGGATGCTGCGGTCCTGCGACCCGGACGCAAGGAGGTAGTCCGGGCCCGTTGGCTCACGCGCCAAGGCCAAGCAGCGCACCGCGTCCTCGTGACCGGCGAGCACCGCACACGGCCGCACGTCCCGCGCGTCACCGCCAAACAGGTACACAAACACGTGCGGCAGCGTGCCGCCCACCGCGAGCACGTACGCGGCGCCGAGCTGCTGCACGCACAATGCCGAGGGGAGGAAGCGCTCGTCCACGCGGAACGAGGCCTGGCGCTCCAAACCCGAGTGGTCCGCGGCAAGGCGCCACACCACAATGTCGCCCAGCGTGCCGCCGGAGACCACAATGCCGCCGGCCGCAGTGGCCAACGCGGTCACAGAGCCGGCCTGCTGGGCCTCGCCGGGCGCCCGCTGGTACCGGCCGTCTGCCGCCGCGCGCCACACCAAAATGCGCCCGTCTTCGGCAGCCGAGACGAGCGTGGCGGCGCCGGGGACAAAGGCCACGCACGTGACCTCCCGCGTGTGGCCGTGGAGCGTCTGGCGGACGCCCTGGTGGGTGCTGGAGAGCGGGTCCCAGAGTGCCACGGCGTGGCCTGCGCCGAACGCAGCGCAGTGCGGCGAGTACGCAAGCACGTGACTGTGCTTGTTGGCGCCTGTGAATATGGCGTCCTGCGTGACACAGGGGGGAGCCATGGTGGTTTTCGGGTGGTTTGGTGGAGATATGGTGGAGGAGAAGAGTGATTGTAGGGCTCAGCGGCTGGTTGCGTCCGCGCGATGGGTGCAAAATCTGGGAGGCACGGGTGTGTGGCCGGGGCCGCTCTGCGGAGGCCCCCGCGACTTTTGGCCGTTTGGCCTGGCTGCTGTTTTACACTTCACGCCCAATGAGTGACAGTCATATCTGTTAAATAAACCAAACCTTCTGTTACGCGCTCTTGATAGAGCATGTGAATTCCACTTGCAATGTGTCGAAAAAGTTTGGAAAGGACTACCGAATTCCTCCTGTGCCTTCCCCCAAAATCAGCATTGGTCATTTTCTTGACTTTGGGGCAAAAGGGATATTTCAGAGGGCAAATTGTCCATAGCGTGTATTTGTAGGGAGAAGAATGTAGTAGCTTGTGTACGCTTTTTTGTTTGGGAATAATTCTCGCGCTGTGACTGCAACTATTGTAGCCATCCTGGCCGAGAAAGTTTCGATCGTTTTAAATTTGAAATGCTGTAAATGCTTTTCCTCCCTTTTTTTCGTCTTTTGCCCTTTTATCTCATTAGCTCTGTGTCTGTGATAACCAGAAACCCAATTATTTAATTTCAGATACACCACATCTCATGTGGCCTATTGAAAGCAGACGTTTTTAGATAGGAACGCGACAAATGATGCTGTATGAAATCACTGAGAGAATAATACAAAATGCTAAAAGCTCACCTGAGTAAAATCGTCATCCATCATGACGTTAGAATGTTATTGTTTGAAATACATCATTTCAGGTTTGCTTATCCAGATTGTACCTTCACCCCTAATCTAAGTATTTTCAAAACGCCACAATTATTGGAGATCTGCTTCAAAATTGTGATCACCAAATATCCTAAGCAAGATATGTGTCTTAAAGCGGATAGTGCTGTGTTACAAACCTATGCTGAATAACTTATTGAACGCCATAATCAACAATATCAATTGCGTCTGAAGCATCTTTCACATAAAAAAAAGTCGTTTTGGGTGGTAATGATGGAGGGCTGGGTGGTTGCATAGATGCTGGCAAAAATTACCCGTGCATCAATGTCGAGTAGCGTGCTGGGTGTTCATTAGGACTGCCACACAGACCTGGCATCATGCATGCTGGTGCAAGTGGTGTCTCCAGCAAAGTATAGAAAGAAGGCTCATTCAGACTACAAAATCTAGTGTTTTAAAATTGCTTTCTTTAGCCTCAGAGCAAATGACCCCTGGGATCTGCTTAAACCCACAGGGCCATTGCTCCAAGACCATACTTTGGCCTTTCAGAACAATGCATGCGCAAGATACAAGATTCATTTCTGGTCCGAAAAAACTGGTTCTGACTCACGGCCTGGCGTCGGGACCCGCCTGCTGCTCACTTCACTTGGCTTATCCGAAATTTTTTTGGACTCACTAGAGAGCCGACTCACCAGAAAACTTTTCGACTCACTTTCCATGGACTCCACGCACAAAATTTTAAAATATCCAGCTTATAGTAGATCCGGGAAGTATCTTGGTAGATCGTAGCGCCCCTTTCTTCATTTGGAAAGCTTTCAAAATAGTTTTCTGAGTACTCCCCGAGAAGATTCAACTTTGCCCTCCTCGTGGCTCGGAAGTATGCAATCTTTTGAGGAGATCAATTAACTGAGTTCGAGATCAGAGGCCAATGGCGGCCTGTTGCTTTGATTCGTTGTTGGCTCTAGAGCCTTCACCAAGATTTATCGATGTTAGTGTTTATTAGGTAAATTAAATTATTATATTTTAAGTATATCCGTTCTAATACAAAATAAGAGTCCTATGATCATTTTATTGAACCTTTATAAAATATAGAGCCAGTTATAAATTTATGAGGTCTTCATATCATTTTCAGTGGCCGCCTAGGAGATGGAACATTATAGTGACATTCTTCCTGAAACAATCCTACAAAATCATTGATTGAGTATGGATGCCCAAGAAAACTTTTAGAAACTTCATCTAACAGCTCACAACTCACTTCTGTCCTATCAAATCCATTCATTATAGGAGATCGTTCGATCTAAAAAAAGGCCAGGCGGAGTGTTCTTTGCTTTTTTAATATTCGCATCACTTTCACTTCTCCAAAACGTACGAATTATTTCCAAGGTTTCTCAAGACGATTATCAACTACGAGCTGTGCATATGCTAAGATTTAGACAGGTGCTTATCCCTCTTAACTTTAAAAACACGATTAACTATTATTGAATTGGTTTATTGCTTCTTATTCCAGCTTAGATTTGTACCATTGCATACTCCCTTTGTATAATTCTTTTTCTTGTATACTTGACACTGAGGTTAACATAGACCGTATCTTATAGCCAAAGTCACTCTTCCAGCCCCGCTCCTACTGTCCTCTGAGCTCCCAGAACCTATACATTCTTATATGTCGGCGACGCTCGTTTCAATAAATTTTGCTTAAAGCACCTTCACACTTCGTTTAGTGAAACGGAAGAGCTGCATATGTCGGAGATGTTGACCGCACTGCCTTAGAAAATGGTCCAAGTCGCTGAAAGTTACAAAAGTAAATGCTCTACGGTTAAATAACACGAGTCTATTAATATTGATGGCCATATTACTTGCCGTAAACCAGTTTTATTGCATAAAATGGTACCAGATCGCAGAATTGGTCACGTTGTTATGATTTCTATTCTTCTTCTTCATCACTCGAGTAGCCTCCATAAGCTCGTCGTACATCCAGCAATGAGTCAAACTCACAAGACAAAACTAATTTTGGTGTCTTGACTGTAGCTATTATTTTATTTGACATTATTTGCCCAAGAGCTCTGTCACCCATAAGTATAGTGACAAATTTATTACTTCGCTAGATTTAAATATACTGTGGACTTGAGCTTGGAAGTTTTCTTCGAAAAAAGCAGAGAATGTAATAAATCTTATACATCTTGAAGTTCAATCTGAAATGTTCAATTATGAAAATTCTGCGAAACGAAACTAGAAATTAGTTCTGGGTTGAAAAAATGAACTCATTTTCAAAAAGCTCTCCAAATAAACCAATAGTCCTCACCTACACTAGTCACATTTTCTGGCATCATCTTATTGGTTGGCCTTATCGAGAACACTCTCCTGGTCTTTTGGAATTTCTGCGGATTACTACAGACAGCTTAGTTTCTGGATTGGTGTTGTATTTATTTATGAAACCATCAATGACTCCAGTTGAATACTAAATAGTTTTAAATTAAAAGCCCGTTAAACAGAATTTCACAGTAGTTTTATCGGAAGCCCGTTGTCTCTTGTTGATGTGGAATCTGGTTTACTGTGTGTCTAGGTGCAATATCCGAGCTTTCTTTCTCAATATACCTCCAATAATTTTTCCAGCAATGCTTATTGGACTAATATAAACATCTTGAGCAGCTCGAGCTGTTTCACTTTGGTTCCTTTCTGTGACAGAAGGGTGTCTCTCGCATCTGCATATTTCATAATTTTAGTGGGCTTGGCTATAGTTGCATGAGCCATGTTTTCTGCCCTCCGAAAAATGCTAACCTTGTTTTTTGGTCATCCGTAAATTTTCTTCAAAACATGCTTTGGTTTTGATTTAGAATGTCGTCTTAGAGGACGCGTGGGCTCTTGGCAAAAGCCATATTTCCTGACGGTGTCTGCAAGTGATTTCAAACAACCATGAGCTCCATCTTTGCTAATTTGTTTAAGAAAAAACTTCTTCACAATTTTTAGCAATTTGTAGCTCAGAAATCTGAGACTGTTGGGCAAGTAAACCAAAATTGCTTGACAACTATGTAGTAAAAATTCCGCATTATTTTGTTCATGTTGTATCAGCGAAAAGTACATATATTTGAGCGTATCAAGGAATCGCCCGGTTTTAATATACAGAAATACATTACCTCTGGCTGTCTGTGAATAATGCTTAGTATAATCTAATACTTGCCGTTCGAAACTTAGAAGTGTTCTCAGCTCACACATAAGTCACAATTAGTTTATTTACATACCATATTTAGTTGAGTAGTACAAAAGGAAGGGTTAATAGAATGCACCCATTCGGGTTTGGAGTTTGACATCTGAATGGTTGAAAGATTCTTTAGTCCGTAATTCTAGATGGCTGCGATACCAGCTTTTTTGCGAATCATATTACCAACGGAGGACCTATGGGACGACTCCGAGGTCTTTCCAAAAGCTTTTTTCTGCGATCTCTATTGCAAAATTAAAGCTTCCACTTAGCCTTTTGATACTCCAAGGATCCCACATAATTTTCAGTCATGGAAGGGAAATTGCACCGACGAAGCGATGCATGTTTTCTTCCTCAATTTAAGGCTTCTGCGCTTCTCGGAGTTTACTTTTCTTGACTGTTACTTTCTTAGCCATGGATCCAGAACAGTCATCATCCAGCTGACAAAATTCTCAATATGTTTAAATGCTTTTTCCTGGAACATCAAGAAATGCAGAAAATAGAAACATTTCACAGACTTCAATTGAAAATAAATAGCTCCTTGTCGTTTATTGATGTGTCAATTTAATGAATATTCCGTGCTAGCTTATATTGTTTAATTTTATGCACCCAGTCATTAAATATATTGCTGCTGTAGGGAGATCAATCTTGAGGTTAAGAGCTTAGCGCATCTTCCTTCGGGCGGTACATTAAAAAAGCAGCATCCAACTACAATAGCAGCATACCAACGTTACACGCCCAATATGATCACATTCCAATGGCAGGCAATGAACAGGAGGGCTTTGATAATAATCTAAATCATACTTCAAGAAAAAAATACTTTATTCGTCTTACTAGTGCTTTAACCGTAATGGTGCATGCTCGAAACTGAATTGTGCCAAGTTTTTAGAAAGAATACATGATTGATTATCTGGTCAATTAGCTTTATGACATGTTATCGCAACATTCAGCACGCCAAGATCATCAGCCGTCAAGATCATCAGCCGCCAAAAAAGTTAGCGCCATCAAAATATTTTTCTCTCCACAGATCATAAAAGATGTGAAATCTCATGCCTTGTACCGAATAATATGCAGTTCCTTTAATTCCGCGATTGCAAAACCATACTCATACTTAAAAAAACAAATACCATCCTGAAATGAGTGTGTCTTCTGTCCACAAGTTTTCACATATTACAACTTAATCGGTATGAAAATTACTGCAATATACGGATCAGAAATTTGTGATTGCAAAATAAAATAAGGTTGTTTTATTCCTGATTTTGTGAGATTTTTAGTATCAAAAGCAAAAAAGTTTATTCGCGACACTTTAGAAATGCTCTTTCATTTTTGTCTCTGCTTACAATTTTTGCTTTGTTCTGGCTCGAATACCAAGAATCGGCCTTCAAAATGAGGATATGCACTAGTATTCCAACGAATTTTCTTCTATTTTTCTGCTGTTATGAGCTAACTGGGATGGTTGCAGTGTCTCTACAGCTTCAAGCAGATAGTAACTTTGGCTTGCGAAATTAGGGATTCATGCCTTTTCTTTTGGAATTGATGTTGACCATAAAACTAAGAGATGTTTTCATTAAAAAGTCGTCAACTCTCGGCCTGGAATCGGAGTAGCTCCCAAAAGTATACAGATGTGGAAACCCTGGGCACTGAATCCAACAGGATTTTTTTCATACGGCGTGAATTGCACCGCAGTCAAGAATTTCTTAAGCCCCGCATAGTCTCGGATCTTTCGGGTCTAAACTTGCTAACACAACAAGATGAACCTTGGAAAAAATGCTTGGGGTGTCATTCGCAGAGTTAAAGTAGCAGGAAGGCTCAGTATCCAGACCCTAAAGCAACAATGGGAAAGAACGCTTTATTCGCAATCAACACATATGTGAATTTCCGAATTATTTTTCCGGTGCTTTTGAATGCTACCCAGGACGCGTCCAGAAGGAGATGTGGGACCATCATCAATAAATTGCCACTAAGAGCCTCAGAAAGCGATTACCGCTAACACAACCCCTAAAAGCACCACCGCACCACTAGTATAGCAATATATACCACTAGTACACCCATATATACCACTGATACACCGATATTTACCACTAGTACAACACTAATACAACACTAATACGATAATAATACAACACTAATACGATACTAGTACAACACTAATAAGCACTAATACAACACTAATACAACACTAATACAACACTAATACAACACTAATAAACACTAATACAACACAATACAACACAATACAACACAATAAAACACAATACAACACAATACAACACAATACAACACAATACAAATCCTCATAAACTACTAATAAATCACTGTCAGGTACGAGCTGCTCCATGGATACATGTCAACACAATCCAAAAATTGCAGACACGGGACAGCACAGAATCACGGCCCACCATGCATTAAACGATTCTTTCATGAGGGCGATCCTTGGCTTTTTGTGTTGAATCCTAAGCGCTAGTCAACACCAGGCACATCAATACCACAGCTCTACATCTCTCATACAGAATGGGTGCAATGGGTGCAAACGGGGAGGCACGGGTGTGCGGTGCGCGGGACAGCACCGCTTGGTCCAACGTTCAATAACGCAGTTTATTTCATAGTATATGGACGAAACGTCACTAGTGTCTCCATACAAACGTCCGTAGCCGTATCCACCATAGAGCAGTACGCCTTCGTTGGCGGATGGATTTCTTCGCCTTCGCACGGGACGCGAGCCGGCCAGTCCTGCATTCGAAGCTGTCACGTGACCCCACCGGCCCCAGACGGCTCCATACTTCTCAGATCTACTTGTCTGCTCAGTTCTATTCAACTTCTCCTCCCGTCTCAACAACCCCCAATTGGACTTTGCCATGGTATCAGCGTACGTGTGAAAACACCCATATTTCTTTTCGAGCCGTCCCGCCCCGTGTGCCCCACGCTCGTAGCATACTAACCAGCAGTGTGCTTCTTGTCCACCAGGCCACGCCGCAAACCATTCTCCAGTTCCACGACGAAATGTGCAACAAGCTCCCCGCGCTCAAAGGCAAGTGGGGCTTTTCGTTCAAGGTCTTCCGCAACAACATCTACCTGGTGCCGCCACATTTGGCCGCGTCGCACGAAACAGCGCCCCGAAACTCGTATCTCTATACGTGGGTGCCGTCGTACCTCCACGACGCGTGTGTGACGCTCGTGGACAAAACGTCGGCGGCTGTTTTCAGCCACGTGATCCGCGAGGAGCTCAGCCTCGACCACGCGCTTGCCGTGCCGGACCGCCATCTCCACGAGGGCGCCACGTGCGGATTCAACGACCTGTTTGATTTCTTAGTGGGCCAGCGCATGCAGAGCCTCTGGACGCAGCGCCAGGCCATCCGCGGCGACGGCGGCCAGATCTACGAGCTCGAAAACGGCAACTTGGTCATCCGCACGGCCAACGTGTCTCTCCACGGCAACTTCCGCGGCTTCCTAATCCAGATCGAGGTGGACCACACCAAGCTTCACACGGCGGACCGTGCGCAGATCTTTGCCGACTTGATTGCCAAGTACGACATTCCAAAGGGCTCGTTGTGCTACCTGGTGATGAGCGAGGACCGGCCGGATCTGTACGGCGACTTGGTGCTCCAGTATGCGGAGACACTCAATTTCTAGGCGTGCGGCAGAAGAACTGCTTGACATGAGCCGGCGCCGACCCGTCTTTTTGCAATATGTGATGCGATGCTTGACCCGGCGTGTGGCGAAAGACTGGCCGGTCCCCAGTGCGGCGTGCTATAGAACATGTGGCACGAACCTTGAATGGGATCTTTAATGGAATTTTTGAGGGGGTGTTTAATGGAACCCTGAATGGAACCCTGAATGGGATCTTGAATAGGATGTTTAATGGAATCTCGGATGGAACCCTGAATGGAACCCTGAATGCGATCTTGAATGGGGTGTTTAATGGAATCTCGGATGGAAGCTGGACTACTCGGGTGCCGAAACTCAGAAGTCTTGCGACATCTGATGGCCAACCTGATGCCGCACTTATGTCTGATGCGGTATCTGATACAATGTCCGATACATGCATGCTGTAAAGTCAATCCAACGTGTTTCAGACTTAATGAACACTAGCTCGATGCTTGATACCAAATTACATGAATCAAGCTCGAAGTATTATAAGGCCTGATGCTTGATGCCAAACTATATGGATCAGCATCGACGCTTGAGGTCAAGCTATGGGAATAATATCGACGTTTGATGCCAAATTGCATCCTGCTCGAATTTCGATACCGAAAATACCAATCTGGTACGACTTTGTACCAGATGCCTTAAAAAGTCTGATGTCAAGCTCATGGAATCTAGCTAACAACTGGAATTACGCTAACAAATACTTTACGGCACCCCAAGCCCCAGAAAAATTGATACACCAATTGGTCCCCCAATTGGCATACAGCTGCCTCTACCTATCAAGACCACTATCCGGCCAGCCACATCTGCGCATATCACGCAGAGTGCAAATACACCTTATTGCCTGCAAACAGCTATTGGTTTCTATGCATCCAGCTAGCGACGCGTCCGCCGGAAGACCCGTACACCAGCCTATATCACCGGTTTGCCCCCTCCGAATTTTGCCATCAACGCCCGATTACGGGAGCGTGCGTGTACTGGAACAAGCTTCATAGTGACAAGGAGCATCCTCTCGCCGCAACTTTCTCAAATCTACAGTGATCCGTCTATGCTGGTCTTGTCATATCTGGCCTGGCCCAGCCCATGTGCAGGCCGCGCCAAATGTTTTCACCGATGCTCATCACAACCCGCACCGTAATAACCAGTGAAGCTACAGCATCTCCCCCAAATTATGGCCAGGCAGAACAAAGGAAAGAAAATCGACCGCAAGCAGAAACGGCTTTCTGAGGACGAGGAGCTCGTACAGCTCCAGAGCCGCATTGACGAGTTTGACCCCGTGGCAGATGGTGCCGCGTTGAGCCTGTTTCTGGATTTGCCAATCACCGCCGCCACGCTCCGGGGCTTGAAAGAGGCAAACTTTGTCGAGATGACGGACATTCAGAAGAAGACTATCTGCATGTCGTTGAAGGGCGACGACATCATGGGCACCGCCAAAACCGGGTCCGGCAAGACTCTTGCGTTCTTGGTTCCGGTCATGGAGGCGCTCATCCGCAACCGCATCACGGAGTTTGATGGGCTTGCCGCTCTCATCATCTCGCCCACCAGGGAGTTGGCCGTGCAAATCTTCGAGGTGCTCACGAAAATTGGTAAATACAACTCGTTCTCGGCAGGTTTGGTCACAGGTGGAAAGGACGTCCAGTACGAGAAGGAGCGAGTGGCTCGCATGAACATTCTTGTGGGTACGCCTGGGCGCATTTCCCAGCATATGAATGAAACCGTGGGTATGGAAACCACCAACTTGCAGGTGCTTGTTTTGGACGAGGCGGACCGATGTCTCGACATGGGCTTCAAGAAGCAGATCGACAGCATCGTAAGCCACTTGCCGCCTACCAGACAGACTCTTTTGTTTTCGGCTACCCAGTCGGAAAACGTCACAGACTTGGCTCGGCTTTCATTGACGAACCCACGCAAAATTGGTGTATCCTCGGACAGTTCCATGTCTGCCACGCCGGACAGCTTGGAGCAGTTCTACGTGCGCATTCCACTCGACGAAAAGCTTGATGTTTTGTGGTCCTTCATCAAGTCGCACTTGAAGAGCAAGATCCTCGTGTTTTTCTCGTCGCTGAAGCAGGTCCAATATGCGTATGAGACGTTCCGCACGCTACAACCGGGCATTTCGCTTATGAAGCTCTACGGCCGCCACAAGCAGGTCACGCGCTTGGAGACCACATCAAAGTTCACCCATGCACAGTATGCGTGTCTTTTTGCCACTGATATTGTTGCGCGTGGTCTCGATTTCCCGGCCATCGACTGGGTCGTGCAGGTCGATTGTCCCGAGGACGCTGGCACCTACGTGCACCGTGCGGGCCGTTGTGCACGTTTTGGCCGGCCCGGAAAATCGCTCTTGATGCTCTTGCCGTCCGAGGAGGAGGCAATGTTAAGGCGCCTCAAGGGCAACAAAATTGAGCCCAAGTACATGAACATCAGACAGAAAAACAAGAAAACCATCCGGCCGCAGCTACAGTCCTTGTGTTTTAAGGATCCAAAAATGAAGAACTTGGGCCAGCGTGCGTTCATCTCCTACTACAAATCAGTCTACGTACAGAAAGATAAAGAGATTTTCAAAATTGACGATCTTCCGACGGAGAAGTATGCCGAGTCCTTGGGCTTACCTGGCGCGCCGCAGATCAAAATCAAGGGTGGCGAGTCAGGCAAGGACAAGAAGAATATGTCGAAGAAGTTGTTAGACTTGGAGAAGGCGGACGCAGAAGGCGAAGCCAAGGAAGACGCCAAAAAGGGTGTTCGTACAAAGTACGACCGCATGTTCGAAAGACAGAATCAGACCGTGCTTTCTAAAGAATACTTGAACATGACCGGCACCAAAATCAGAAAAGACCAAGACACCGACGACAGCGACGACGACTTTATGGCTGTTAAGAGACAAGACCATGGAATTGCCGAGGAGGATCTTCCCGACTTGAGCGTGCCGGTGTCGAAGAGACAGGCTAAGAAGGCGCTTTCCAAAAAGTTGTCCGCCGCAAACCACGGCTTGCCGACGAAACTCAAGTTCGACGACGATGGCACTGCGCACCCACTCTACGAATTAGAGGGTGAAGAAGATTTCAAGAGCAAGGGCGATGCCCAGACGCAAAAGGCAGAGTACGTGATGAAGGAAACTGAGACCATGAACGACGCGGACGTTGAGGATAAGGAATTGGCCCGCGCCAAGAGACAGGATAAGAAGAGAAAGCGGAAAGAGATCGAAAGACGTGTGAGGGAAGAAGAGCTCAGTGGCAGCGATGACGATGAAGGTGGTGCTGTAGTAACTTTGGGCACAGGAGATTTGGATCAGGACCTCGAGTCGCTGGACGACGAACCGGAGCAGCCCGCCAGCAAGAAGTCCAGATGGTTTGAAAAATCTACCAGAAAGAATGACCTTGACGAGGGCGTGGTCGAGCTCGATGAGCCTGAGACCTTGGAGGACTTGGAGGCTTTGACTTCGCGGTTGATTAACAATTAGATAGATAAAACAAGTCAGCTTCATCCTCCATTACTAATGAATAATTTCAGAGGAGTTCTAGCTAGTGGATCTCAAAATAACCGGCACCCAAAAATCATCTTGAAGTCGGGCTCCATTTGCTCTCAGGAAAGCAAATCAATTTGCAGTTTTTTTCTTTTTGTGAAGCTTTAGCTTGAGATCCGCTGGATTTCATTCCACCTAAAATCGTTTGAAAAAAGGTTAAGACTGCTGTTTGTCTCTGTTTGATTCCAGGATCATATAGGTGAAAGATGACTTCATCAACATTGCCATTTTTAGGCCCCGAGATGTTTCGCAAACAACACCGCTTCTAATTTTAAAGAGAAGAAATTGTTTTGAAAAGTGTTCCAACAATTAGATAGCGTCGTTTGAGTTTGTCTTTTATATTACCTGTGCAAAATAATCTACCAACCAATTCCTAAAAAAAAATCAACGGAAGCTGTACACGCTTTCTGATTTTTACTCGTCTTTTGGGTCGCATTTTGTGCTGTAAGACGAGCAGCTATTAGTGCTACTATTATTGAGTGCGCTTGTATAGTGAAGAGCTTTTAATATATAGTTTTGATCCGCCAATCCATAGGTGCTGCAAATAACTCGACCATGATTTGCATAAATTGTGCCCAGCACAACGAGCTTCAGAAAGTAGAAAGGCTTTTTATTCTGTTTTTCTGGAGTACCAACAACTCTCGCAGTTGCTCTGACATCATGTTGGACATCTCAAGTGAATGTCGGTTATAATTACTGACCATGAAGCAGTTGAATTAATTGACACTTATTCTGGTTCTTGAACAATCTTTATACGCGCTAAGGCGAATTTCATAATGCATAAGCTTTACATCAGTGGGCTGAGTCTTGGCTTATTTTGTTTGAACTAGTTGGTGTTTACTCAAAATTTGACATCAATTCGCATCGTCGGTGATCCTGTTATTGCGCTCCATGACGGCTCATTTGATTTTTACTTCTATCCTGTCCAGTTAGAAAAAATAGAGTTGAAGAAGAATTCAACAGAAAGAAAAAGATCTCCTAAATAACTAATGGTGTGCGTCGAGAATCGCGGCCAAGAGGATTATTGTCTCAGCAGGCTCTACAGTAGATGCGTGTTTGAGGGGAGACCCGAAGATGGCCAATTACCAGATTAAAAAGAAATCTAACACACGCAGCAGCAAGAGCTCAATTGCTTTGTTTCTATTTTAATTTACCATCAACATTTAGTTTTTTTCCTGAATCCCTCGAGAACTGAAAGATTTTCCTTGGCGCATTGACTACCCCAAACGAAACCATTTGTACGCATTGAGAGTGTTTATGAATTATCTTTAAGATATCCCGCAGGTGCATCTTGCCCCTGTTTATTGTTCTTGAGCAGCAGAGAATGGAGATTTGTCGGAAGTGCACTATACTTAATTTCCACTGGCTTTTTGCTTTCTACATCTAATTCGCTAGCCAACAAAAAAAATCAGCAGAAGCTTTTCATTTTATTTCCCCGTCTCTTTGTCAATCTACATTGAAATGTAATATGCACGAGAACACCGCTGATTCCGGCTTAATAGTAAGCAGAAGCACGCACCTCCATTATCTCTTAACAATATCAACCCCGGCCATCACCGTTTGTGATTTGTTGAAACCTTTAAAAGCCATCCACCAGAAAATATCAGAGATAGCTCGCCACACCTGATATTCGACATGAACGGCTAATCAACTAATTTTCATCAGCCCGTATCGTGTGGCCAAACCTACTTTGTATGTCTGACCCCCGCACGTATGTCAATCTGTGTATTTGGTGGCGTCGTAAATTTTCGCTAGATATGAATTAAAGTCAGGCAAGCCGGTGTTCGACTGTCTTTTTAAGTGTGGTTCCTTTTCACAATCGACTGAGGTACGGGACCGAGCTGTCTGGCTCGGCACAACGACTTGCTCTATCTGTTTCATCTGCTAATAGCAGTGCCTTCATGATTTACATAGCCACATAGTGACCTTTCTTCTATATCTCGCGACTTCCAAAAGACACAGGGCCTCTCGTCCCCACACAAGCTACTCGCATTAGTATATTCTAACATTACTCTGTATAAGCGGGGAGTCTCTCTACGGAGCAAGGCATTTCGCCATCTCCATTCTCCAGCCACGTAAAACTTGTTCTCAGCCCAAGCCATGGAATATAAGCCCGTGTTGGCTTGACTGGAGGTTGCGTGAATCGCAACTCCATCGTCTCTTCACACCAGCTGCTCGCGTCTGTCGAGGGTCAGTTTATATTTTTCTAGAAAGCAGCCGGAGTGCCAGAGCACTGGGTATCGAATGCCCAGCAGCACCAGCACTTTTCCACTATGCTTGGCATCAACAAAGAAGAGTAAGATGAAGAGCTCGCCGTGATGTTTGCCAAAGTTTCTTATGTTCATTATTCTTTGCCAGTATGAAAATATGGGCTTTTGAAGCTCACATTCATTTGCCAATTTTCCGAATATTTTCGAGACCTGAACTTTTTGTTGGGGACTTTGACATCATTATTCTTGAAAAGGGGCAACGATCAGAAAAATGGGATCGTAGAGCTTTCCAGATTTTTGGAAAAATCACTGCAAACCTCAAGCATCAGTAATCTTGCTAATGATGGCCTGAATTTTTTGGAGCCCAACGTTTGTTTTGATTCATTAATCCCTAAGTCTAAATTTCACGAATATATCCTAGCATGATGTGACACTATCTGACGGAGAAGACCATTTTCTGAGATATGTTTTGTTCTAGGCAGCATATGAATAGCACTATTCATATATCAGGGTTAGTTATTTTATTCAGAAGTCTCCTTAAAAAATCATGGCGGACACATATACGGAATAAGGATTTATGGGGCATTTATGTTTACCGGTATATAATTTATAACATACGGTGAAGGCTATCAACACTAACTAAGAGACAGTATACATCTTAAGAATATCAATTTCGTGAGAAAAAAAATTAATTTGTGCCCAACCCTGACTGACAGAAGACTATGTTTTGTTACAGCCTATAGAGAAGCAAAGAGGTTGAATTTTGGCTGTTTAGGGTTTGACAAAGGACGAAATGAGCCTTACATGTAGATATCCGGGGAAGGCTAGAGCCTGTCTTTTCGATGCAATCAAAAATTTTTAAATGCTAGAAATGTTCTCGAAAACTCGTGCGTATTGATTGACAACTGGAGTTCTCCACTACACCATCTGCAAACAGACCTGCGGGGAATTAAGGAGGCCTAAAGATTTTCAAAAAGAAGAAGAAAATGTGAAATACTGAAATTCAGCCAAGCATCTTTTTATGTTGTCTTAGATTTTCGGATGCAGAGCTGTATAATTTCGACTTGTATAACATCATGGAGAAGGCGTAGTTCTGGCAGACACCCTTGCAGGTACCCACTGGATAATGACCGGAGTTCTCGCACTTCTGTGGATTCAGCAAAAAAATATATGCTTGCTCTGGACTTTTGTTCGTGTTTGACTGTGTTGACAGGGATAGTTGTGAGTGGAGTCTTCTTTAAATTTCGAGATTACTGGGAGTTCAAAAGAGATGACAGGTCGCTTAAGTTTGGAAACAAGTACTCTATCGCTGCATTGGCTGAATGACAGAATACCAAGTAGCTGGAGTCAAACTTGAAGGGGAGGCGCAATCCTTAATGTGCTTCCGGGTTCTTGAATGGTCGGTAAGTAGAGAGGAGTCCTGCCCTTGGATATCTGGGCCTCTTTGACTTTTCTGTGTGCAATGCCAGGGGAAATGCTTGGTAATGGATATCGAAGCTGGGGTCATCAGAAGGTTGACAAGAATGGCATCAAAGCGTCCGGACTCAGCGGAATAAGACTTGGCTCTTGCTCCATTTTTTTCTCAGCGAGGCTTGATAGACGCAAATGAGACGATGCCCTCAGCCAGAATAGAAACGCCAGGGTCATTCTTTGGATTCACGTGCTAACACATGGTATGCAGAGCAGTATGACCGGCTTTTCTTGAGTGGGTGACATGATGCTGCAACTGGGCAATTCACGCCCGCAGTCTGTTTAGACGACTGCAAAATCCATCCTCCATACGGTCTGATACGGCGTGCTCTTGTACAGGGCTCGGGCGAGGACTACAACCACAAGGACTCCAACAGGGTGTTCTAGTGAATGTTTCAGATAAAATAAATGTCCGTTCTAAACGATAGAAGGGTGAATGCAGATGTGAAAGCAGCCGTGCCAACGAGCCGATCGCCGGCTGAGCTGCTCTGCGAGCGCTATTATACATGGTCGCATCAACATAGTCTGTCGGGCGACGTCCGCAGCAGGCCACCGGAAATTCGCGAGTGTTCCCCAACGCAAATCTTCAGTCCGCCACTCGATGGCCCCTTGTCCAATGCAAGCAAGCCGACGCTGCATCTGGCGCAGCTCAAAGGCGGAGGCAGAGACGCACGAGGCATCTCTGGCGTGCTCCCGGGAGCCCAGGAGCAAGGGCGCGTGTCGCACGAGGCCACCCGCAGCACACGCGTCCGGCTCCAGGCTGCTCGCTGGCAAAGGCCCTGTGACGGTAGACCGGAGGTGCCCGCCAGTGCGCCCGCAGACGCTGGGCACCACGCGGCCCGGCGCCTATCGCCGCGTCTCTACCGGATGGCCGGCGTGGCCACGATCTTGCCCGCAATGTCGCCCAAGCGGTAGATGCGGCCCGCGATCCGGCGGCCGTCGGCATCCAGCACGGACGCCGAGTCCTCGTCCACATCGTCCGCGCCGGCGCCCGCCGCGCCGTCCTCAATGACGTAGAGCTCCTGCAAGAACGCGGCCGGCGTGCCGCCCGCGCACTGGAACGCCACGCTGCCGCCGCGCACGTCCATGGTGATCCGGCCCAGCTGGTGGAAGTTCAAGCGGCCCACGTCGCCCGCAAAGCCGCGCGCCTGCGGCGCCGCAAAGTGCGAGCGCAGCGCCGGCCCGGGCGCCGCCGCCGCTGCCGAGATCCGCGGCACGTGCACGAGCACGTACGGCGCCGCGGCCGCCGCGTCGTCGTCCGTTTTCAAGCCCGCGAGCTGCTGCGTGAGCATGTCCACGATCAGCCGCTGGTCCGCGGCAATGCGCGCGTGCTCGTCCGCCTCGTGCTTGGCGTCCGGGTTCACGAGGAGCGGCGCCGTGTACGCGGCCGGGCTCACGCCGTCGCGGTCCTCGGCCTTGACCAGGCCCTCCGGCGACGCGGCCCGCGACTCGGGCGCCACACCGGCCTCTGCCGGCGCCGCCGGCGCCGCCTCGTGCTTGGCCGGCCGCACCGGGAAGAGCACGGTCTCGGAGTCCGCAAACGCGTACGCGCGGTTCATGTTGATCGTGGCCGGGTCGTCGCCGTCGCTGTCATGGCCGTCCGCGGGCGCGTCGCGCGCCTTGAGCTTCAACTGCGCGAGCGGCGCCACGGCCCCGGACTCGCCGGCCGTGTAGATCCGGTCGCTGGTGAGCCCCGTCTTGGAGCTCGTGGAGCCGCCGCCCACGCCCACCGAGCCCATGGCTAGGGGGCCCGCCGACACCACGTGCGTGCCCGCGTACGCGCCGCCGCGGCCGCGGCCGCGGCCCCGCGCCAGGCCTCGGCCCCGCGCCAGCGGCTGCAGCCGCGGCTGCCCGTCGCTTTTGATTTCCGGCGCGTTTTTGTCGCGGTCCTCCTTGCTCTTGCGGGCCACGGCCTTGGGCTTGAACTTGAGCCCGGGCTTGGGCGCGGGCTTCTTGGGGTTGAGCGACTCGAGCCTGTTGGACATTGGGGGAGCGGCCGGAGGGAGGGGGAGGGGGAGGGCCGGGTCGTGTGGCAGGAAGAAGAAGGAGATGGAGGAAGAAGAAGAGGGAGTAAGAAGAAGATGGAGGTAGTTGAGGGAGCGGGCGGGTGTAGGCGCGCGGCGCTGTGTGCAGGCCGCGGCGGTGCGGCTGCGCATGCGTGGTGGGATATGGCAGGGTGGGTGAAGGGGTGTTGGTGGTGCACTTGTGGTGGCTTGGCTGCTGGTCTGGTGGTGGGTATTGTGCTGGATGGTATATGTGTTTTAATTTTGGCTGGTATATTGGGTGGTGTATTGGGTGGTATATTGGGTGGTGTATTGGGTGGTGTAGTGGGTGTTTACTGGGTGGTTTACAGGGTGGTTTATTGGCTGGTATGTTTGATGCAATATATGTTGTAATATTGGCTGGTGTACTGGCTGTTGTATTGGTTGGTATATTGGTTGATATATTGGTTGATATATTGGTTGGTATATTGGGTGGTA